TACTACTATAAGCTACTAGAATATATTAGTCTAAAATTAAGACTAAACGCGACTATAAATAAAAGAATAGAGCGCTATTTATAATAGTAGTAGAAACGCGACCTATTCTTATATATATCTACCTCTAATTACCTAATATCTTACTCTACTTATAGTAGATGTGCGCGCTACTACTATAGAAGAGTCTAAGAGTAGATAGATATAGAGTATATATACTTAAAGAATAGCTTAATAGTTTAGCTAGCTATAACTTAAGGTAAGTAGCTAAACTCTCTCTAAACCTACGCCTATATTTAACTCTTATTAGGGGTTTAAACGTAAACTAAGTAAGACAATATTTAAACTATTAACTTGTATTTTAGCTATAATTTATATTAACCTACTACTATAATTTATATTAACTTAATATTTAATCTATATTAGCTTAATATTAATATTTGCGTATAGGCTAAAAAGTATTTATATTAACCTACTACTATAATCTATATTAACTTCTAGTTTTTAGATATAGACTAAAAAGTATTTATATTAACCTATTACTATAATTTATATTAACTCTATATTTTTACGTATATATTTATATTAACCTACTTATATTAATCTACTACTATAACCTATACTAACGTTATTTTTACTATAATCTATATTAACTTAATTTTTAAAGTATTTATATTAACTTAGTTTTCGCTATAATTTATATTAACTTAATATTAATATTCCTATATAGACAAAAAGTATTTATATTAACCTACTACTATAATTTATATTAACTCTCTAGTTTTACCCTATATAGGCTAGAAAGTATTTATATTAACTTAATATAAATAACTCTAATATATATAGTCTTCTTTCTTTAAGCGTCTATATTATATTTCTAAGAGTAACTAGGTTAGTAAGACTCTTAAAGTAGTATCTTAATAACTTACTACTATAATACTAGCGCTAAGGTAACACTTTTACGTGTAGTATAGACAAGGCTAGAAAGTAGAGCTTATATAGAATAGGTATAGAAAAGCTACTATAAAGAAAAAGTAAGAAGAAGAAAGATATACTACTATAGTAGTTACTAGACGTAAGATAATAGTTATAGTAGTAGTAGAATATTAGAGAAAAATAGCTACGCTACTACTACTAGTAGTAGTAAGTAGTAGAATATTAGAAAAAATAGCTACGCGTGCTACTAGTAGTAGTAAGTAGTAGAATATTAGAAAAAAATAGCTATGCGTAGTAGCTAATAGTAGAATATTAGAAAAAAATAGCTATACTACTACTACTAGTAATTCTACTACTTAAATTACTAGTAGTAGTAGCGTAGCTATTTTTTTCTAATATTCTACTAGAGTAGCTACGTGTAGTAGCTAGTAGTAGAATATTAAAAAAAAACTCTAATAAAGTATAGCGCTATTTGCTAGCCTAGAGAAGTATTAGAAAAAACTTAATTTAGGTATAGTACGCCTTACTTAATCTCGCTTATCTAATATCTATAATATTAAACTACTACCTAGACCTAATCTTAAGCTACTAATACTATTACTAATATATCTAGTATATATATAGTTCTTCTAGATCTATTATATTAGATTATAGTCTATAGTTTACCTCTATCTTTATAGATAAGCTCTACTAGCTTATAGAAATTAAGTAAAAGCTTTCTATTATATACTACTTATAAACTAATAGAAATATAGAGATTATTAATTAATATCTTAATTAGTATCTATGTTTATTTATTAACTACTACTAGAATAATTAGTTAGACCTTCTACCTTATATAAATTAGGTATAAGCTATATTACTATATAAAACTATAGAACTAATAGCGTATAAAATTAAGTTTAGATATTAGCTAGTATACTACTAGAATTAGAAGAAGTATATAGTAAAAGTCTCTACTTTATATAAGTATCTTTTACGCTAGAAAGCTTAGAATTTTACTAAGAAGTAATATAATACTATAAAAAAAGCTACTAAAATTATATAAAGTAATATTATAAAAGTGTAAGCTAGGTAGGCGCTCTAAGTAAATAAAAAGCGCTAAGAATCTAATTTTATAGTAGGTAACCTTGTCTATATTAAACTCTATAGCTTTTTAATAAATTAGTCTAATATAAAGCTTAATTAATAGATATATAGCTCTTACCTAATTATTACTATAAAGAGTTACTTTTTCTAGCTCTAGCTATCTATATATATATATATATATAACGTCTTCTATACTAATTAGTTAAGAAAAGCCTTAGAGCTATTACTAGAGTAGGTAGAGCCTAAGTAGCTATCTATTAAAGTTAATAGTAATCTAGAATAGCCTGTACATAAAATTCTAGATAGCTATCTTTATTAAAATTACCTTTAATACTACGCTGTATAGGTTACTTATAATTCTAACTCTATCTAGTATAATACTATAGGCTTTATTAACGCTCTTTATAAGGTAAGAGACTTTTATATAGTATACCTAGATAAGCTAGAGCTACTATTATAATTAGATGCTTAGATTAAGACGTATAAAAAAGAGAAGACTCTAGAGAAGATAGTAAAGAATTTAAAACTTGTAAGAGTAGAAGATATAAGAGTAACGCGAAGACGCTACTAAGTAATTTAAGAATCTGCTAAGCTTATAGTATTATTTAAGAAGAGAGCCTATAATAAAGCTACTCTATAGACGCGAAAATAAGCCTTCTAGTTTAAATCTCTAAAAGAAGAGAGTAACTAGAGAGAAGGTAGTAGCTATAAAAGCGCTTCTAGTTTAAAACTAATATAAATACACTTACTATAAGCTAAAAGAGATAGTTAAGAGTATAATATAGAAGTTTTAGAAGAAGAGAGACCTAGAAGGCGTATTTTAGAGCTTAGAGACAAGCTCTCTCTATAAGAGAGGGTAATATAATAGTCTAGTTTAGAGATTTACCTAGAGTTATATAACCTTAGGTTACGTAGTCTTAGCACGTAACCTAGTCTAGCGTCTTAGCGCTTAACACCTCTATATATAGAGCCTCTTAGAGTATTCTTCTACTTCTTATCTTTAGATAGCTAAATTTAACCTAACCTACTCTACTAGCACCTTTTATTCTTATAGCTTATAGAGATAGTACTACCTATAGCTAACTTATCTAGCTAGGTATTCTAGAGGCGCTTATAGTAGTAGAGACTACAGACCTAGCTCTTATAAGAGTAGATAGATATAAAGTATATATACTTAAAGAATAGCTTAATAGTTTAGCTAGCTATAACTTAAAGTAAGTAGCTAAATTTTTTCTAAATCTACGCCTATATTTAACTCTTATTAAAGGTTTAAATATAAACTAAGTAAGATAATATTTAAACTATTAACTTATATTTTAGCTATAATCTATATTAACTTATATTTTAACTATAATTTATATTAACTTACTACTATAATTTATATTAACTTACTACTCTAATTTATATTAACTTAATATTTAATCTATATTAGCTTAATATTAATATTTATATATAGGCTAAAAAGTATTTATATTAACCTACTACTATAATCTATATTAATCTCTAGTTTTTAGGTATAGACTAAAAAGTATTTATATTAACCTATTACTATAATTTATATTAACTTTATATTTTTACGTATATATTTATATTAACCTACTTATATTAATCTACTACTATAACCTATACTAACGTTATTTTCGCTATAATCTATATTAACTTAATTTTCGAAGTATTTATATTAACTTAGTTTTCGCTACAATTTATATTAACTTAATATTAATATTCCTGCACGAATAAAAAGTATTTATATCGACCTACTACTGCAATTCATATCGACCTACCACTGCAATTCATATCGACCCCCTGGTTTTGCCCTGCACGGGCCAGAAAGTATTTATATCGACTCGATATGAATAACCCCATATATAATAGGACCAGGGACAGACTTCGTGTGCGCCCGCAAATGCGCCGCGGGTGTGCGCCTGCAGATGCGCTACGGACTTCGTGCGCCCCGCAAATGCGCTACGGACTTTCTGGGCCTCCAGTCATGGTAGCTCCTCTGACAGGGATTCTGGCGGTTAATAGCCACAAGCGACGGATGCGCAGAATGAACCACCTGGGCAGGCCTCCGGGCCTAGCTCTCTCTGTTGGAGACCGAAGTGTGTAAATCAAATCTGATGTCAGCGACATTGGCAAATATGAGAGTGGGTCCGTACCAGGTTTTTCCTCCACAGTGCTCCAGGTTCGCACAGTCCCACTGTCGCACAAGGCTTCCAAGGTGGTACGCTTGTTGGGCTGGGTCTCATACTATATTGCACGCCTGAAACAGGAATAATGCGTTGGCTTACTATTGCCTATGGTAACTATGTGGCAGTTCTTGTTGTGGCAATGCCGATCTATCACCTCATGCACCATAATATCTAGTAAGTGCTAAATTTGAAAGTTGGGGGCTGAGGATATGTAGAGTTCTTAACCCATATATCATCCGAGGAGACCAAACTGGCAGCGGATCATGCCTGGTTACGGCCCGTTGTCAGCGGAAAATTTCTGCCGACGCCCCAAATGGTAGTGGGCCGTATGTGCTTGCAAGCCCCCTCACCCTGAGCTCGTCATGTAACCCTACCTCGGCGAGGACGTTAAGCTTCCGAGATATCTTTGCACTTTTGAAGCTCCTGAACGGTCTCGCTTGATCAGATTGGGCTTCTGAACCTACAATTAGACTCGGTTCCTTAATCGACTTAATTTACGACGCTTCGATGACGAAGGTTAGCTCGAGATGGCTTAGGGCGTGTATTGTTGTGTAGGAAATGCTCAAAATGTGAAGAACATGGCAGCTAGGAACTGACTCCTTGAAGCTCCTAATATGGAGGTAGATAGCGTTAATCAGTGTCGAATATTGAGTTACAATCGATTTTGTTACGAACCAGAGTATGTCCGTACTCTCGCTTACGGGTGTGAAACGATCAACTTCTAAATCAAGCTGGGATGCAAAATGTTGGAGCAAACTGTACATCTATATTCAATTCTCTTCAAGACACAGTATTTGAACAGTTACGATAAACCTATTTTCCACTCATAGGACGGTAGCTTCATGGCCCTGCACAGTTGTACTGGCTTTTACATCCGGTACATCGTAATCTGTGCTCGTAATAACATCCTCCCACTCATTGACCAGGTCCAAGTACTTGGTGTACTTGTTTCGGAGAGTGGCCAGCGCATCCTTTCCAAGAGGCAAGCGCAACGGTTCCGTCTTTCCTTCAGCTACACCCTCCTTCTTGACAATATCAATCATAATATTCACCGCCTTATCAGGATCTCCGGGCTGATTGTTGTCTGCCTGACCGAGGAAATCGAAGATCATATCGTTGATATCTTTGTAGACATCGACACTTCGCGGCACGGCTTTGAAGTTGTTGGAGTTAAGCAGCTTAGTGCGGAAATGGCCGATCTGGAACAAGTGCGACCTGACACCAAAAGCCTCTGTTTCAAGCTTCAGTGACTCGGCAATGCCTGCAAAGATAGTGAGTCTAGATCCTACGCTCCCAAGTTTCATGACATACCCTCCAGAGCGAATTTACTCGCACAATAGGCGGCGCCGCCGACCTCTCCCGCAATGCCACCCAGAGAACCTGTCCAAACAATAACACCAGACTTCTTCTCCCTGAAATGGGGTAAGAGAGCACGAGTGACATTGAGAGCACCAAAAGTGTTGGTGTTCAACTGGGCGATGAAGTGTTCGTTGCTGTGTCACATCTTAATGTTAGCCAAAGAGAACAGAGCTGTTTCAGTAAATATGTGCCTTACGTGACTTCCTCCGCTATTCCTGCCTCGATGTACCCAGCGCTATTTACGAGGACATCTATTCCGCCGTAGATAGCAATCGCTTCTTCTACCTTCGCATTGATGCCAGCTTGGGAAGCTGTCACATCCAGTGAGAGAATAGCTGCTCCAACATCCTCGAGTGAAACTAGACGTGCAACGTCACCACGTGCAGTGGCAATAGCACGATCACCTCGTGCAAGTATCCTCTGCACAAAGGCTTCACCAAATCCGGAAGAGCAACCAGTCACCAGCCAGGTGAGTTGAGTCATTGCAGTAGGTATCGAACTCGCATGTCGCTATCGAATGGGTGGTTGGGAATTTGCTTGAAGCAAAAGAGACGTAAATGCTTTTCTCGAGATTTTCTCGAATGGGGTGCGTTCTGTAAAATCAATGGGGGTGGGGGGGTTCGACTTAAAGTACACTGCGGTACCAGTGATGTCTTTCACCTTCCGGTCTTGTTTCCGTGAGGCTGATTTCTGCACCTTTCAGGGATGCGATTCGCTTGGGGTTAAGCAGCAGCAGTGATGTTTCCAGAACTTTAAGCTAAGACTAAACAGGTCGTAGTATGGTGTCGGGAACAGTTGCAGCTGTGGAACCTTCAGAGACCAGCAAGGGTGGAATGTAGGGGTATTGCGGCGGTGTACAAGAGGTGATCCATTCTCTGGCGGCTGGCGGCAGGTTCTGATTGGTGAGCAGATGACTATGGATCATGCCTACGCAAAGCACAGGCCATTAAAGAGTACATGCAGGGTACTAAATTTGGATTGGTGGCAAGGATATGGTACATATGCGCAGTCGTTGTCGGGGACCGGGGTGGATATTACTGTGGTGCCGTAAAGGCGCAGCAGTTCTTTATTCGATCACGAACATGTGATGGTATTATCGTTTGACAGCGACGTGGTGCCGTCTGAGCGTTCGCGGTTTCGGCCGTCCCGCCACTTGAGCTTTCCTTGCTCATGCTGCTTCGGCTGCCGTAACGTTACTTTCATTCCGAGAGGCTATTTCCTTTCATATGTTCTGCCCACGATACCACTTGCAAAGTAGCCTATGTATTGATCGGTTCTCTATACAAGATTTGATTACAATTGTATTTATCGATACACCAGCCCGCACACTAAACGTGAAAAGAACTTTTGGCACTCGTAGACTATGACGCGTTGAACGAGGTCGTAACTCGAATCTCGTTATTCCGGCCTTTTGGCCAGGCTCCACTGTCTCCTGATATATGGGTGTACACCTGGTGTTTTCCGGAAAGCATCTCCACATTATCTCGATCTAGATCTGTGCTTGACACGCCCTGCTTGATAAAGAGGCTACTGAGTGGCACCTGAAGTGAGTCCTTGACTGGGAGGTACGAGCCAGCTACTTGCGGTGTGCGTCTGGTATCTGTGGCATGTCTGCTCGAGGTGATCGTCGTAATAAGCGGGCGGTAGGTAGGGAGATTGGCGGCCAAAACCCCAACGCAGAGTTCAACGTTTGCAACAAGTGCAGGAATTCCGTAGTCCCCTAAAATAAATGTTAGAAGTATTCAAATGAAGCGGGGAAAATATCGCACAGGTTGCGTCATAGCTGTTTCCGATCTTGTCCACGTAGAAAAGACGCACAATAGCCCCAACGCAGGCACTAGACAGAATACGTCGGTGACAGTTTCTTAAGCATCGTGGTCGCGACTTACATTCCACCGATTGAGAACGTAATCATGAGGAGCCTCTTCCTGGACGCCGAAAGATTCAACTTCAACAGAGACGGCATGGGAAGAGCCAGTATAGCCACGTCGGTGAGGATGTTGATGACACCGCAAATCTTGATCAACAACGGATAATTGATGCAATATCGGTTCGGGCTCGCTCCCCACAAAGAGTCGACTGGAATACACTGGAAAATATCTGCAAAGATTTGTGCAATGCTGTACGCTAGAATGAAGGATCCGAGCCACAACAGAGCCCGATTCAGCCATTGTTGCGGAAAAATGCGGTGATACAGAAGGAGGATGGAGACTTTGATGAACGGAATCGCCGCGTTGTATATAATCTCAGCTGCTAACGACATCTGGTGTATCGAGAACGATTAGCGATTTACCTCTCATGGGTTACAGCAATGGTAAACCTTACCTTGATGAAGGCCGTGGGAGCATCTAACCACCAGATGTGTCGTCCCATTCCATACGTGATCATCACTATGTTGAGCGCTGTGCATAGCTAGGAAGAAGTCATTAGACAAAGTCGGTAAAGGGAAGCCGTTGCTTGTCTTACCATACCAGCCATACTCATCCAGTCATCCATTCCCCAAAAGGTCTTGACGAAACACAAGATATCTACCATGCCCAGGCATCGACCGTAAGGGGAACCAGCGCTTTCTCACTCTCCAGTTCCGCCGCGTATTTGTCACCGCCCAGTCTCCACACCAACTCATTCCACCAAAAATCCCTTGGGCCAAACCTTAGCGGCGTGGTAAACTCCCAATAATCCGGATACCAGCCCGCAGACTCCCAGTCCAGGAACCCCGAAATGTGACCATCTAGAACCATAATATTATGATGCTTGAGATCGCCATGAGTAAAGACGATTGGATGCCGCATTTTTCGCAGTCTTTCAGCAACTCCTACCGTCTCTTCGAACTTTTCCCGAGTTTCGAAGCTGTGGCCGGATATGGAACTGAAGAGGTGGTCGTTGAATTCAGATTCAGATTCAAACGGTCCGACTGCATGACCGGGGATGCGCACGCTCCTGACTGCTGTACCTAACACCGAACAGATCTGCTCTTTGCCCCATGGGTGAGGCCATTTCCGCATGACTTGTAGGATGCACTGTAGTTCCGCGAAAATGCTCTCCCGGTCGTCATCGGTCATCCCCTCATACAATTCAGGGTCGCCCAGATCCTTTCCCGGTATGCGGGTCATAAGTATTGACACCGGTGCATGAGGTGCGTCGAGGTGTTCGCCGTATGAGACGATCTTTGGTACTGGAAAGCCCGCAGACCGCGCTATCATGGTTGCCGCTACTTCTTCAAGCCGCGTGCCGTCTGACCATTTTAATACCAGTCCAAATGGAAGGGCCGCGATTTGATTGTCAAATGGAATGCCACACCAATGGCAGTAGTAGCTCGAGAAGGAACGAAGGTAATTGTGCAAGAATCCAAAAGCTTGACGAACACTTCGAGGGAAAAGGCGCGGCGTTGGTGGAATTGATGGTGCTAAATCAACAGACCCAAGGACTTGATGAGGCCAAGTAAAGGTAGGTAGGAGAATTTTAGGCACAAGGTACCGAAGCCAACTCATTATGGCGGTAGGTACGAAGGACAAGTAATATTTGAAGTGAGGATGTGGCGATTGGGTCGTCCGTCGGAGGGTTGCGTGCGAATATTTTCGCTTGAAGATTGGATGCGAGGCCTGCGTGAATTTTTTTCTCACTCCTACGGCGCCGACGCCTTACTTTTAGAACGTCTTTTTCGTTTCCTTCACGTCGAGTCCGTCCTTGGCAAAGAGCCGCCCGCGCGTCCCCTTTTGTAATCAGGGTGTCTGGAACTATTAGAAGAAAGTCGAGATCGGGCATAAACAGGTCACATACTTCGTTGCTTACGAGTAATAGCGTTACGCAACAGTATCGAGTTGGGTAAGAAGCTGCCTTGCGGTCACGGAGAGGGTTGCGTTTGAGAATTATGGGGTGACTCTACTCCGCCCCTTAAGACCGCGGACGCACGAGCCACTATGCCAAGATACACGAGCCATTTCGCTAATACAATGCAGACTAGTCCCGCTGTAGACGCCCGGAACTTTCTCAATCCGCCTCACGCGGGTTTTTTGAAGAAAAAAGTCGCTATTTTTAAGGTTATTTTACCCCTGCTCCGTTTTGCTCTCCTCCCGCCGGACGCTCCGGCGCTCTAGTAAACAGGGCCTAAGTCTACCAGATTGTCAAGCCTGAGATCTTTCCTCTCGATGAAAACTCGGATAGATTCTCGATCTTATTCTACCCGCTTGATAGCCTCACATCCCCAAAAGCTCCCCATAAACTGCTGAACCTTTTGATGATACCCCTTCTGCCTGCGGAGTTTAGAATATCGCGTCTTTTTGCTGGTACTGTATATGTAGTATGCTCGCATCTTCTTTATGACGAGGTCGAGCGAATTCATGACTGCGCAAAAGCTCCCCACAAGCTGGGACTTTTGTCCCTAAATAGTTTCTGCTCTCCCTGTCTTAAAGTTAGACTTCCGTCTGGCGCTTAGATTAAAGATCTAGCGCATCGGACATTTGTTCTCCGGCGCTTCGACGTAAGACGGTGGCTTGGCATCTCCGAATACGAAGAGTATATAGTTTGCACATGGTGCCCAAGTATCTTTGGCAGCCACTTTATCACATTCAAAACTATCCCAAGAACATACATACAACCGCAGCAAACTCTATTACTTTGATCATGTCTCTCAGCAATCTTCAAGTCAATGGTCTATATGTTATTCTTTTCCTGCGAACTTCGCCGCATACGCCGAACAACTTCCACTGGGGTCTCTATCTACACGGTGATGCTACACAAGGAGGGACCAAGTATCACATCAAGCAACAGGGATCTGGCTGGATTGCAGATCATGGGAAGACTGCTGGCGTCTTCAAGTCCTTCTTGCTCGTCGGACTCTTCCAAATCGCGACGATCCCCACTGGTTGGAAGGGCCACGCCGACCAGCAATTCCGAACGTACGATTCATCGCTGAACAGCTCGCCTAATATAACCTGTCGCGTCTGGCTTCTCTGGGTCCTGGCGTTGCTGCAGAAGGAGGTAAACGGGTACAAACTCCTCAAGTGTGCCGATCTGAGCGCACTCGAGGCAGAAATCATCGCCTGGGGGAATGAAAACGCCGCCTCCGCAGATCTAAACCTCCAACCACGACCGGTCGCGGTATCGAGTATGTCTTCTCATATACTGTATTGCACAATACGTACTAATAGGTTTCCGCAGAATACATTCAAGGGTAAAGTCGTGCCTGAATATTTAGAATGTTTGACTACATTTTTGTGATCCACCGCGGTCGCACCTCGGTGTAGTTTACCACCTCAATGTTGACGAGGTTTAAATCGCGAAGGCGCTAAATGTTGCAACTATCTCTTTACCACGCCCGTTTTATATGTAGAACTATGCTGCTGTTATTTTGTGTACTAAATTTGTGGGTTGAGAGGCGGATTGGATATGCAGACGTGGAGATGCATGACCTTTTGGAGGGATCGGTGGGGAAGTGGAGGGCAAAGTAGGGGCAGTAGTGACCAAGAATAAGTCTTGAAGGACTAAGAACAGACTAGGAGCTGAAAACATGGAAGCGTAGCGCATATGAAGGGTATTATTGTCCGCAATGTCTCTAATGCTGATAGTGCATCATTGTTTCTGTGCCCATGTCTAACGCCATTTCACGTCCTGCCCAACCATGGAACTCTTACCTCCATACATGCACCTCATTACTCCCGGAAAGATATCGTGACGTTTGAGCGTCGTGGCCTCGAGCTAGGTAGGAGTTTGGTGTAGGGTGTGACTCCGGTTTGATTGGGGCTCAAGTCTTCACCTTCTTACTCCTGGCTGCAGCAGGAGTCCAATCACTTCCGCCATCCGATGGCTGTGAAGATAGTTCAGACTCTGCTTCATCCGAATCCAGGGCGGACGCCATGCGACGACCGGGGACGTGATCCGATTCCCAGTCCTCATCCGATGCAAGACCGGGTTTGTGGGAGTCATAAAGCTTCTGCTCCTCTTCGGCTTCGTGAAGGCAGGATGCTAGCTGGCCGTGTGATATTTCAATCGTGAGGTCGTCCTGCGAGTCGGGCTGCAGGCGGTCGGTCGGACAGAAGTCCGAGAGACGGAGCTGCATGGAACCGTCTACCACCTCAGCATTCGGCTGGCCGATATCGCGGAGGAACGGTTGCCTATCAACGACGCATCGAGAGTGTATGCGGAAGCGGCCATTGGTCTTCCGCGTGCGTACACGGCGATATATCCAGTAAAAGCCAGACGTCGGTGGTGCGGAGGCTCGCTCGCCGGGACTGTGGTATTGCAGGTCTGCCATGATAACCGCATGTGTACCAGCTTTTATGTACTCGGCAGCTACATCGGCGGGTGAGGGATTATGGGCGTACGCGATTTCGATGGCCACCATACGGATAGCATTCCCACGGAAAGAGAATCCGGCATCGGGATCTCTGTAACTGCCGGCAGCATCCAGCTTCGTCCACGACGTCGTCCGGCTCTTAATTTTACTCATGAGCTCCGCCCTTGTGGCTTTCCCTTCTCCCCTCGCATGTTTGATTTCCTCATCAATCTTGCTTGCGATAGCGCGGTTCAGGGAGTCAGCGAACTCGTCGTGTATTGGTGTCGGCATGTGGACAACGAAGAGACCAGCCTTGGTCTTCCGCTCCGTCCATGCACTCCTGGCCTTGTCCGAAAACCACCCAGCGAGGCCTTGGTCTGCAGCAATGGCATGCTGTAGAGCGCGATACTGGGCGCCCGAGAGCTCGGCACGGACAGCCTCGCTCTCTCCGAAACCGCGATGGAGGGCTCGTAGCCTTGTAAGGACGTCGCGCAAGGTTTCGTCGAGGGGTTCGGTAGGCTTTGTCTTTGCTTTCAGTGGGGAGGGATGAGCCGAGGACGAGGGAGATGCGGGCGGCGAGCGCGAATTTGTGTCGCTGTCAACGTCGAGGGGCGCTGGGCTGGCAGGCGGCGTATGGGGTCTGACGTCCCGGATGCGAGGCGCCAGCGCGAAAGAGTCTTGATGGTTATCTTTACTCATTGCATGTCGTTGGGTTGCATGCCGGTGCAGGGACGGCGACGTCGTGGGAGTGAGTCCAGTGTCGGAGCTCGTCGCGGAGATTCGTTTCCCCGGCACTAACCGCTTGCGGAATGCTACAGCTTAGTCGAGCGCGAATGCGAGAGAAAATGCCATGGACCATTAAGATGCTGGGCATAGCATACACCTATGCTCCCTCTACCTAGATAATCCACCCGTGGACACGGTGCGGGCCCACCTGGGCACGCGCGCGATCAGCTGCCGCGCTAGCCTGTATGCGGCAACCAGAGATCTCACTCGCCGTCGTCACTTTTCCGGCGCGACCGCGAGGTATGGAAGGCCCTGGCTTGTATGCAATGGCAATGGAAATGACGTTCTGTGGTTCTGGTGGACAGCTGTGCGCATCTCCCGCTTCACGGTGTCCCGCCCAATGATCTTCACGCTGTCGATTGCTCCACGCATCCATCCCGCCCCGCCCCGCCGCCGACATATGAAAGCGCATGCGCTCTCAGCCCCGCATCTTGATGGCTCGACATCGATAGGGGAGAAATTTCAACCCACCAACTTGCGTGTTTGTATCGGAACGATGCAGTGCTCTTCCCCTATCCACTGATTCGGGGGCAGACGTTAACCTAGATCTTGCTCCGGTATACGAACTTATGGGCTGGAGCTGCAGTCGGCACTTTTGTCTAACGCTCAAGCAACGCAAAACCAGCCTCTGCAGCCATTTCTACAGGGTTCTATTTGAGGCAGTCAGTTGAGCTAACCTCAAACACTGGCTTCCCGCTACTTACCGGCTTCTCTGGAGTTCTTTGTTCGATGCGAAAAGCAAACGCTGACTTCCGACCTTGCCACGCAAAGCCGGGCTGAGGAGCCCAAACGGGATGAGATGTCTTAGATCATACGGAGAGCAGGGCAGCTCCTCCCTCGAGCAGGGAAAACCAGGGCCTGGTTCGGGTGACGAAGACTGCGGGGACTGGCAGCAGCACAAGCGGAGATGTTCGAGGGCATAGTCCTCTACCGGGACAGTGCAAATGGGTTCTTAGAGACCGCTCCTAGAAAAAAAAAATTTTAGTTCTGAAATCTTGAGGGCGTGTCTGTGCCAGGAGCGTTGAAAGAACGGGAAGCTATCCTGGCGCGAGCACACCATTAATCCCAATTTCGGCACGTCAACGCCTAACCCTTCCGTGACCTCCTGTCTCGCTATCGTGCAACTAGTATTAGCGCCAATACAGATCAAGTTGAAATGAGCGGCTCATCTTTGATTTTTCGATGGCGCTCTCAACATGCGTCCGGCTCACGAATTCCCCGTCTACCTCTGCACACCCGCGCCATCAGTCGGCATTCAGCACGGTGTCATCCCACACTGCAATGAAAGGAACTGCATCTCTTATTAACCAATCTACTCTCGCATCAGTGCATAACTACAACTAAACAGCTAGTCTCCCAGATATAAAAATCCCTCTTCCCTCTTCCGAAATCCTTAATCGAGCAAACGATGAGGTGGAGGCTGCCGCTTGGAGCCTGTTCGTCGACCTAGGTCCATCGGAGTCAGCGTGCAGGAGAAGCTCGAGGAGCCGAAGCAGTCGAAGAAGCTGACGCAGCATTTTCCTATGCACCGAGCTATGAGAGCTCCATTTTCTGGGCTAGCATGGCCGCTTTCGAAAAAGCGGAAGCTAGGGGTGTCCAATGACAGTGGGGTGGAAGGGTCCAGCAGGCATGGGAACTCTGATAGCGAATGCACCGAGCTTGAAGAGCAATGAGCTGGAGACTGGGATATTTATCAAGGGCACGGGGGTTAGATAGTTTGAGCTGAGCTATAACAAAGAGTATATCTTCACCCTGCTCTCTTTCTTTCTTCATCCTCTTCTTGAACATATGGAACTTCACTGCATAGATGAGCCTCCGCCTCTGCCGCGCATCTAATACCAAGTAGATGAACGGCACACCGTCAGCCCTGGAATCGAATCCCAGACAAGTAGCAAGTCGTGCATGGTAGAAAGCTAGTAGGTGCTCAAGATAACGTAAACAGACTTCCGTCACCGCTTCAGGGCCTGAGAAAGCTCGTTAGTATTGTTGCCTCGTTGTGGAAGCTCACCGTTCAGCCTTGTTGGCGCCCGTGCAGGTCAGCCTTGCTGCTTTCGGAGTCGATGGGGAGGGGTGGGTGGGAGAAAGGGAGGCACCGGCGTTCTTTGTCCTTGTAAACCTGTCGCTTTTATTAGCGCTTTGGCTGTTTCATGGAGAGGTACGGCACTGGATAATACGAGAGAGTGCAATGAAGTGTATAGACACCGCGGCGCGGATGGGGAAATATGGGAGCTGCATGCCTTAGGCTAGGAAGAATTGTGGTATTGGCGAGCCTATTTGGCTAAACTTCGCTGGGTATTGTCGGTACGCGTTCGAGTTCGGAGAGACGGGCGCTCCGGAGATCCTTGAGGATGACGAATAGTAAACGAAGATGACGCGATGGCAGTCCTAGAGGCTGCTGGCGCAATTCTTGAGTGGAGGGCAGCAATTCGCGAGGCGGGAGAAACCGGATCTTCGCATTCGATTTAAGCCTTCGAGACGTCTAAGGCGAACGAGGAGGAAGAAGAAGAGGAGGAGGAGGAGGAGGAGGTAGTGGAACATGTAGCTACACGTGAGAGTACGCCTCAAACGCCGACGTAAGGTGTATGCTTAATATCGACAACTTTGAAATGAGCGGCGTCGCCAGTATCTCACATGTCCTTGCAAGGCGTCAGAAACGATACCGCGCGAGAGGGCGTGGCAAAGATAGCGACGATGAAACGATCCTTTCCTCTCAGCGGATGCCCTGCAGCCAACCAACCTCACTCCTGTTTCGAATGCCAGGCTAGCAAGTGCAGGCAACTCGCCTTCTCGTTTCATTTGCCCTCAAAGGATAAGTAGCACGTCTTCCATCCCCAGCAATCTCGCTCCGATGAACCTTGGCCCGTCTGCAATACGACTACATCCATTACACGGCGATAGCAGCCTACACGCCATCTCGCCGTCATGCCGTTGTGGATAGCCACCAGCCTCCGCTCGCCCCGAACCGCGCTGCATCTCTCCACTATCCGCACTGTCATCGCAGCTACCCCGTCGCTGTGCGCGGCTGTTCTGCGCTTGGCTGGAGGGGCGCGGCGATGCTTGCTGTCCAGACGAGCAATGGGCCAAACATGGCCGCGTTGGAGGTAAACATGGTTGGAGGAGCAACGAAAAGAAGCTACAACGAGACAGATTGGCACGGCGAGCACGGCATGAAGAAGTAGATAAATATGAGACGAGATACGAGGCAGAGGTGAGGCAGAGGAGAGAAAGACACGATGACACCCCGTAAATTGGACCAGCATTCCACTGACGCTTTTGGCATACGCTAACTCGTCGAGGGAGTGCATAGCCGAACCGCATCGCAGCACCAGCATCCCATCAGATGACTACCCGCTGCATCACAGCACTCCCCCAACCCGCTCCACCCACCCCGTGAGTGCGGCCGAGGGATCGGTATTACTCGCAACCAGCGAGGACGAACCAGTTTCTTCTCCTCATGCTGAAAACGCATGGCATACGGTGCGGAGGGCGAAGCAATCCTCCAGAAGATCCGCAACGAGGGCGGAAACTATTAACTACCTATCCGGCAAAGCGTGCTTGTCTTATTTCCCCTTCTCCACCCGGTGACACGCGGCCGAGATGTTGGCGACATTAACCAGCACTGCATTCGTGACCCCGCGGGAGAGATACCCTAACACTGAGGAAAGATATGATTTGCGTGTGACGTACAGGCCCTAATCCACTCTCTAGGAAGGTCGCTAGCATTGTAGTTATGATTAGTTATCGCTCCAGAAGCTGCAAAGCCGTTGTTGCATGTATGCCTGGTCCCGTACTTCAGCCGGATAGCTCGGGATGACTGGCGTTTGAAGCAGAATGGTCGAGCAAGCAGGCGTCGTTGTACCTTTGGGGCTGGCTTTCGATGGCATGGCGGCATTACTACCGCCAATAAATATGTGGCAATGGTATTCCTAGCGCCGTCGGGTCGGCTCGGTGCCCCTAGGGCGGCTTGCGCGTTGAGCGGTGCTCTTTTGCGTAGCGGTGATGCATCTAGGTTCTTTGAGACAGCGTTGATCAGGTCTTCCCCAGCGCCGAAGAAGTGCTCCACCAGAGAGAGCTGCGAGGCGAGAACACGCCGGACCGCCAAAGTGCCTGGCCCAAAGAACTTTCCCTCGCATCAAAGTGGCTTGCTCTCTGCTTGCACATGTCGCCTCGTACAACGATAGCGTCTTTTTTGCTGGTACTGTATATGTAGTATGCTCGCAACTTCTTTATGACGAGGTCGAGCGAATTTATGACTGCGCCTCGTACAACGGCAAGGGAATGTTCGCCTTGCTCAAAGGATTTGGGGGAGGTGAAGGAGGCTCAAAGATACGCTGGGGACAGCACCTCATCGAAATCCGGCTTTGAGAGTGCCCGCGAGAAGCTCGGTATTTATCTCACGAAATATGGCGCCTGGCTCGGCGGTATCCGGAACGTGGGAAGTCAGCGATGAAGGCAAAGGCGAATAGTATATCTTCATTGCAAAGGCTAGAGGACAAGGGAGTATAATCTATCTAAGTAACAAGGAGCTGCACCAAGGAGAACCAAAAGAAAGTTACAAATATTACATGAAGCCGCTTCACCGAAACTCAAAGCCGGCAGCCGTTTAGAAAGAAGGGTGTAGGTACAGAGAGTTAGTCTCCATTTGTTTCCTTCGTCGACGATGTTTCGGAATGGAGAACCTTCGCGGACATTAGGATTTCGAACTCTCGCTTCAACAGTGGTACCTGTCTTTCCCAGGTATCTCGCGACGCGTACTTCTGATGCGGATTCAACCTGTGGCGCGTCTACTACATCCTTGGTTTAGACTTCCAGGAAGTAATCCCGTCCTAGCTCAATCGAGACCAATTCTCACCCTTCTTATGCCTCTTGAAGACGTTCCATGCCGCCCGAGTGTAGAGGAAATGAGGTGAGATCCCCTTAAGATGAATTTGCTTATCATGGATTCGCTCGTAGAGCACAGAAGATGTTGGGTGCACCGCAAGGGCGGCAATGAAGCCCCCATCATGTGGCAGGGGATCCCAAAACGCACGATCCAGTGCCTGATGGGAGTACGGTTCCATTAGGATGAGGTTGGATGGATTATCGATTCCTCGGGAATCAGGGAATGATCGACCGTTTCGCGGCGAACACTTCTCGAGCACTCTTCGGGGTCTCCCAAGCTTGTCGCCCTTCGGCTCTGGTGCTGCGCCTGGAATAATGAATCGGTCCATCTTATCGTTGTCAAATTTGGCCTGTTCGGCCTTAGGTACGAGGTGTGCAAGTTCCAATACATCCGGATCGCCTGAGATGACGCACTTGCCGTCCCTCTCCTTAGCAACCGTGCGAGTGGCAGAATAGCGGTAACGAGGATATTCGTATGCGATGGTCGACCATTCGGGGGGTAGTTCATTCGGCAACTCCCACTCCCAGAACCACTCCAATTGTTTGGCGTCTGCGTATACCGATGAGTAATTGATGAGCTTTGAGTGGGGCGAGGATGACTGACTTGGACCTACTGGATGCCAAAAGTACTTCCCGGGTGGTAGAAACTCGTCTTGGACGATGTCACCGCCCAGATGATCTTTAGTAAGGTGTCCAAGAGCATTGCTCGTCAGTATCGAGCTCACTTGGATTGCCATCTTCGAATGCGTTGACTTCGAGTGCGAACTTCCCTCATGGGGAAGTGATGGAAAGTCTGCCAGGAGCTTCCCGGTCCTTGCATTGAATACCAATGCGTATTCGTTGTCCCACTCGTGATCAAAGGTCGCTTTGGCGCCGCCTCCTCCGGATGCGCGTGTGGTTAGGCCCGTGGAGAAAGCGGACACGTTCGAAGTCGCGGTATTCCGTCGCTGCGCCTTACTATATGCACGGGCGTAGGTTGGCGGAATAGCCGCGATAGCGGAGTAGGTGCGAACACTAGATACCAGTGGCCGCTGAAAGAGTGATCGTACTGGGGAACATAGGACTGGTTTCTATTACTGTTAGACATAGCTGAGAATTGCCATTAGGATAGGGAGAACTCATGCCAGATTCATGTTGGTAGTTCTGCGGTATTATGAAGTGAGTTGCTTGGATTTGTCGAGTTGCGAAGTCGAGCGCGGTGCGTTGAAGCAAAGGAAAGTCCGACCGCAGCATGCTATATATTTTACGGACCGAGCAGACAACCTTTCACTACTTGCCGTAGATGCGAGGGAGGTGAATTCATCCTGGCCACCCTACTTATTCTGGAAAGAGGAAAGCGTTTCTTGCTGCCACCGCTATAATGCTTGACGCAAACCTCGCAAACAATAGTTCCCTCCCAATCCCTTGTAATGGAAGCAACGGCTTCATGTGCCCCCGTGATATCGTGACTTCGCAGTTGCTGTTGATCACATACAACACCCACTGAATGCCTGCTGGTGTTGGACAGGGCACAATGACGATCTTCTCGTCCCTGAGAAGGGCGGCCGATGTTGGTTCGACACAGATTGTATTGTAGGGCCCTCTGAGGTCGAGAAGAGTTAGGTGTTTCGAAGTTCGGGTCGCCTTGAGCGCGCTTGTGAGTTGGGGCATCGTCGGCGAATGATTGGCCCTGATATCTGCTAGAACTTGCGCATGATACTTTGGTCGGACAAGCGGAGCAAATGTAAAGATGTCACTATCGCCCAGAATTCGGTCCCGATAGTCATCTCTCTGAAAGACAATGCGTTCTATGACGACCTTGGGGGAAGTTTTGTTGAACTTGGGGTAGTTATATGCTCCGATATGTGCCTTGAGCCAGCTGGCCGGAAGCTGCGAGCATGATGGAAACCGGTACTGGAAGACATTACTGATGACGGGATAGTCTACGTTCACGTCAGTTGAAGGCTTGAAGTCTAGAAGGTATCCACTTACCGCGATTGGAATATTGCTTCGGAGAATGGAAATAGTACGTTCCTGGCTGAAGAATTGTGCTCTCTGTAGCATCTGCATGGAGTGGGGCGTCTTCAGGGTCCTGCGAACGTGACAAATACCCATTCCATAAGTTTCCGGCCATGACAGAACACGCTTGCTGTGCAATCTGAAGGACCATCCCATTAACTAAGCTTCCATTGCTTCCGGAGGTCGTAGAAGAGATTGAAGGTGCGGCTTGCAGCTTGAGGAACGTAGTGTTGGTAATAGGATGTCGGAATCGAAGCCACCCGGCAGGTTCTCGAGGACTGGTCGAGAATGTTCTCAATGCTCTGACAGCCATGTTGAGGAAGGGTAGGCGGTGAGTTGTAGTAGTGTAGGGCTAGATCTATATATATACTTCTCGAGGTCAGCTTCTCTGCCTCGGCCGCACGGACCGGTTGTTTTCTTTACCTTCACCATTTGCATATCGCAGCCACGAAGCGCCGCACCTGCCAGCAACGGCGGCTTCGCGTGGTGGCTGTACTGGCTCCCCCTAGGGAAAGTTACGAAGCGGTTCTTGGTTGCAATGCTGTTATAGAAGCGCCGAAGTCCGCCATCAAGCCCAACCCGCTAGAAATGACAAAAGGCGTTACTGAATTGCTGTCCAACCATCCGGCCAGTACAGATCCTTGTGGTTGCCGGGCCCGAGTCCACCCGCTTGCTCAGCTCCACCAACCCGGAGACCCGTGTCTAGCTCTCTATCACGGTGTTTTCCGGTCTGCACTCGACTGGGGATTCGGTCCCAAGGTCTCGAATCCAACTGTTGACACGCTATGCCGAATATAGTACCCAATCACGTGCACTGCAACACCCCATGCTACGTGCCGCTGGGAAGGCACAATGTTAATAGAGTATCTTTAAGAATCTCTTTATGATATACGCACTATAAGCATAAATACGTTGCTATACGCAGTAATTCGCAGAGATGTCGAAAAAAGTTTTCCTAATGCTGAATTTTCTAGCGCTCTCAGCTATCCGAATGTTCCATGCTGAAGCGTCCACCCATCTCCCTTACCAGCAAGAGTCGCCAGACTTGAGTTTCCTTCGACTCGGTTCATGTAATCATGATCCCAAATTCTCCACCAACAAATTCCCAACCTCCTCCATTCTGGACCAACTGCATCTTCAGGACGTAGAAGCAATAATCCAACAACTTGCACTGCCCGCATAGGGGTGTTTTCTGCGTAATTTTTCGGCAGATTGACGCTTCGACCAAGCATGTGAACCATAACTGTTAATCCTTCGTTCTTGAACCAGTCAACGAGTGAATACTCCCCTTCCCCTACACCAAAGAACTTCCAAAGTTTTAAAGGTGGGGTTAGGCCGACCATATCATCAAGAGCAACCCCTACGCTGTTCCCAAAGTACCCGGTCAGTTGTTGGTTCACATGGTATTCTCGCCAGGGATACACTAATTGTTGTATGGAGCATGTCGGTCCGGAGAAGTGACCAACCACTGTATCGCCTATGTTTCTTGTAGACAGCGTAGTGGTCGTTTCGAAGGAGCTCATTCTGATGACGGAGCTCGCGAGAGTTGCCAAATGAGGAATGAAGGTGTTGTAACTCATCCTCCAGGCCTTTCCAACAGGGGCAGGCTTTGAATGTGTAAACAACTGGCTCATTGCCGGCGTTGTTTCCATAAGCTTTGCTCCGAGCTGATCCTCTAGCGTCTCCAAGTCGTAAATAGCGTGAGGCGGAGAGTCTGGCTCAGATACGCCTAGTTTGAGACCAAAGGCTTGCATGATCCCGTAAACTCTATCATTGGTATTCTTTGGACCGATCTTCCGCTTCTGGGACGCACTAAGGAGTATTGTCGGGATCCTGGTCTTCAGCGCGGCGCATCCCGTTGCTTCAATCCGATCTCGAATGCCGTGCAAGTCCTGGTTATGACAGAAAATGGGCAACTCATTCATGGCTCTGTAGAGCATATCAAAGCTCTCGAAAACGTCCTCCACTCCTATAGGAACTTCCTCTTCACTAAAACGTGGCGAAATCGAGTTTATCTTCGCAAGCCACTGATCTCCGTCTCGATCCAACAGCAGAGCGTCAGGACGGATATATGCCTCTTGTAGCGTCCATAGGGAGGTAAACCATGGGTCCGCCGTGTATTTCTCCAACGTTGAAATAATGTTGCCTACCACCTCCGCGATATCCTCCGTCGTTGCCTTGTTCTTCAGCAAAGGGTTCCACACATATCGCCAGTAGCTGGCGAGCTGTTCGCTTATCGACCGAAGTTCGCTCCTGTTGTATGTATACAACCAGGCGAATACGCGGTAAGCCCCACGAAAGATAACCCCTTGGCGACCAATCTCCATGGCTTTCTCGTGGGATCGCTCGCGTTGGTCAATGCAGGCTACATCAAGCCAGAGAAATTCTATCGGTTTGTCGCTGAGCTTCGGTAAGCCTTGAATAACGTCGATGAATTGTTTCTGGGTAAAGCGGTTGGGGTTAACGCGGGGAATATTCCATGGGGTATGGAAGTCCAAATGCGGAATACCGGGGTAGTCTCCCTCTTCTAGCTCCCATCGACCCCAGGTATACGAAATCGCGAAGTATTCTGGCTCTATATAGCAACCATATCGGTTTCCGGGCTCCCAGGGGTAGGATGTCAACGTAGCAAGGTGCAGAAGCCGTCTCGGCCAGCGGCAGTTATTATCGAAGGTCGAGCCGTGCGCTTCGTTATCATGTGTTGCCATGGCTTTTGCATCTGCGCACTATTCTATTGGAAAATAAGCGGACATTTAACTCTGAATGCAAAGGTCTAGAAGTACATATGCGATAGGTAGGAAGTCGATGAATTAGGAGGTCGAAATGCTGGAGGCTGATACCATCAGGGGACGTGTCAAAAGCGGGGCATGGGTAGAAAGACCCATCAATGCTGAGTAAGCTCTAGGCAACAATTTTATGGCCGGCGCCAAGTCTTCGTCTATTCAAGACGCCAGCTCTACATCCTCATTGCTCGCGAGCAACCCATGGGCGGACTTGACTCCATGACTAGAATCACATTTGGTACATGCCGTCTTTTCGCGCCTTAAAAATATCGCGTGGGTCGTGATTCGGTTGCACGTCAGCGAGGGCATAGGTGAACGAAAATGAAGTGCGATGTGAAGGGACGCCGAGAATAGAGGGGCGAAGGCGCAACAGCTGGCAGGAAGGCTGGTCCGGAATAACTTCGGCATTCCTTGTCGATTCGCCGAACGCGGCACGTGTTCTTCTCGCGGAGCCCCGCTCGCGCACGGAACCATGGGCAAAGTCGCAGACACCGCCAGAATTGACAAGTGAAAATCGATTCCACATCACGATTTGACCGCGGACTGGAACGATCAGCAGACCATCATCACCTGAGATGAGCGCGATTCAGATGAATAGCCTTTCAAGTGGCATGGGGAATGGAAATTTTGGCTAGCCTCTCTGCACCACACTTGAGTTCAACAACAATTTGACTCTTCTTACACAAGAATCCCCTTATTCTGGTTCAGGCCATCACTCACGGTATCGCTGCCTGTATTCCCGCTGACGTCACCCTCCTGTCGCCGTTGTGGCTGGCAGCCGAAGTATCGGAGCGAAACGAGCCGGAGTAATCCAAACGGCAACGCCCAGCGACCGTATTACATATGCATCCGCTGCCGTAAACGCCGGTTACACCAGAATGAATCTGACCATAAGATGGGGTGGATATCGTGGGACGACGATCGTGGCATACATGGTGGAAACCCGCGTTGCGACTGCGGAGTGGTGAGCCGACAAGATCGCGCTGGCGTCGATAGCTCTAGGCCAGGGATGGGCTTCTGGACATGTGCGGCTGGGTCTTGCGATTATTATTCGGAATTCAGGAATGGCCAGACGCCCTTGGAAGCTAAAAGGTACCCACATCTCCCGGGACGTGGTCATTTTCTACCATGGCTATTCTAGGACCATACACTTTTATAAAGGCAGGAGACTAAGCCCGTCCTTTAAGCTCTTCATGTCCATACGAAATCATTTCTTCGGAGGGGTAAACCACCATTTTCCCTTTCCGTTACTCCAGTACGTGCTTCCATCTGGGTTGGTGTAGAAGAAGCTCCCATCCCTAAAGACGAAATTGATTTTTATCCTCCTAATGGTATTTTTCGGTGAGCTTACCTATTACAATAGTGGTATGTCCTGCGACAGGGAGCGGTGGGACCATGGTCACGGACACGGAAAAGATTACCCTGGTGAAATTTCAATCGTTACCTCTGCTATGACGATCTGCGGATATGTTGAAAGAATTACCTTGCTGTTTATTCCAGTACGGATAATGTTATAGACTGGGTAGAATCGTGGTGGCATCTTAAGGTGTCGAATCTCTTGCGGTCTAATGGTGAAATAGTCTGGGACCAAGAGCGTGTGTGTGCGCTTCTCATGAGAATGGTTGGTGTGACTATTATATGGTGGGCAATGATAAATACGTACCCTTCTGTGGCTAGCCAATAGTCCGTTGGGCAGCTCTGCGTGATGTCTCATTGGCTGGTACCTAGGAGGAACTGTTACAAGATCGAGGGACGGTATTCTACGACTGGCTATCGCTCATTCTTTCACAGGCAATGTCGTGGACATGCTACGCAAATATAGGACTAGAAGCTCAATGCTAACTCTGATCTATAGGCGCTGATAGCTTCCTTCTCTAACTTGTGTCTTACATTTCAGTGCTTCTGCCTAAATTCCCCCGAGCGCAGCCCCCACCTACACCCCGCTAGGTCGCGGGAACGGCGCCAGCCGGGCACTCTATGCTGCTAGGGTTGGGGTGCTGGACATGCGGAGCGGGAGTAGGTAGCGGAGACGGAATCGTCATTCGACAGGCGCCTGGGTCCTAATCAAGTCGCTCGGACATGTCGGCGACAACATAAGTGATAAGCTTTACTTTATAACCAAAAGTACTTCCAGCCTTCTTTTTCTACCTTAAAATTTTTTCGCCATTAATATCTAATCTGTCCGCCACCTCTTCTCCACCGTAATAGCCTGTGAAATCGGCGCCCCATTTGGCGCCACCGTTGATGGAGTTCTGTCACTCGTGCTCTCCTGCGGATATGCCGAGATCTGCACCTCAGGCACAGCCTTCATGGGCTGCAACTGGACCTCGGAGCTGTCGTCACCGTCAGCATCGTCGAGCTCAGTAAAGGGGCCGCGGCTGCCGCTCCCCAACTGCTTCTTTGCGTAGACTGCGCTGCCGCCGCTGCCCGAGTAGTCGTACTGACTAGCGTTATTCTTGGCGCGGCGGTGCGAGGGAAGGAGGGGTCGCATGAGCGGGATGCAGGCGAGGGCAATTGCGACGGCGGGCTCAAGGCCAGATAGAATGGTGGCGAGGACGCCGCTGTACGTCATGTCGGCGAAGTTGAGACCGGGAAGAAGAGTTTGGCGGTAAATGGTGATGACCCAGGTCCTGTTTGTTGTCAGTGGGAGAGCCTCGGAGAGCAAGCTGGTAGTGTGGTTGCGTACATGATGCCAATACTGAGCATGCCCATGGCGAGAACCTTCTTTTTCGGTGCTAGGCGCAGACGGTATAGGTAGGGCATGGGCAGCACGAGGAGGAAAACGTCGGTGATGATGTTGACGACGCCCATGGCGAAGTAGAAATTGGGCTGGCTGCCGCAGGTGCCGGGAATGGTAAGGTCCCAGTTGCGTGCGAGAGGGCGGCATATCAAAAAGGCGGCAATGACATCGCCAATGTTCCACGCAATGATGAGGGCGCCGATGCCCTTGGCCCACTGCTTCATGGAGGGGATGGGAATCAGGGCCGTGTACATGAAGAGGATGGACAGCTTGGAGAAGCAGACGGTGGCGTTCCAGATCATGGAGAAGGTCATGATGCCCTGGACGGGTCAGATTGCTGCTATACTTTTCTGCAAGCAGATGAACGCACTTTAAAGAAGAACGTGGCCGTCTCGGGGCCAAAGCGCTGGTAAATATCCATCGTGTGAAACCCAAAGCCGCCATGGGTGACGAGCAGCATGCAGCACGTGTGGAGGGCGGTGTTCCAAAACTTGCACCGTCAGTCGTGCTCCATAAAGAGAAGTGACGAGAATACCAAGGCGGCGATGATGCACCAGTCGCTGTAGTCGACGCCAGTGCTGATGCGTTTGGCAACGAGTCGCAAGCCCACGGAAAGGGCCGCGATGAATATGGAGAAGGTGGACGCCACGAGGATGCCGACTTGGTTACCATTCTCAATGGGCACAGTCTGAACCATGGCGGGCTGAGTCTGCAGTGGCAGTAGAAAGTAAAGGACGGGACAAGCACCAACGAGCGAGGCGCAATCAAAAGAGCGTTTCCTTTATTCCATGGTGTCGTCGCGAAAAGCAACTGGAGGAATGCTGCTACATGTACTGGATGTACACGAATCCCACAGGGATCCATGAAACGAACCCTTGAGCAAAAGAAGCAAAAAGGCAGCAGATCTTTCCCCCCAAATGGTGATGATAGCATGATTTATCCGTACGACAAGAATTCAGGCGGGAAATGCTCTTCCGATCCTGACCGTAGTTGGGGCACAGCACGAGAATTCGTCACCCGAAATTTTCTCGGCCAATCAGACCAATAGAAAGTTGTCAGGTTCTCACGTGACGGATACTCGTGCTGTGCCCCAGAGGTAGTTACTTTTTGTGAGGCTGGATCTAGCCCCGGAGAGGCTTCGGTTACGTGAATTCGGCGGCACAACCAGAGTCCCGGATCCCTCTACCCAGTAGGGAAGAATGCCGCTAGGCCCGCCCTGTCAAGCTAGCAACGGCCCCAGTAACTAGGGACGGATAGCTAACGGCTGGGCTGCGACCATGGCAGCCACCCAAGAACGCGCCCTGAACAGAAAGACGCTGTACTTGCAGCTTAGCAGGGCATTCGACTGGACGGGTTAGAAGCCTCCAGCTGTAAAACTCGTGCTTGTGGAGGTAGTCGGCCGGGAGACGATAGCTGCCATGGCTTCGAGGCTGTGCTGGGGCCCGTTTGAAAATGCTCATGCGAGGGGCTCTAGGAAAAACAAAGCTGCAACCTCCTGAAGAGTGAGTGGCCTTATCTACTGCAAGGAGGTCGGACACTATTTGCTGAGCGCCGTTTCCCAACTGCAGCCCCCAGTTTTCATTTCCTGCTAGCGCTACTTTGGCACGCCACACCGCCGTTCGTTGACCTTGCTTCTGTTCTCGTCAAAAAGATCTTTGCACCCTTGACTCGACACGAGGTCTGGGAACGGGGAGCCACTGATTCGTCGGCGGAGCACTACACGCAAGCCATTTCCGCGGTTGCCAATGTCCTATCCTACAGTATAAGGCTGCCGTGGACGCCTGCAGGCGGTGGCAAGAGATACCCAGTATCATACGCAAGAATCAGCAAGTCTCCGAAATCATGGGTTCTGTGGAACAGTTTGAGCACAAGGTCGCCATCGTCACCGGCGCTACGGTACGTGTGACCTGTCAGCATGCGACAGAATCCTTCGCTGACCCATCGCCCACCAGAGCGGTATCGGCTCCTGGCTGGCGGAGCACCTGCACAAGCGGGGCTACCGAGTTGCGCTCTGCGGTCGCCGCGAAAAGGAAGGACAAGCTGTTGCTTCCAGTCTTGATGCTTCGAGCGAGTCAGCCATTTTCGTCCAGTGTGACGTGTCGTCGTTTGAGTCTCAGAAGAACCTCTTCCAGACCGTGTGGAACAAGTGGAGTCGTCTCGACGTCCTCATTGCCAATGCCGGTACCGTCGACCGCGACTCCAAGTACAACTTTGCGCGCCGCGATGTCGCCATTGACGACCTGCCAGCCGAGCCCGACACGACGTGCACCGATGTAGACTTCAAGGGCGCCGTCTACGGCACCACGCTCGCGACGCACTTTATGCGACACAATCCCGGAGCCAAGGGTGGCAAGATCATTGTGACGGGCAGCATGATTGGCATCTACGCGTGCCCAACCTTCCCCGAGTACTGCGCTGCAAAGGCAGCTGTACACCAGTGGGTCAGGACGGTGGGTCCGCTGCTCCAGCGCAAGGACAACATCACTGTCAACTGCGTCATGCCTGGCGGCATCGAGACGCCCGCCATGCCCGACTTTAGCACCGCCTTCTTGCCCCACGAAATGACGCTGCGGTCGACGCTCATCTCCGGCTACGACACCTTCCTCGAAGATAAGGACAATGTCAAGACGGGGCAGTTGCTCGAGGCGGCGCACGACAGGCTCTATGAATGGGGACACCCCGGATACAAGAGCGGTGCCTTTGCGAAGCGGACCGAAAAGGTGTACGAGCCGTGGTTCTCCATGGTACATGGCGAGCGGAGTGAGCTGCCGGGTGCGCTACAGATGGCACCGGACAAGGGGCCCAAGATCATTGCCGTCACGGGCGCAACGGGGAGCCAGGGCGGCGGTGTCGTGAACATTATGAAGAAGACGCCCGGCTGGAAGGTCCGCGCTATTACGAGGAATCCCGAAAGCGACGCGGCGAAGAAGCTTGCTGCCGAGGGCATTGAGGTGGTGCAGGCCAGCTTCGACGACGAGGCATCGCTGACCAAGGCGTTTGACGTAAGTCCGCATGTCCAATGCCCCCCGAGCGCAACTAAACGTCCCAGGGCGTCCGTGCCGTCTTCGCCGTCACCAACTGGTGGGAGCATCTCTTCCGCGGCAAGTCCCAGGATGAAGCCGGCGAAATCGAAGAAGAGCAGGGCATGAAGATTGCCCGCGCCGCCGCCGCCACCTCTACTCTCGAGCACTACATATGGTCCACGACGCCTAGTGCAAAGCGCATGTTCCGTGGCAAGCTGCTGACACCGCACATGGACTACAAAGCCAACGTCGACGCGCGCATCAAGTCTGAACTGCCCGACCTGGCCGCCATTTCCACGTACTTGTACTTTGGCTACTACCCGCAGAACATGGCATTCTTTCCCCTCATCAAGCCCATTGAATATGTATGCCGAGCCCCTAGTCCTCATTAGTCGCACTCCATACTAATTCTTGCAGCCCCAAAATGGCCAGTACATCCAGACTATGCCCACCAAGCCCGACGCCAAGATCCTCCTATCCGGCGACATGACGGTTAACCCGGGCATCTGGGTGCGCCAGGTACTTGCAGCAGGCGCCAAGGCCTACGGCAAATACACCAACGTCGCTCTTGAAAAGTGGACCTTCCAGCAGATGATAGACATATGGTCCGAGATTACGGGCAAAAAGGGCGTCTTTGTGGAAACGACGATTGACGCGTGGACCAAGCTGTGGGGACCCGCTGGCAACGAGCTGGGCCTGCAGTTCAAGTTCGGTGAGATGTGTGATCCGTGGGAGGAGAACGAGGACTTTATCGGGCCGGAGGAGCTAGGGATCGACAGGAATGAGGTCGTAGGATTTAAGGGCACGATTGAGGGACTGAAGCAGATGTTTTAGGCGGCTAGTCGGCATATAAATCCAACCCTGCAGGGAGACTCGCTTGTATAGCATTGAAGAAGAATCCCGACTACCCAGGTGTGCTCTCACGTGACGTGCATAGTCTTTTTTCAGCGCCTTTGGTTGAGCATCCCAGCCTCTGTCACTATCTAGGCTCAGATTGGTGGAGTACGTCGATGCTGAGTGAAGGGCGTGAGAGCACTGGTGCGGTGAAATGTGTTCCTTTATCGGGAAGGCCGAGGTGCGACGAGGATATAATGAAGTGCCTTGATGGAATTTCCTGTGTTGTCATCAATGATCAGATTCGGCCACCTGAGGCATATGATAGAGGCTCAGGTCCCAGTGACCAAATATCAGTGAGGGAATGTGACCAGAGGCCGGGAGGGGTGGAGTTGTCATGGCGGTTGAACCTTTATAGGTGAAGAGTGACCAGTCTTATTCCCCATCGCATCTGCACGTTTCCCTACCACAACCCATGCGCAAACCCATCACTCCGCCAACACGAGCCACCCTGGTCGAACTGCAAATACGTAGCACGTAAATCGCAGCTTCAGCTGGCGGTTTCTCGGAGATGCCTTAGTTAGGCCACGACACGATGGTGGTTCACGTCGGAGGTGAACGCATTATCGGCGAATTCCTTCCACATACGATGACCGAGGGGCAGGGTCATTCGCAAACTAAGCCACCGCAAGACCGCGCGATATCGAGCCTCCTACGAAGCAACATGCGCCATCAAGTTGCATCCAGCCTTGGTGCCGATTCCAAAATTGTCCTTCTCCAACTCGAAATCAACGGCCGCGGCACCCTCAATCGTAAAGGTGAAGCGCTGAACTAGGGCAGCAAGAAGCAAGTACATCTCTGCCCACGCTAGACTGCATGGTGGTCCTACGTATCAGCCATATTGACATGGAAACGGGGACACGGGGGTGAAGGATAGGGCTAATGGACTCACTGCATGCCGAGGCATATCCTTGTGCCTCGCGAGAAGGGGGCATACTTCGAGGCGGCTGCTCTCCGGGCCGTAGAGTCCATCCACCGCTCTGGCTCGAAGCGCATTGGATTAGGATACAATTTCTCGTCCGTGTGCATCAACAGAGTAGTCATTCCGACGGGTGTACCGGCAGGAATGCGCCAGTGGTTGTAGAAGAGGTCCTTATCCGTGATACGCGCCGCTCGTGAGGCGACTGCAGGACTCAGGCGCATGCCTTCCATTAAAACAGCCGTGAGATAGGGCAGCTGCTCCAGCTCCTTCAACGCATTTGCCTTGGAAGAGTGAGTTGGAAGCGAAGCGAGTTCCTTTCTGAGACGTCTTAGGATCCCGTCATTGGTGTACACGTGGAATAGGATCAGCCTCATGGTGTTGGCGGTTGTTTCGAACCCTGCACCAGTCACGGTAGCTACTTCCTCAAAAATGCGGTCGAAAGTTTTTTCCGCGGCTGGGAGGTCGGAGTGAACAATCGCGTGTACTATGGTGTTCTGGACTTTATCGTCAGGGGAGGAGGACGCTGCAGCAGCCAAAGTATCTCGCGTGTCCTGTTCGGATTGCTGTAGAAGTCAGTGCTAAGCAAGAGAGCTGTATAGAATGTGGCAGTCGAAGTTGCTTGTTCATAGTCAATGATAGCTCACCTGCAGATACCGCAGGAAGGATTTGGTGCCTTCATCTGCCACCTTCATGGCCCAGTCGACGGGCATCGCTCTCAATGCGGGGCCGAACCAGCGTATATGCTTCGTCGTGCGCCAGAAGACGCCGGCGCCTTGAGACGCGATAGATAATCCGATACCGAAGTCTTCCAGCTCGAGCTCATTGTAAGCTTTACCAACAATGAATTCATTGGCATTGTCTCGTGTGAAGGCGCTGATGGCTGCTCCTAGGTTGAAGCTGGTTCCAGCGAGCTTGGAAATGCGCTGACATAGCTTTTCGATGTTTCGGTGTAGTAGATCTTCCCGTGCAGCAACATTAGACTTGGAGAAAAATGGGGCGATGGCACGGCGGTGAGCCTTATGGGCATCGTGATCTGCGAAGGGGAGTTAATGGGGACAGGGCCAATGAGGTGAGATGCAGTACCTGAACAGAAGATAGTGGAGCCCTTGGCCCCGAAGGCATCGTACGTCCAGGAATACTTGTTCCAGCGTCCATCCGTGCGATAGAGCGTATTGAAGAATGCGGGGTCGCTGACGTGTAGCTCGTAAGGGCTGATCCGGATGATGAGGCCTGTTCAAGGTCAAAGTCTGATGCGGAAGCTGTTTGAGAGGAAGTACCATATATTTTGTGAAGCTCTGCAATCTTTGAAGTGTATTGCCCATCTAGAATAACGTCATAGTAAGCCTCGTACCAGCGCGAGATGGCCGCTAGCCTTGGACCGGGAAAGCGAGCCAGAGGATGAAGGAACAAGCGGTAGAACATAAGAGTCCCGTAGTACGCGATGGCCGCTCCAACTAACATACGCGGGCTGATGTTGAAATCCATGTCGGCTTGCGGGAGGGGTTGAAATTTCTGTTTTCTAAGATATATTTCTCAAGAAACAGAATTTCCAGAAAAATGCAACGTACCTTGGCGGTTTTGACGTAAGCGCTAAGGAAGGAAGCCTCGGTAATGCTGCCAATGGATCTGCAAGAATTACGCAAGTGAGCTTACCGGAACCTCGAAGGCGACAGTCGGACAGGTTCCCTTTTGCAAAATCGATGCTTTTTGTACCCGATCTGCAACGGTTTCCTTGGACCTACAAGCGCTAGATGAAATCGACGTTGTAATCGCAGGGTTTTGGTCCTATAAAATGTGGCTATGATGGAGGTACACATGCCTCAGGTTCTTCAAGAGCAAACAGAAACGCCTCCTATCCTGTAGAGTCCAGCCCTTGGCTAGCTAGCGGACCGCAATAACGGCAGGCGGATATCGGATCGGAAGTTATCTCCGTGCCGACATGTAGGCCGATCAGAGCTTACAAAGTGCAGCCGCTCCGTTAACCAGGCATGCCATATAAAGCAGCAAATTCAGCGGAAAAAAGCTGCGCGAACGGATCGTCGCGTCCTTCTCCCGCCGTTCAACCAGTGCCCAACATGGCGTCCTCAAGAACAGAGCTCATCGAAGTTCAACCCAACGTTAAGATTAACGCCGTTATCTCCGAGCCGCCAGGGCTCCCTATCCAGCACGAACTACCCAGCGTAGTGTTCCTCCACTTCTGGGGTGGTTCGGCCAGCACCTGGTCGCTCGTCACGCCTCTCGTTTCCACACACTATCCGAGTGTTGCGCTCGACTTTCGTGGCTGGGGCAGCTCCACAGGGCCCGCCGACCCAAATGCGTACTCCATTGAAGCGCTAGCCAGGGACGTCGAGGCTGTCATCGCGGCGCTGAACCTCCACAAGGTTGTCCTCGTGGGCATGTCAATGGGTGCCAAAGTTGCTCAGCTTGTGGCGGCCCGGCTATGCTCTCGTGCTAGCAAAGGCGACCAAGCAACCGTCTTGCTCGGAGTCGTCCTTGTTAGCCCAGCACCGCCGACGCCGCTAGTACTCCCGCCTGAGATGCGCAAGCAGCAGCTCCGTGCATACGATGACCCGGACTCAGCGATGTTCGTAGCCAGAAACGTCTTAACGGCAACATTTCGATCACGCGACCTGCCCAATTTCGTCGTCGGGGATATGTTGCAGGGGAATAAGTGGGCGCGGGAGGCGTGGCCTGCGTACGCGATGGCAGAGGACGTGTCTGAGGCTGCTGCAAAGATAGCGGTCCCTGTACTGGTGCTAGCGGCCGAGGAAGACATCGTGGAGCCTCTTGAGAGGGTGCAGAGGGAGGTGTGCGCGCGCATTCCGGAGGCGAAGGTTGCGGTCCTCGCTGAGACGGGCCATCTCTCGCCGCTTGACGCTCCAGATGTTGTAACGGAGCATCTGTTAGAATTCCTGGATGGGTTATAACCTTCACCAACATCAGACGTCTGGATTGAGAAGCTATGCCGGGAGAAGGGTTAGTGGAGCGCGAGGAAGCAGACTAAGCTGTCGCGGTTCGGGCACCGCTGTAACGAACTGGGTCGCGGGGATGTAGAACAGTTCAGATCATTGGCGGCATGGAAGAACTGCCCCGCAGGTATATATTATCTTGATTTACGCACAATTTTATGCCGCATGATTCTCCAATAGCCTCTCTTCTTCCTCGGCTCTCTTGATGATTGCATTGAACCACTCGCTCCCCATTAAGTCTTCAATCTTCCACTTCCTTTCTTCCAATTTCACCAGACTCTCTGGTGATCTGTTCCACACGTACACTCCCACTTCGATAACCACTCTTTCGCCGCCCTGAAGTTCGATTTCCGCTTCCGTTCTTCTCAAGTCGAACATTCCATTCTCGAATTTATGAATAGCTCGTCGCTGACTGTCCAACATGCCGAATACAAGCATGCCCCATACGCTGTCCTCCAGATCTGTTGAGGGGAGCATGGCAGGATACGGCCGCTCTTTGACGGGATACCGTTTGTATCCGCGCAGCAATGCAGGTGTCATTGACTGTGCAACCGAGAGAAGCGTGGTTCCGTTTGTGACAGCGCGCATGCATGCCGGGAAGATGAAAGACCCGGAAAAGAAGTAGGGTAGCGGGTGCGCGAAGTTGAGTTCGGCATCGTCTTTGAATTTGGCGAGTTGTGCGCGGGTGAAGCGATTATTGACGGCTATACGCAGCGATCGCGGCAGTGCAGATGCATTTCCCGCATACCCTAGCTCTCTTATGATGGTTTCGGCGTCTGGTGAAGATGCGCAGGATGCACCGTCCGTGATTGAGATTCCGGAGGGTCCGAGTTCGAGCTCCGAGAATTGCTGTCTGAAGTCTTCTCGCGCCTTGGACTCCGTGTACTTCTTCTTCTTCTCGCTCCGCTTCTCGGAGTGACTCATCTTAGACCACTTGGAAACGGAATCCGATACTTCGATAGGTTTCTTCGCTTCTTGCTCCTTGAGGATGGCCGGATCGGGCGAAGCCGTGCCATCGATGCAATCCCAGTCCTCCAGCTTCTCCATCTTCGTTGTCCCTTGAGGCGACATAACGATATTCCGGGAGCAATTGGTGTAACGCTCCGTAATTGTAAGATGGAAAGAGGCTTTTTTTGGTGATATATGGAGAGGAGGAGGAAGAGGCGAAACAGGCAGCAACAACGGGGCACGGTGCACGGACCCGGTGCACGGACCCGGATTCCCGGACCGGCTAACTCTCCGCCGTTAGTGGGCGGTCGCCCGCACGTCGACTCTATCAGCGCTCTTCGCGCTCGACCCAGCCATTGAGCCGGGACCGCGGGCACTCATATATTTAGGGGAGCCATATCCGGACCCACGGTTCACGTTGTCTTTCGGCTTCCCTACTACGCTTCTCGTACTCCGTCTTAGACATGCCGCATAAACAGACTCACGACACATCCCCCACTGCGGACTGCTCCAAAAGTGACCGCATCCGGTGCGCTGAACTCTTGCCAGCTGCTTAATTAGAGCGTCTACAAGATCTAGCTCGATGAGCCCAGCATTCCCTCCGACGGCAATTGCCGCACCCACGTACGGCGAGGCCAACGGTCCAAGAACCTCTCCAGATATCAACTTAATCAGCAAAGCCATACCCGTATTCATGTGTATTATCTCAGGCCATCGTATTAGCATTCCAGAACACGAGGATAGACTGCATATCTTCGAAAGGCCTGTATTCTCATCCTGGGAAGCCGGGCCAGATGGACGTTCCGATCCGGGCGTCTATCCCCCCGGCCGCAGGGGGAGCACTATTAGCGGACAGTTCAATTGGAACTTGACATCGGCGCCATGTGCCACCGTTAACCCGCGCCCTATTCTGCAGCGGCCGAACTTATCGCGTACCAATACCATCGAAGAGGGCGGTAGGGTGCAGCGGCTAAAGGGGTGTAAGTATGTCTTCAATTGCTACATTGGTGGAACGTTCGGTACAGTATGGAGTGCTCTCCGCCGGGGTTACATCAAGGTGAGTTTAAAAACTTGAACTATGCCAAGATACCGTACTGCAGGAGTCGCGGCGTATCCTACTTGTTCGTACGACGAAGTGTCTCTCCTTCCACGAGAAGAAAAAAATGCATAATTTAAAGTTAATTAACTATGCTATAACAAACTCGATTACGTAGGCCATTGCTACTCGAATTTCAGCAATACGAAGCCACTTCACACAAATGCAAACACCAAGCTCTAATAAGAAGGGAGACATCCTCCATCGACACCGGAAGAATCCACGCATCACTCCATCCGTCTCAGCTTCTTCTGGTTCCTCTTCTCCAATTTCTTAGCGCGGGTCTCAGGGGTGTGGTCCGCCAACGAGTCCCGCTCTCCCCGATCGTTCGCCGCCATCCCAAATTGCGGAAGCTCCGTGGCCCTAAGGGGCACATTGCCCTGGCCCCCATGTCTGCCCAGGTCCCTCATCGGTTGAGTGTCATACCTGTTCCCCAGGTGCTCGCCGGGTGGAACAAGATTCAGGTCCGGATTCAGAGGCGGATGCGGACGAAAGTAGCCGGTCTCATGCGCAATTCGATCCGGTGAGGCCATCTCAACTGCCATTGAGTCGATACTTACGACGTCTCCTTGCGGCTGAGGTGTGTTGGCTTCAGACACCGTGGCTTCGAACCGCCCGTGCATTTTGAATCTTCGCGGTGGTCCCTGTGATGATGGGGGAGTGGGGAAGATTTCTCCTCGCAAGGATGAGTTCGTGCGTGAAGCTACCGGTCGTCGAGGAGGACATGGAGTGGATGGCGTTTCTAAGCCCCTCAGTCCTGACTCGTCACAGAATCCGCTGTCGAGGAAGGGGTCTTCAGGTTCGGGCATATTTCCTCTCGAACTCTCTCGGATAGGGGAATCACTAGCATGTCGGCGCCGGCGACGATGACGGCGCCGGCGTTGATGTCCATCCATCGGCGATGGAGTGCGCGGCAAGGAATGGGAGTCGGAATGCATGATCGGTTCAGCAAATGGGTTTTCCACAGCAGTGTGGGCCCGCGAGTGGCGAATTTCCGAACCTGCGATTGACTCCGCATCCGGGTTCCGCGTACTGCCACGACCCCTCGAATGCTTTGATTGGATTGACGCCCGGGAGACTGAGGAGGGCGATCGGGAAAGTAGATGGTGCTTATCTAATTCGTCGTTGACCGCGGGGTGCTTCTTTCTCAAAAACTTCGGGGCTGATTGAAAGGATTCGAAAACACGGTCGGATGACACATCTTCCTCTTCGTGTGGTGACCGTCTGGGTGAAACTGCTCTCGATTGCATGCGCCGAGAAAGCGATGGCTGTTCCAGCTCATCGTGCTCCTGTCCATCGTTCAGTGGGACTTTACCGCTCTTGAGTAGGAGTGCTTTCGTCAAGGTCCGCTTCAGGAGGTCGCGCGTGCTAGACGAGCGTTCAGGCTGTTTACGGTGTCGTAGAGGGGTCGTTTCTTCGTATAAGCCTCGAACTCCGGCGCTCTGGTGCAAACGCGGCTCGTTTTGGCTATCGGAGCCACGTGCTGAAGTGCGATTGTGCGCCACATTCACATTGATCGTGGGGTGGAAGTGGTAGTCGCCGTTGTAAATGTAGTTGGTCACATGGGGAGCCGCACCCGTCGAAGGTGGGCCCTCTGCGTATTCGGCTAGATCCCAAGTCGAAGCTTGAGTCGAAACTACACTACCAGGGGTCGACAGTGAAGACGCTGTTCGACGCGATGTTGCTGGAGATGGAGGCCAAGCACCGGGCATCGGAAATGACGCCTTTGGTGGGGAGCGAAGGCTTCGGTCGATCAAATGGGTGATGGGATGGTCGGTTTTGGAGGAACTGGAGACGTCAACACTGCTGCCCCGTCGCGGATTGGGAAGATCATCTTCTGCAATCACTATTTGCTGGAGCTGTTGAGCAAGCCTAACATGCTCTTCAACCTGATCAGTGTGGAGGCTGATGACCTGAGCAACATGGACTGCATCGTCTTGGTCTTCCTCTTGCTTGCTCTGAATGCTGAGGTTCATAGCGAGCTCAATTTGCTCTTCGTACGACAACTCCTCCACTCTCTGGTTTTTACTCATGCGGACCTTGGATGTATTGTGCCGAAAGGATGCTCCAGCGATCACTAGTACTTCCGCGGCGTATTGGTGCCAGGTCCGGTTGCTTTTGGGGATGCAATATCGATCGAGAGGTAGAGATGTGCCCTTGTTGGATTGAAGAAGTCGGTGTTAACTATAGACTTAAGCAAAGGGGCAGGGGGCATATTCATCAACAAGGCCCGTGCCCGAGAATTGGTGAAACCTCTTTCTAAAAATGACTAGAGAGTCATCGACTCGAGCTTTCACTGTTCCTAGAATTATTGAAGGTCCCTGCTTGGGGTAGTAAAAAAGCAGAGCATTTGTCACTGAAATGAACCACAGGCAAGAGATCAGCGACTGGTTACACAACGGAGGGAAGAGTAGGGAGGAGAACCGGCTCGTGTTCAGGTCCAATTCATGTTCAAGTCCAACTCGGGTCCGTCTCAGTGCGTTACGGCCGCTATCCTAGCATTTTATCGTAGACATGTCGAGTGCCCCCCGGCGCTGAGCAGAAGTACTAGCGTCCTGAGCCATGATTCCTTTGGCCCTCTTGTTGGATTCCAAATATCTCTGGTCCAAGTGTCTGCCTATCTTTTCCGTGGAAGTAGTGCGTAGAGAGAGGCGTTTGTCCTCGCCATCCTGGACGGTATTTCTTAGCCGAGGAGTCGGTTGGTCAGTGTCTAGCGGCTCAGAAGAGGCCATGCTGGTTTCTCTTCCCGCCAAAAAGGGCGGTTTTGACCGGACGCGTGGCGGGTTGGCACGCTTTGAATGGCGCGAGACCATGCTGCGCTGCGATGGTGTTCGGCTAGGCCGCTCCAAATTGGATGGTGCCGCCGAAGCAGATGCCAGTGATGCGGAAAAAAGGGCGGGAGTTTGCTGGGTGTCGTGCTCTGTAACTGGTACGCGCTGGCCTGCTTGACTCCTTTGTGATAGCATATCGCTTGAATCTTCATGGCGTCTTGATTGCCCTGGCGGAGTCAGGTTCAGGCGTTCTGATAACGGCGACGCTGCAGATGATCTGCAGAGAGAATTGCACTCGACGACATATTCCGTGGCCGGAGATGCGACGTCGCACAAGCTTGGTTCGCGAAACATATGAGCAAACTCGGTCGCTCCTGCTACACCTCCGTTGTCTTGATGCGCGTCAGGTGCCAGCGGGTGCGGTAGAGAAGATGGTGAACTTCTGGTCCGGCTTCGACGATGTGCATAGCCATTGCTAGATACGCGGATATCTGGTGCTCGGGTATAAAAGGCCGGTGTTGTCGGTGAGGGTAGCTGTTGCACTCTACTCAGGTCCTCCTCACGCGATGGTAGAGGCTCCGGGGCAGAGCACTGAGTTATGCGGTTCTGGCTCCTCATGGGTTCAATCGCTTGCGAAATGCCGTTCCTATTCCGTCGGCGAAATCGGTTGAAGAAGCGCCCCAGACAGCTTCCTTTCGTTCTTTGCGGTGGCTCCGAATGGCCTATCATCGATCCGCAAGTTCGAGGCCCGAAGTGCCGAGTTTGGTAAACACCAAGCTCGTAGCCTAATCGGAGCGCACTCTCAAAGTTGTAGGAGTGCGGTGCGATATCATGCGTACATGAACAACGCATGATGTTTATAGTGCCCGAAGTTGCGATTGCTTGTACCACATCTCTCGCGCCCTGGGGTATCGATTGCGAGATAGCCGGTAGATCTCGCGAAGCCGATCCTTCGACTCGCGGCATGGCTGGACTTCTTTCTTCTCCGATTTCATGGGCTCGTGGAGAAGTCTTTCGAAGATATCCATGTCGTTCTTCCACACGATTCTGAGGTCTTTGGCTTGCGACTGGACTGGTGGAAAGCCCCGCATTCGACCGCGCATTCGAATGGTCCATAACGTAGGTCTTTTGTCTCCCAAGGTAATCCGGAAATTGATTGCATAGATATAAGTACGAGGGACTGGGTGTATAAAGCATTACGCCACAGAAGAGGCCGAACACGGGGCTTGCACAAACTTATCGACCATGAGCTGGCGAGCGCTCCAAGACAGCCTCTGCCTCAAATCACAGCCGACAACAATGGGTGCAAAGATCTCGGCTTTGGCATTGCAGGAAATGATGTCCACATACTAGAGTTCCTAGCGAAGTAGCTGTGGGGCGACATGTCGTATGGGCGCGAGGTGATGAGGCAAACAGTGCGCTGGCGCGTCGAATAGCAAACTGTGGGTCGTTGTCAAGGCGAGCAAGCTTGAGCACTTCGCTGACTTACCATTCATTTTAGTCACCAACATGAGCCTTTCATCCGTATCCCTCACAAACGCGGACCCGTCTTTGCGCTCCCAGACTCCACCTTTCGTGGCTCCGCAATCGCCTCCGACCTTTCAGGGTCCCAACCGGCAATCAGATCCTCGACCACGTTGGTCTCGTCCTGTCCCCAAACGATGCCTCCTACGTGATCCCAATCGCCCTTAGCATTCATCCGGAGAACTCGATAGCTGGGTACTCCACAGATTCCATGTGTTTTCGCCTCAGCTGTCAGTTCGCGAAGCTTAGCTTTGATATCTGGTGCATTCGATTTCTTGATCAGTTCAGGACCATTGAAGCCACCCTTACCGAGCACTTCGGCCAGGACGGTCTCATCAGATACGTTAGCATTCTGTTCCCAACATGCGCGATCTACTCACGGTTAGCCAAATCTTTAAATGGTTGAACATCGATACTCACACAAAGTTGGTACGGTAGTCGGATCAACGATTGCTACTCGAAGAACGGTCGGAGTACGGATTGGGAAGTTATCGGTCCAGTAGAAGTGGATGTTCGGACCGCCTTCTTGCCGGTTGACGGCGTTCCAGTAGCGGACCCAATCAGCGTGGTCTTGTCGCAACCACATGGCTTTGGACGGAGAGACAGCGCTCAGAGGGAGGTTGGGCGCGCCAATCCTACACATAATTAGTCAGACGTTACCCACCAAGGAATAGTTCAGTGGGAAATGGACAACTCACTCGCGAAACAGAATGCCTAGCAGGAAGGGCTTCATGACGATTTCCAGATCGGGACCAAACGTCTGCTTCAGCCTCTCCAGCTGCGTCCAGCCCAAAAAGGCCCACGGACTGCTGAAATCGTACCAAAACTCGACTTTGACGGCCCCTTTTACCCTATTCTGAGATATACATCTCGGCATCAAATTCCCCAATCCATCGACTTTACTCCAGTCGCCGTCGTTCTTGATTGCGAGTAGAGCGGCCTCCACGAAGTGCATTCGATCCTGGCCCCAGTAGTATCTTCCTTCCATCTGATCTCCGTTGAAGTCGGTCCACGTCTCTTGCTGGACCCAGAAGCCTGGAACACCAAAAGCACCGCGTTCAATAGCTTCTTCGGTCGCCTTCTCCAGTTCCCTCCTTGCGCGGGCATCGCCAAAGGTCTCTTTCGTTATCCTCGCCCCGCTATTGATCCCGCTTTCGCTCACAATCTTCAGTAGCTCATCATCATTGCTCACATCCCGCCCATCAACCCAATATGCCTGATACAGCCTCTTGGTGAGCACTCGTCTCTCCTCCCCATCGACCGCGTATAGGAGCCTGAGAGCATTCACCGTCTTTCGCGGATGCTGTGGCGGTGGGTTATAAGCAATCTGGTAGCGCCTCAACGTGCGTTGCATCGATTTCGCAGTCACGGCTTTCTTGGTCGGATTGTAGACGTCGGACGCGGAGCCCGCGGCGCCTTGCGGCGCAGCAGTCGCACGATAGATGGCACCGAGGAGGACGGGGCGCCATATCAGGGTCGCGCCGGTGCGAGAGGCGAGCGACTCGACGCGAGTAGAGGCTATGTATGCGAAGGGGCACGATATCTAGGACGCTCGTCAGCGTACGGAGCTAGCGCAGTCTGGGAAGCGCTGACGTCGTAGTTGAATTCCAGGACCGGGGGAGGCATTCTTGGGCTTTGCGGTTCAGTTTTAGAGATTAGAAGATTGTGTTTGGGCCGATAACGTCAAAGCGATCTGGACGATAGTGCTGATGCGAGTTGGGACCGATGGCAACGAGGAGTCGTTATGTGTGAGGGGAGTGGGGTCGCGAAGCCGAGGTCCAGGTTTAGCGCAACGCGAGTTCACGTGAGTCTTTCAATCCCACACAGCAATAGACCGTAGTATCCGACCGTTGACGCGAGCATCTTAGACTCCTCAAAAGTGCACTCTAGGAAACCTAGTTTTTCCATACGTTGCCATGCTTCTCTGTGCTTCCACGACGCGATGCATCCAAGTAGCGGCCCCTCCGCCAATATTGCAACCATCTAGCTCCACAGCCACCGAATCAAAGACTAACATCATTCAGAATTCTAAGCTCGGGGTTTTCGATATCCTAGGAAGCGAACGCATCATGATAAGTCAACACCGGTCGAGCCCAAGCCATGTTGGCCCAAAAGGGTTAGCGCTGGATAACATGCGGGCACCGCCCTGCAGACCACGCACATTCAGCCTTGTCTTGAAAAATCTCTACAAGCAATGTCTTCGCTGAATCAACCATGGGCCCTGCCACCTGCTGAGCCCTGGCTACCCCGCAACGCAACAGCAGAGGAGGTCCGGGGTACGGCCGGCCACAACATGATACAGTGGCGCCGTTTCCAGGCAGGAGCCGCGCTATCTCGAGCCTAATTTAGCTGATTTACTCTAGATCATCACCCAGAAAAAAGGCTCTCGTTCTTGCCGAGAAATACGTAAGCTGGGTACATGTCCCAGCGAATGAGCAGATGCGCGTCCACGACCGTGTGAACGAGAAGCTAGCAGATGAGGAGATTCCGAAAGTGGGAGAGGACATGCTCAGGTGGCGCATGGGTTATTGTATTCGCGACCGAGTTAGATTCTGTAAGTGTCCTGCATCCAATTGTGGCAGTCATGCTGAGCGCACCGGTACGACAGTGAGGGGTTCGAGACATCGAGCCCCAGCGCGCGACAGGGAGCCTGCTACGTCTGGTCAAAGCACAGTTCAGCCGTATGATCCAATTAAGGATGTCTGAGGGATAGGTTAGTCCCGTCGCAACGCTGATCGTGGGTGGAGTGAATAGGTATGTCTGGAAGAGGATGTGTGGGGAGCTAGCCGATAATGGGCGAAGAGTGGGCGACCTCCGTACTTTCTCTTCTCTTTCAATGGTACATGAGAGCATTATCAAGCTCAGTATCTTAATCCGCATATCCCTCTCATGCAGCCAACCCAACGTTTGCGTTGCGTCTGCCTCCTACCCGGGCCAAAATTCGTCGTCACTCTATTATTCTACCCACAGGCAACACACTACTCCCTAAGCTTTTCGACCTGGTTTCCAACTGCCGTATTCTCTGCCTTTCCAAGGTTTGATGGCTGTGCTCTCGATATGACGTGCCTGGTAATCTGCTCCCGACTCCAACCGCGCTCCTGCCTCGGGTGCTTCGTGCCCACGTGGTTCTGTTCATGTGACGTAGACTCCCTTCACTTCTCACTCGTCTCTTCTGTGTGATCTCACTTCCAAGACCTCACCTGGGCAAAAGTTCCGTCTTCGACACCTTTCTTCCATTCAAGAGACTGCACGATGAGGGCTTCCATCGCAACAACCCTTGTCAGCATGGTAGCTCTTGTCGCCGGCGAAGTGGTCGACCTCAAGCCATCTTTCAATCGTTGCGACTCCAGTCTAGACCAATTCAGATTCGTCTCCAGACGCGCTCAAGGGACGACCGCCTGGGACCCCCCGCCACCGGCTGCGAATGACTTGTGGAACAAATGCGTATGCCGAGGAACCAAGCTGCTCACGGGGATGCAAGTATCCGACTATGAAGCCGGCCAGCAGTACGATCCTCCGCAAGAGTCCGCTCAGAGCGAGTTTCGCGACTTCCCTCGTATGTTACCATAGTCGGACAAGAACAATCGCTTCACTGACCATGATTTGTAGAGGAGTTTGCGTCCTGGAGCTATGACTGGAATGGCCTGGGCTTTTGGGCGCGCAATTTCAACCAGATGTGGGGAGTCGCCAATGTGATGGCCGCCCTAGGCGTCTCGGATAGATGCCTCGACGACGGTGGCCGGATAGGCTGTGAGTACGTGACGCATGGAGACCCCACCCTTGTGGACGAAGAAGGACCCGTCCCAATCGAGGAGCAGGTTTACCCAGAACCCGTGACAAACAGGGAGCTTCATGTAAGCATTCTGATCGCATGATGGTTCTGCTGCACTCCTCCTCTTTAGAAGGCGTCCTGAAGTCCTTCCAGCTTCGTCCTCAAGCCCATCCTCGGCCAACCACACTCCCAAGGAAGAATACAACTTGATTGATTAACTCCATAGGCAACCGGTGCGCACTTCATGCTAGGCTTGAACCCCTTCGACGGAGGTAAGTCCGCGCCTTCGGAGCCTTTCATCTCAATGCTAACCACTCTTTTGCAGTCATCATCGTGATGGAAAAGTAAGTCGCTCGATACGCAGCCCAGAACCACCATATTCCCCAGAATGAAGTCCCACGTCTTCAGAAATCTTCGGATGTGGAGTGGGGAATGTGGAAGATGTATTGCGACGAGTACAACAACGGTCACTACAGCAACCTTCGCTACTATCTCGTAGCCACTATAACCGAGCGAGCTTCGAGGGCAATTATTCGGCGCGCTATGAACAATGTGGGAGTTGAGTTGGGACCCTGGCCTGGACAGGAGTTCAGCATGGATACGGCGGAAGGAAAGGCCATCCTAGGTACGTACTCGCGAAGTTCCCACTGCAATATCCCTACTGGCACGGCCCTTGAAGAAACTTCAGCCCGTCAAATCCTCCCACCGGCAGCTCTTTTCGGCGCGGGCTAACCATTGCGACAGGGACTCCTGTAGGCTTTCCTATCGGCTACCTCCTTCAGGAACACAAAGCCGAACTTGGAGGAAACATGCACATATCGAAGGTCCGGGTATTCCACAGCAGCGCGGCCAGTCAGCAACCTTGCTATCTCTTCTACGTCGAGCAGCCGCGTCCCGCTCCAGGCCCATCGCGACAAGGCACAGCGGCCGAGATGAAGGACGAAGGCGAAGGGAAGAATATAGTAAGAAGGCACATACTGGGCTCAAAGCTGTAGGATATACGGCTCTGCATATGCACCTCAAGTGATGGATGGGAGTTCCTCCCTGAAGGCGGAGTAAAATGGGCAGATGGAGCGCGGAGTTAAGGGCGTCTTTGTATCCCGCGATAAGGCCTAAATTCGGAAAGTGGGGCTGTGGCTCGGAAACATTTCCGACGAACATCTCGGGATCTTGACTCAACACTGCACAGATAAGGATGAAACTTCTCTACGCACACTGCAATTTTTGTCTCTAACGATGAGTGCTGACCAGAAACCAAAAGTGCTCCTATTTGGCGTCGGCAGCGTTGGCGCCGTGTACCTCTACCTCCTCTCCAAAGTCGCTTCCACAACCGCGGTATGCCGATCCAACTACGATATCGTCAAGGCCAATGGCTTCACCATTCATTCATCTATATTCGGCGACAATCTGCATATCCAGCCCAACGTTGTGCGGAGTTGCGATGCAGCCGCTTCGCAGGACACTAGACCATTCGACTACATCCTCGTCTGCTGCAAAGTCATCCCTGGAGTTCCGAATCTCATCAAGCCAGCCGTCACACCAGGCCGCACCGTCATCGTGCTCATACAAAACGGGATAGGCATCGAAGCCGAGTACGCCACGGCCTTTCCCAACAATCCCATCGTGACCGGCGCAGTATACTGCAAGACAACGCAACGCCCCGCTGGAGTCGTTCGGCACGACGAAGTTGAGCTGCTAGAGCTCGGCAGCTATCCTTCTTCAGCCTCAAATGGACACGCAGAGGCCTTCGTCAAGCTCATACAATCTACCGGCGCGACCGCTGAACTCCACGACGATGTGCAGACCAAGCGCTGGTACAAGCTACTCGTCAACGCATCCTGGAACCCCATCTGCGCGCTTACCATGTGCACCGACGTAGGATTCCTGCAAAGCTCGTCACTAGCCACTACCTTTGTTCTCGACATTATGCTCGAAGTGTGCGCGATCGCGGACGCGTACGGATACACGTTTCAGAGGGAGGAGGCCGAGTATCAGCTCGCGAGGGCGGTGGCGAGGATTGAGAGGGGGAATGCGGTCGAGCCGAGTATGCTCCAGGATGTGAGGGAGGGGAGGAGGATTGAAGTCGAGGCTATTGTTGGGAATGCGGTGAGGATGGGGAGGGAGAGGGGGGTGAGGTGCGATAAGTTGGAGTGTTTGTATGTGCTTGCGAAAGCGCGGGATGCGCAGCTGGGGAGGGACAAGGCGGATAACTTGGTCTGAAGCCATTCGACGCCTTGAGCGAAGGCCATTCGTACGTTCTATGAGTTGATAGCTGACGTCCCGACATTCCCGTCCTCCCAGCATTGACGGTGCTCGTCTGTCTCAGGCTCGGACGTACTCTCCCTTTCACTTCAGGATCGAGACAGTATCTAGGCACGCAGTGTGAGTTAATCGCACAATGACCCCCGAAGTGACCGTAGACATCAGGATGTCCCGGTTTCGACATTAGGAAGCCAACCCTGAAGACCTTCAATCGATGAAACAGATTCAAAATGCGCGTGAATTATCTAGCCCGCGACACCTTAATGCCTAATGGATACCGACACAGTTGCTGAAAAGGGTGCTCAGCCCCGTCATGACTGGAGTCTTCACTCGCGCTACGGGACATGCTCTCACAACCCGGAGTTCAGACGCGCATGTCTCTTCACAATGAACCAGCCTCATTCCCCACTCGACACACGCCTTATTGCGCCACGTTCTTATTTATTATCCTACTCCGCCCCTCCGTTCGCAGGTCCGTTCCAACAAAGCAACCGCGACCACAACCAAACCCCATCACCACAACACAACACAACCCAATCATACCCACAAACCGCCCCGCAAGCCAAGCATGGACACTCTCCGCCACCGCGCCGCCCAGATCCCACTCAAGCTCCAGCAACAAACATCCCACATCCAAGCCCAACTGCACGAACACGTCCCCGATTCCCCTCAAGCCGCACGGGATCGATTCCTTCAGCTGCCCAGGGACATCCAACTCCTCTGTATCGTATCCGCCCTCGCTATCCCGGGCTGCCTGATAGAAGACCCCTCATTCTTCGCCTACTCTCCGCGGCAACTCTGCGTCTTCATCGCCAAATGCATCGGCGCATTTCTCATTGCGCGTTTGGCTGTTACCGCGAAAGAAGCCGTTGACGGGAAGGGGTGGGCGATCCCGTTTCTGCCGTGGAACTGGGGCCCTCGGTATCGACGGGAGGGCGAGAGCATAGCGTACGAGGAAGATACGCCTGCTGGTACTCCATCGCACAGCCCGACTTCGGCTGCCGATGATGAAAACGACGAGGCGCATAGCTCCGCGGTGAATTTCCCTCTCCCGCCGACGCCTATGCTGCCTCGCTCTATGCGCCCGGAGGCGAGTACGCCGGCGCAGCATCGCTCGGGGATTATTGGGCCGTCGCCGCATCCGGGTAAGGTTGTGCGGTTTGCTGAGGAGCATACTGCGGCGAGCTATCGGTTTAAGCACTTCAGGGGTACGGGGTTTGGTGTGCGGGATGGGCGGTGCGGTATTGCGGTCAAGGAAGTGGAGGAAGGTGATGAGGGGGAGAACGCGGAGGGGGAGGATGATCTGGACGACGAGATGGTGGGCTGGGGCGTTGGGGGTGCGCTGGAGTAAGAGAGGGTTATATCCTCTAGGCGCTCGTTATCAGTAGTAAGAACTGGACTGGCTGAACGGAGAGATGGAAGAACCATGGTGCCCCTAATTTAGGGGAAATATTAACCGCAGTACTTCTATCCGCTCTAACAAGTCACGTATTCGTAGCCAAAGATTCCTTGGCGTAAGTCGCTCGTGATACTATAGTCGAGATGCACTAGTACTTAGGTCCTACTTGTACAGCCGAAATATGGCTACTATTAGACAAGTGCAGTGTGCGGCAGGATAAAGAAAATTTTGATTCGAGTGTAATCACTGCTGCGTACCACCAGTCTATTGTAACAGAAACGCGACGATCGAATAGTGAACAGCGGACTGAGCGGGCTGGGACATTGTTAAGCAGCTCGCCATCCAAAGCGATCCATGCCCTTTACCCCATGAGTGCCTCTTGCGAATTGGAAGCCAACCGACCTTCAAGCTAGATGTAAGCGCCTTCTTTATATCGACTATCATCCGATACGCCGCCAGTATCATCATTTCTTGTGGACTTCCTCAACCTCAAAGAGCCGAACTTGCTCCCGATCTTGGGACAAGCGTGTTTGAAGAAGAGAGGAACGGCGGGCATGCAGCCACAGATAATGCCGCTCGTTATCTCAGCCATGCTGTAGATGATGTCAACGTGCGCATTATATTGCAAGGGAAGTGAGGCCACCTACGTCCACAATGCCACTGGACTCAGATTCCAAGTCACATCCTGGGTATGTGCGAAACGCACATTATTCACCATGCGAAATATACTGGATAGGCATGCACTAAGCCCCGTGTCAGCGAGCTAGGCCGAAAAGGTCCGTGAATGATACATACAATAATCCAGTTGCAAAGATCGCCGAGACACCAAGTTTCTTTGATGCGGAAAGTTGGAGTCGCCAAACTTTGAAAAGAGGCAGAATCAGAATAGCGAAGTCCGAGATGACGTTGACCACAGCGCCGCTGATCAAGATCGCGGCCAGATCTAGGCAAGTCCCTTCAATATATGGATGCCAGATCTTTTCTCGTGGATTGCAGGCCAGGACTTGGGGTATCATAACAGCAATGTAGAACAGCAGGTTGAAAATGATGAGTGCCCATATGACAAGGTGTGTCCAGCCGGCTCGATGAGGACAAAAGAGTCGCTCGTACTGCAGGAGAATCGAGAGCTTGGTCACGAAAATGGTTGGGTTGTAGAACACTTCCATAACGTTCGCTAGCTACCTCAGGATAAGCACATGCACACGCGAGTATGGATGGAGATGGAATACCTTCAAGAATACGAACATGTCGCTCATTGTAACGTCCCATTGGTGCTTCCAAGAGCCATATTTCATCGCCTCCAGGCAAATCCCAGTATAAGGAATGAAGCAAAGCTGGCGATAGAATTAGCATGTTTACATCTAATATTCTTACTCATACATACCCAGGCAAGGATCATGGTATCTATGCTAGAGCTAGCGAATGCAGCTGCACAAAGGGAATCATCTAAGAAGTGATCTTACAGTCGTCCCATCCATGTGCCTTCATTATGAAGAATCGCGTCCAAACGCGCAGAATGATAGCCACGGAACTGAGACCAAGGCAGAGCCCCAGCGCTAGTCTAGCCAAAACGAAGATGTTCTCCAGATTTTCAAAGTTGGGAGTAACATTTTGGGGAGGTTGCAAGGCGGGAGTAACGTCGAACAGAGCTGGATCCATTTTGTTTCCGGTAAAAGTAGAATTTTGCTCGACGCTTCAAGCCACGGTCCAGTCAGAAATGGCTCATGAAAGAGAACGAAAGTAGAAAAGCACGCAGTGATGAGCTGGGGAAGATTACTAGAAGAAAACATGTAGGGAAGTGCTCGAAAAGGCAACACGCTCATGCCCCGCTGCGCCACCAGAACTAAGAGAGATGGTTGGTCTCCCAACATAGAGTTCGGACTCCGAGCAAATTAGGCAATATAAGCAGAAGTACGACATCAGAATCAGATATTCTCTTGGAAATCATCGAATGGGACGTCACGGAGACGCTGACAACTTGTGTACCAGTACACGAGCCCCCAATAGCCGATTGGGGCCAAAAACGAAGCAGGCAAAGGGTTTCCAAGACCGAAGAACATCTTGATTGGTATGCCTTCTATGCAGCTTAGAAGTGCCAAAATATTGGATGTCACACAATCGCGGCGGAATAAGCTGAACTCGAAGGGGTCCATTCCCAACAACTGTGAGGATTATTGCGATAACGGAATCCGACATGGGGATTAACACGTTTTCTCAATGAGTATTTTTATGTGACATCCTTAGACGTGGCAAGGGGACAGGTCATTTGAAATTTAAGAATGTCCTGAAAGAGGGCATCAACGACTGCCATATTCCTCACTTATCTCCAGACAAGATACCTCACGGGTTATGTCGTTGCTCCCATTTTCCGGGAAGCTCCGCCCCCGAAGCAGCAGAAGGGTTAGTTTGCACATCATGCTTCCCTGGAGACTCAAGTATCCATTTTTACAATAGTCAACGGTGCACGAGGTCATCCACAAGCCCCAAGGGTTGGGTCGACCGTGGGACATGCTCGCTCCACTAGCCCGAAGTGGAGATGTCGATGCAGAAGCCTGGTGGCAGATGACGGGCCTATTGTAGGCGTTCTCGTGGAAGAAGCTGGCTACGATATCCAAATCTATAGTTCGGCCTCATGTTCCACCTTCAATACATTATTCCTCGACTCGGCCCGGTTGGCGATCAAGGAAGCAACACCCCGGTTTGGAACAGCTTCATGACAGATGACTTTTTCCCTCTCGAATACAGCTGGAACTGGGACACGCTAAAGAGCGGGCCCAAGGTTCGATACAGCATCAAGGCCATTGGCCCTGCTGCTGTCCACCCAACGGACCCCTTCAATCAAACCTCGATGCTTGAGCTATGCGATAAGCTTCGGACCAGCTTTCCGCAGATAAACTTCAACTGGTTCGACATCCTCCGACATGCCTTTCATGATGAGGATTCCTGGATAGAGTGCGAAAATCTCGACTGCAAAAGCCCCAGCCAATCATCTTCTTCGTTCCTGGCTTTCGAGCTCGATAACGCAATTGCTACTAAAGCCTACTTCGTCCCGGTGAAAGCGGAGCAGCATGGTATAGCGCGGCTTGAGGTCCTCATAGAGGCCATTGAGTCTCTCCGAAGACACGGCCCCCCTTTCGCCGGTCACGATAAGCTCCTTGCGTTTTCGAAATCCAGACAAGGCTCAAAACTGACTATAATCGGTGTGGTTATTGACTGAGTCGACCCAGACCATTCACGCTTCAAGGTATACCGGCGCTCTCCAGAGATGAACTTTGGAAGTGTTTGCCAGATGATGGATCTGAGCGGAACTATCAACGCACTCTCCGACAGCACTCGTGCCGAGCTGAGAGAGCTCCGGCTCCTCACTTTAAGCCTGGAAGCAAATTTCTCCGATACTCAGGAGCTTTACTGCGAGAACCACGAAACCGTCGGTGTCCTCTATAACTTCGACATCACAGCTCATGGCACAACTCTCGAGCCCAAATTACATGTTCCAGTCAAGCATTATGCGAGCAATGACCTTTCGGCTGCGCAAGGCCTCGGGACATATCTGCCAGCTCGCGGGAGAGACCGTTTCTTCTCCAACTACATGAGAGCGCTTGAACGGACTTGCACACATCGCAGTCTAAGCGAAGGGAGAGATTTCCATACTTATGTTGGAACGGGTATTGGCAAGGATGGATCACTTTCGCTGTGTTCATATATCAACGGGGAGGTCTACCATCCCGCGAGATACCATGCGTGGGAGGAAGTGCCATGAGATTCGAGAGAGCTCGGATGGGATCAAGAGAATTGCGTGTATGGATAGAGGATACCTGATTTCCGACTTCACTTTTCGCACTTCGCGTACGTTTATATCGCAATTCAAACGAGGATGGGGCCATGATGGTCATTTCCCCGGTAGTGCCAAAACCACCTACAGCACGTGTTGTGCACCACTACCAGTGGATATAAAGCTGGCTGGCATCCCACGACCGAGTCTTTCCATACCCTCTCTTTCCAGAATCTCGCCTATCACTCGAATATACCTAATACCATGGATGTGGGGCCATTTTGTCTCGTCCCTTCCGTTCTACTCCTTGTCGTGCCCTTCTGGCTCATTCTATCATACATCGAAACCTTTCGCTCCCGCAGCAAGCTCATTCGCAAGCATGAGTGCCATCCGCCCCTAGCTTATCCACAAAGAGGCCCGCTTGGACTTTCCGAGATTCGCGAATCAACAAAAGCTTTCCACGCTCGCACTTTCCTTGAGTGGACCTGCTCGCAATACAAACTTCACGGCAATACGTTCGCCTCAAGCTACCTGAGGCAGACGATAATCCACACAATCGAGCCCAAAAACATCAAAGCTGTCCTGGGAACGAACTTCCACCATTATGGAATTGGATGGCGGAAGAAGTATGCTTTCAAGCCTCTATTTGGAAACAGCTTGTTCCAGCTCGATGGTAGAGCTTGGGATAGATCTCGCGCCGCGCTTAAGGCCGCGTTCAATCATGCTAGGGTTACAGAGTTCGCGGCGACGGAAGAAGAAGTCGATCCTTTTCTAGACAAGCTCAGGACGGAGTCTACTACGCAGCCCTTACTGGACCTGGCTCCGTACTTCATTCGACTCGCTGCTAACTGGCTACATCGTTCATTCGAGGCAAGTCGCACAGTGAGGGCTACCAGGACCACGATGGGGCGGAAGAAGGGTTTCTGGAAGCGATGAAACGCGCAGGTGCAGGTTGCGAGAAACGCTGGCAGCTCGGACTGTTCAGCCTGCTCGTCCCGCAAGAGAGCTTCCATTCAGATGTTGCACGGGTCCACCGCTACATGGAAAAGCGTGTCGACGATGTTCTCGCAAGTGCGAGCGATACCAACGGGAGCAAACGCCTTGACTTCCTTGCTTGCTTAGCGCAGCATACGACCGACTGGAACCAGCTCCGAGACGAAGCTTGCGTGCTCTTCATTGCGGCTGCGGATACTTTAGCATCTCTCCTCATCAACATAATTTTCTTGGTCGGAAAATACCCTTCGGTTTGGGCCAGGCTACGAATGGAAATCGAGCCCTTGGGCGGACAGAGCCCATCCCCCAAGGACTTGAAGCAGTTGAAGTACCATGGGTACTGCGTTCGCGAAGGTGGGTCAAAAGGTCAGTGGTTAGCTCTTCCAAGGCTGATACTGGTCCGCAGCTCTGCGTCTGCTTCCCGTCCTTCCAAACAACTCTCGAGAGGCCTCCTAGGACACCGTGCATCCTGTTGGAGGCGGGCCGAACAGCAAATCGCCAGTCTTTGTACCGTCGGGTAGCGTGGTCTCATTCAGCATAATGGCCTTGCACCGCCGAAAAGATCTCTAGGGCGAGGAGGCCGACAGGTTCCGCCCCGAACGATAGGAAGGGCTCCAACCTGGCTGGGTGAGTAACGAATACCTACCGTTGACTTCCCTCAACCTTAACACCAGGGTATGACTGACAGCGATGTAGAACTTCGTCCCGTTCCTGCAGGGTCCCAGGATCTGTCTTGGGCATAAGTGGCTATCCCTTTCCTGTGGAACGGCGTTCTCTAACTCAGGCGGTAGACGAGCTAGCTATGAACGAAGCGACCTACATATTGGCCAGGATGGCTCAGAGATTCAAGCACCTGCAGCGAGTCGATGACGACCCCCGGGTAGAGAGCATATCGATTGGCACTACCTCGGCGAATGGAGCTAAGGTTCGTATCATCCCAGAGTAGGCCCGGGTCCTCTGAGAATTGTGTTGGCAGGAGAGACCTAAGTCGAATACCAGTTGAAGCCTCCATAGCAGTTCGTTATTATCCCATTGTGTATGTACCCTTGCTTTGCGCCATCTTCAGATTTAAAAGCGCGTTATCGCACCACTCCTCTTCGCCGCCTCCAATACCCGAACCCGCGTCTACTCCTTCCTCTCGGGTATCGGTTCCGTGTTCTCCAGGACTTTATCTTCTTCCTCCCCACTCTTCTCTTTCCGCTGCTGCTTCTCCTTCAACGTCTTCCTCCTCGCGATCTCCGTACTATCCAACTCCGCAATAAACGCCGCCCCCTCCCCAATCTCGACCGGCCGTTCCTGCGCCGCCAACTCGACCACATCCTGCCCCGCATACATCTCCCTCACATCATCTCCCTTCCTATCCTTCTCATCCCCACCGGCAGCAGCCCCAGCATCGCCGCCCAGCTCCGCCCTCCTCGCCTCCTCGCCCGCAATCTCGACCGCCTCCACGCTGCCCTCGTCGCCCTTCACCCTCTTCAAGATCTCCTCCTCGGGCGTATCGCCCTTGATCTCCGGCTCGCCCTGCGCCTTGCGCTTCTGGCCCCACTTCCTGCGCCGGCGGCGGATGCAGATGAAGGCGACGGCGAAGAGGATGATGACGACGCCGGCGACACCGACGCCGACGCCGATGGTGGTCGTGATAGTGAGGCCGCGGTGCGGTTTTTCGGTGGGCGACGGTGAGGGCGTGGGCGTGGCAGGGGTAGGTGTTGACGACGACGTTGTCGTCGTCGTAAGCGTAGTAAGGGTTGCCATAGCCGCGATTCGTGTAGATTGCAACGGAAGAGGTTGTGGGCTGGCTCAGATGGCGCTGCATAGGGCCATGGAAAGCGAGTGGAGGCGTGCAAAACGAACGTCGTGTGAGATCGAAAGGAGGCTTGGTGGAAGGGAGCGTGAGCCTGTGCCTCGCTCGCTGCTGCGCCGTTTCATGGCGGCTGGGGTGTTTGTTGGGATCTTCGGTCTGGGCCGTGCACGTGATCGCGCGAGGGACCCGAGTGAATGGTTGCAGGATGCAGGGCGTAGATAGAGGAATTAGCCGTTATTACCAGACGACTTGGCGCGTTTTCGAGCCCAGGACGTTCAAGCATCATGCGGATAAAACTTAGTGGAACATCAATCGGAAAAAGTAGGAAGACGATGCAACAGGTACTGAGAAGTTTATAGAACCTTTTTCCCAGGCAAGATAGAAAGAGAATGCCTACAACTCCAGGATGCGAACTCGAAACCTTGGAAGGAAATGACGGCCCACTCTCGCGCGAGAATCGTCTTGGCAGACCATCGTTCGATGTGGACAGCTCATCCATCACCACGCCTTTCCAAATCGGCGCCAGGCTCTGGCAGTGGTCCATGGCCCCGCTTCCTTCTCGTCACTCTCAAGCCCTCAATCTCCTTGAACAGTTGTCTGCCATCATGAATCCACGCGAGTTCGACCCTCTTATGCGCGGGCACGATCTTGCCATTCTGGTCCTCCACTCGGCACTGGGTGTAGAAATCCAGCGCCGGCCACAACGTCGGCTCAGCATCGAACTTGACCAGTTCAAGCAGGCTGCCGATAACCAGCGCAGTGACGCAGACGAAAAGCGTCACCCCGCCGACCACAGTGTAAGCGATCAGCGTCGCGCGGCCGACTTTGACCTTGTATTGGATGTTTGCGAGGGCCACATAGGCGTTGTCGTTCTGCTTTGAGAAAGCGCCGTCGCTGTAGTATGATTTTACGGAAGTGGAGTTTGAAACAAAAGGCATCACCGTCTGTCCAAGGACACCGTTCTGGCAGTAGAAGAGGGTGATTGCAAGGATGGACTGGATGGCGTTGGTACCACGTACAAAATACTCGGGGCTGGTCTCCATGATCTTGCTTATTCGGTAGTTGTGTCCCGCAATGAGGCGGCCAAAGGAGTGGGTTGGGGTGCCGAGGATAGGATTTGAAAGGCTGGAGTTGGGTGGTATATAGCTTGCGTTGAGGAGGACAGTCAGGGCATCGAGCAGCTCGGATGCGTCTATCATGGTGGGCTTGGTATCCGTCTGGTCTTCATGCAAGAGGACGCGGCCATCGGTACGCTCGTAGGAAACGGTTGCGTTGAGAAAGGATGCGCTTAGAGATGTGGTGAATCCGCGGTTGGATTTCCAAGTCGTATTTCGTTCGCATTGACCTTGTGAGACGAGGCTAGCAGGACATGATATCATTGCCGCTTCGATGGACCCGTCTGGCGCATTCCTCATACAGATCATATACGCTGCCGGCCCGGAGCTGAGTTCTTCGCACCTCGCACTCGTTCGGGGGATATCGATGTTGTCGTGGTACTCCAGCGAGTATATCCGCTGGTTGAAAGCCACGACAACCTGGGAATCCAGCTCTCCATGGAATGGTATGGCGGCGTCTACATTCTGGAACTCCTGAGTTATCAGAACATGGCGGGCGCAGCTGGTATCTGATGTCTTTCCCAAGCCCTTCACACAGTCTTTCTTCTTTTTCTCGGCATCTGGGGTGATGTCGATTGCGTGCAATGGGTTGGAGAGAAATGCGACGTAGCCCAGGTTGAACAGCAGGTCTTCCATAACGCCCAACTGCGAAGCCACGCTCCCATTGAAGGTTTCCATGCCGAATGCCACGGGCATTAGAGTTGATGGTACAGGAGTGTAGACGGGGTGCGTATTCACATTACCTATTCTCATTAGCCCGTACCCATAGAGCTCGTAGGACAGCAGTACTCATTATTAGAACCCCAATCAAGGGAATCGCAGTCTCCGCGATCAGTCGAAGCAAGCTCATCAAGCGTGGCTTCATTGGCCATTGGCCCGCCGGTAGACCCCGTCCCAAAGCGAGTACAAGCAAGCCCAGCGGTCCAGTACTCGATTGCAGTGCCAGAAACTGCGGGAATCGAATTCCTTCCGGCCGCGAGATTAAAACCCATTGAACAACTTCAAATGTCGAATATACTGAGGCGCCCAGGAAGAGACCAGCCGCTTCAGACAGGACGCGAAGAACCATTATCGTATTCGACGGTGAAGAGTGCACAAATTTCACTCTCGAAAATCGAGACTTCTGCGTGGCATAAGCGACCGTCATAAAGAAGAACGACAAGGCGAGGATTGTAGACATCCACGCCAAGATCGTCTGTCTAGCCAGTCCCAAGTACCGTCCATCTTTGTATGGGACCCAGGATGGTAGCCAGGCGGGTCGCTGGCGTTTGTGTCGAGGCATGGGGAGGCGCCATATATGAAGGGCACGAAAGCGAAGAATGCGAGAAGCAGCAGAACATCGTGAGGGGCATTGCAGCTGGTTTTCTCGGGTACTGAGCTGAACGTGAACAGAGGAGAATTAATGGAATACGAGGTCCCAAAAATAGGAGATGAAAATGGGGGAAGATCAAACCTCCACTAAACCATTTACGGCATGGTCACATCTTGTTGCGGAAATAACTGGGGGCCGAACTCAACGACAAGCAACGCTAGACAGGCCACCGGGGAAGAGAAGAGGGGAAATATAAACCGGTAAGTCTATGAATATACGCGACGGCTTTTAGGATAAGAAATGGTGACTGAAAAAAAGATCGCGGTTTCGTCTTCTGAGCTTGATGCAACCCACTCGGAACTAAAGAAAGGCTTACAGATGAACAGTCTTTGGGGAAAATCCAATAATGCAGAAGAAAAGAAACGGAATGTGCCGGAGGGGCAGAGATAGGCCCTTAAGCGGCGAAGAAAACGGCCGGGGGTGAAGCCTAAAGAGGCACGGGAACGGCCCATGAACTTGGCGCTCTACCTACCCACTAACGCAGACCTACAGTACCTCCTGTAAATACGAGATTGTCAGAGCGACCGATTAGACGAGATGTTGAGTTAAGAGACCAAAGGACAGCAAAAGAGGGAAGTGAACATGCGTCGAAGCCCCCCTTTACAATGACGTCATCGACCCCAAAAGCGAGACTAGAGGCAGAACAGCCATCACTCGCGTAGCCATCAACTCTCACGACCTCACCACAAAGAAGACGCGAGCATACTGCATGTACAGTAGAGTACTAACAAAAAGGGGGCCACATTCCAAACTCCGCAGACAGAAGGGGCACCACTGCAACACCGAACTCTATCCACACCCTCGCCCGTCCGCTTACTTCAGGATTACATCTCCGTTGTAGAAAACCCAGAAAAGAGAACTAGGAGTGAAAAAGCCAAAGAACAGACATACAACAATAAGGAGACAAGAGGAGCAGAAGGGTCCAGTCGCAGCGCCACCGCCTTTCCGGGAGAACTCCGTACTTCCTGGCCGGAGGTCCTATCGCTCGTCCCTCAATGCATTCGGCACATTCTCAAGTTTTATAATCAGAGCTGTGTCTCGGGAGGCTTGTTTGGACGCTAGACAGGCGCCCATGATAAGGTGATTAAGGTCTTTCTCCAAAGATGCGGCTGCGGCGTCGGCCCGCGGATGGAGCCGATGCGAGCGCGGAGGCCGAACGCGGATGAGAATCATGCGACGGTTTCGAGTTTTGGACTGCCAAAGTGCCATCCTAGGATTAGCACCATGCCTTCTGGGACGGTGTTTGTATTGCCAACTCTTGGAGAGAATAGCAGGTTCCCTTGTAACAGTATTCCGTTTTCTGCGAGCACATTGTGGCTGGGCGTCCAGGATTCACGCGGATCGGTGCTTTGATGGTTGTGTATAGTGGCTGCAATTCAATCGGTATATCTGGTTCAGACTCTGTCGTGAACTTAGTTTGCTTCCTGTCAGCAAGTCAAGGGAGCCCAAGCGTAGTTCACTCAAGTCGTGAATGAGCGAGCCTTCTTCGAGCCGAGACCGCCCCAAAGGGCCGGCCCCGGAATAACATAATCCGCGTGATCAGACTTCGTATGGATATTCAGCATCAACCCAGGCTCATCGCTGCGGTAAAAAGTCGTCGCCTGAACCCCATCATCAATCGTCTTCGTCCCTTTTCCCTCAACCTTCAAACTGACGCACTGCGGATAGAACTCCGCACCCGACGGCGAATACGGCCCAGTACCAGTGAACGCGATGTGTAGCGCAATGATTTCCTGACGGAGAACGTATTCTCCTGGAGCAAGGTCCCCCGGAATGCGAACGTTCCAGGACCCGTCGTCGGCGATGAGCTCATCGGAGGCCCAATAACCTTCATCGAACACGGTGTTGTTGATCCATCCGCGCTCATCAATCTTGACGAATTTGAGCGTGGTCATGTCGACTTCAGAGCAAGGACCGTTGCAGGGAGCGAGATAGTCGATGACCGGACCGTGGTGGGAGGTAGGCCACGCAACGTTGACTTGCCACCAACGGAGGCGGATTTCAGCGCCGGCAGTAACGGGGGCGCTTAAGTTGGCATTGGAGCCACCCTTCGCGCAGATGATCTGCGGTTGGTTCGCATCGATGGGATAGAGCGGATTACCGCCGAGGTTGGTCGTATACCAGGCGGGGATGTTGTTGGGATACGGGCTACCGGCATTCGGGTCCCAGCCATCGTAGTGATCACCGTCGGCCCAGATGTCGTTGACATGGGAGTGGCCGTAGGCGAAAGAGGCAAAGGAAGAGAGAAGAAGGACTGAAGCAGAGGTGGAGCGGAACATCATGTGAGGCTGGGATGCTCTTTGACGTCGGAACGATTCTGGAGATCTGTTGTGACGATTAGCTTTTGGATTTTCTGCGCTTTATATCCTTTTCGAGCTGCCTTGCCGTGGGGTCTTTTGCCTCCTGAGGCCGTCCACCGCACGTTCTGCTGTGCCCGATCAGATAACGTTGATATCCGAGACCGCTGACCGCCCTTGCCGATGTGACCTGAAAGCTGCACAGTCACTGAGCTGACCAAGCTGTCTTAACCGGCAACTAAGAGCACACTTCCCTCTGCTCTTTTACCTCAACCGCAAAGTTCGTGATTACTGGGTGGTAAAGGTGTAGAACATGAGAGGAGTCCAGCATACTTTGACAAGCCACCAACACCGTTATGCCGCCATGATCACACCCTTATGTGTTTGATGGGATGTGTGGACCTTCAGGTCGACCACTAATGCAGGTGACGAGAAGTGCTCGTCGAGCCCGAGCGGCGGCTTCGAATGCAGATTTGTCGTCGTGAAGAAGGGAAAGATGCCAGGAGAGTACACCTGGCCGCTGCAGGATTAGCATCACGGATGAATGTGGGGTCAGCTCGTATATGGAGAGAAGGCCCCACTACCAATAATGCTCCGGAGAAGCAGAATAGACGAGGTAACGGAGCATGCCTCAAAGTCGACGGGGTACGAATATAATGGCCATCCATGTTGGGGGTTGGATTCAGCGCGGGGGCAGAAAATCGTCGCAGAAGCTCCTCTTCGTCCAAAAGTATCACGGGAGAATGCCTTGACGACTCGATGTTGAAGGGTCGTTGTGAAACCACGTGCGGACGGATCATAGTACCCATGGAAGGATCTATAAGGAAGTCAGTTCGGGGGTGTTTATGCAGCGGGCCGGACCCCAGAAGGTGCCTCTTCGAACTTCGCCTAGAAGAGTAATATGTAGATGACACCAGCTTCCTGAATACGATATCTGCATCCTGCTGCTCATCTAAAAGCCTCTGCTTCACGCTTTGGATTTCGGCCGCCACCAGTCAGGATAAACAATTTATCTAGGTACAAGCCCGGGGATCACAAATAGGCCTGTGAGCACGCTGCTCTCGCATAGCATGCTGGAAGGATAGGATATATCGGCGGCCTAGCGGTGTAGAAAGGACCAAGTAGGCAAACAAAGGCGAGACAGGATGAATCGCGGGTCGACGCACATTGAAGCTGGCTATCACACTGCTGCGGTCGCTCCGGATTGGAGTGCCCTTCAATTGAGCCGGCAGACATGTCCTCTACTCGAAAACCAGAGCAATTGCTTCCCCGGGGAACGAAAAGGGCGGCGCTCCCGGATGTATGATAAAAGTAGTAGCGCATTCGAAGTGTACATGGCGGAATCGTTTCTTTGAGGTGTGACACCGCGCAAAGGGTGTCAAATTGGCTGCCATGCACGAGGTTCGACAGGAAGCCGGTCCGCAGTGCCGTTCGCTACCGCGCCGTCCCGACGGGGGAGTCTCGTCCGGCTTCGCCCGGGGCTAGGCTTCGATGGCGAGTGATGCAGAGATCACCTGGCGATGTGCTGCCAATTCGAGGACCGGTCGTCGCGCCGGCTGTGGTTGGGTCTGGAGACAACGTGAAGCCTGGAAGAGCGATGGGATGGATGGATGACGACATTTCCACAGGCCGCAGCTGCAAGCGGGCTTCGCGCGGAAAGCGCAACCGAGGAAGACAATAGGTGGCTCTTCTCGGCCCCCGATCCGACTCCCGGCAGTTGTGTGTGCGCTTCCAAACCGCGTCTTTCTTGCTGTCATCTGTCATCTGCCACGAGTCAAATGTCCGGATGGTTCGCCGAAACCGCGGTATCGCGTCGTCGACGTTCACAGCAAGACCCTCGCCGGCACCGCCCGAGTGGGCGCGATTGCAGATCGCGCCAGATTGGCGAGTGCCTATCATCATCCCCTTGCGCAGATGAACCGCAACCTCAGCTTCGGCATCCCCTCACTTCCGTTCGCAGATGTCTCCCAAATCTCTCAGTGATATCGATGCCCGCTCAATAATGCGGTCTCCTGAAACGCGACTGGAGGACACAGCGCCGAGCCGAGTGACACGAAAGCCGCTGTTTCCGACAACGGCACGCCAATAACATGACGCACCGAATCGCGATGAAGTGGCTGCCCAACAGCAGCCAACTGGCCATTATCGGACCAGTAATGCTCATCTTCGCCGGCCGCATGGGACTTTCCGTCGGCCTGTGGATAGCTGGAAGCCAAATACGCCACCGATCGGACCCGGCCTCTCTGCTGAGGAGTGGGTAGAGAACAGCAAGTTTGGTACGCGCGACGTGCCACCACTTCTGATGTCCCGTCCAGGCCGCCTCTTCAATTTCCCTTCGAGGACGCCCTTCTAAGACCCTCAGCTCCCCGGGAACAGTTCGTCAACACAACACGCATGCTCCCCAGGCCACGACGCACCACCCGAGCGCAGCTGGATCATTTCGCGGCATATATGCGTTGATTCGGCAAAATGCTTGGCCAGCGTGAAGTGCTTATTGGAGGTATCGCCGTCGACCTCAGCAGCTTCGACTTCGACGACCACTCGTCTAGGATTGCGAGCGTAAAGTCTGCGAATATCAGCCTCATCGCTCTGGTTGGATTCTTCGTGCTCTTGCGACTCTTCGTGAGAGCGTGTATAGTCAGGAAGCTCTTCGCGGATGATGGTACGGAAGCCCAGGCGCTGCTGGTTCTCTGTCTTATCGATTGACACCTCGAACAGCCCTCATCCTGCTTGCGGCCGCTTTCACCGTCGCTCTGGCTTCAGTATGCATCGCAGGTAGGTTTCCCAATGCTAAAGATGGCGGCTGAACGCAATGCGCTGATATGGATAGGCACCAATCATGGGCTGGGAACGCACGTTTGGCTGCTCCCGGTAGCCACGGTCTTTGATACCGTAAAAAGTTGCATCCAGGTGAGCCTCCTTACTGAGTCATTGGATTACCCAGCGGCTTACAACACGGAGTACCTGTACATTTGTCAAGTGCTCTACGCATGCGCCATCGCTTCTACCAAGATTGCCATCATCGCGTCCTACCTCCGCTTCATCCAGGACAAGTCGTTTCGTCTGGCGATGTATGGAACATCAGTCGTTATTGTTGGTCTGTGGTTCACAGGTCAGGTCATCCGTTCTTGAGATGGCGTGGCTTTACTCACAATCATCAGGGGTCTTCGTAACAATCTTCCAGTGCCGTCCGGTAGCCGCTGCGTGGGATTTCACAATTCCGGGGAGGAAGTGCATCGACTACGTCGACTATCTGTACGCCAGTTCAGCAATTAATGTTGCAACCGACCTTATTCTCTGCGTGCTGCCTTGGCCCTACCTTTGGCGGCTCCACATGCCAATGAAACAAAGAGTGATCCTCTGCCTGCTCTTCGGAGGCGGCGCAGGGTAAGTGTGCATGAGATTTTGAAAGAAGGCGGGGCTAACCTGTCCAGTGCATGCATAGCCAGTATTGTCCGGATCGCATATCTGCACACGCTACGAAGTACAGACGTAACTTGTACGTGCTATGCCCAACCAAAGCAGTCATTCTCTCTTCTCTGTCGTCGCAATGTGAGAGTAATCGGTGGCCTTGAGCTGACACGCGCTAGACCAATGCGTTCCCTGCCTCAATCTTTCCGTGATTGAATGCACTCTCGGCATCATCTGCGTCAGTATCCCATCGCTTCGTCCTCTCGCTGCACGGCTCTGGCCAAAGGAAATGCGCACTAGACTTCGGAGCAGTCGAGGATCCTCCGGAAAGTCGCCCCTGCCGAGTTTACATCTGAGTCGGCTATCAGCCAAATTTCAGCATCGCTCCCAACAGCTCTCCGAGCACAATTCGAATACGAAGCTCAATTCGGAAGACGATTCGAGTGCGGGATATGAGAGAGATGGGCAGAACACCGCTGTTGAACCTTAGAAAGAAGTGGATCCAAGCTGAAAAGAAGCCGCTGTCTATCATATCATTTTATTGAACGACATGGTGATCAGATTGAGCCGCCTAACCCGCGAGCGAGTACGTTGGATCGCTATTTCTGTTCCTGAGCCTGCCGGCTGGTACGATTAACGACCTACCCGAAGCGATGCGAGCGATGCGAAACCCATCGGAAGACATCTTTCCCAAAACCGAAGCAAGATACGATCAACGCGCGCAGCAGAAGCATCTCCTAAAGAAGACGGCATGGCGCGAGAGGCTGAGTCGATACCTGGTCCGTGCATCGCTCAAGCTCAACACCATTTTCCCGCATTGCTTGTTCAGCTGAGCGCGAGCTGCAGCCAAGCCGACCTAAATTGCGCCGAGCCCATAGCCACGTCGCTCGCGCGGAACTTGGTTGGCGGAAGCCCCTCAACGTCACCAGCTCCCACCACTTCACGACGACATTGCGTCTGGGGATCATGCGCCTGCGCACCGCTTGGCGGTCAGCGGCGAAGCAACTTTTGACCGGCAATCCTGAGGTCATGGATGATCCTTTCGTATTTATTTGATATTTCAAGGCTGCGTCCCCGAGCGAAGGCAGTATTTACACAAGCTAGGCCTCTGCACCACGTCGAAGAACCAAACGCGATTCTAACAATTTACGACCTTCATCTTCTATCATTAGATATCGAGCTACATCTCGCACAAGCAGACCCTCGCAGCCCTTGCATCCTTCGCTACACCACCGAACTACCCCAGTCCACCTCTCCATCCACAATGAAGTTCGCCTCCGCAACCGCGCTCCTCTTCGCGACCCTCGCTCTCGCAAACCCATCCCCCAACCAGCCAGAATCCCGCAACCAACTCAGCGACAAACTCGGCGCACGCGCCGACGCACCTGCCCTCGCACCCGCCGCCGCTGGAATCCGCCTCGACGCTCGCGCCAAGAAGCCCAAGCCGAAGACCGGCAGCGGGAACGACACCGACAACGCCGTGGCGATGCTCTCACCGAGTCGCACGCTGGAGCTCGGTGCGCTGGGGCTGGGCATTATAGAGATTGTGAGGCTGTGGGGTTAATTGGTATGGTGGATGATGCAGGATTGGATACCACAAAACGATTGGAGAGGGCACATTCGGCGTCATGGCGCGCGATCAGAGTTTGATATTGCAGGAGCATCGGTCTTCCTCCGGTACACAGTAGACTCTAGCCTTGATCTGGACATTTCTCTCTGCGGCGCTAGATACCATTTCTTTTCCCTGCCACCGTTTTACATAAGCAATCGATTTTATTTCCCTATGCGCGCAATTATCGCGATCCTGTCTCGTCGCATAGATCGCTTTCTGCACCGTGTATTTGCTGTGCGGCATTCCGCGCCTCTCGCGCGTGTCACCAACATCGCTCACCGGACACGCCTCGTACTGTACTACAATCCCCAGTTCCCCCGCCGCCGCCGCACAGCCACGAAAAACCCGCCAGGCACGCGTCTTGGCGATACCCGGCCCGGCAATTCCACTATCCATACCTAGTCCAGTACCACCTACGCGGGGCGGACTGCACAGCCCCATCCTTCGACGTTCTTGGCTAGGGGGACAAGCTTTCCGGTCAGGGTCTGTAAACTGTGCGTGGTGCGTGTGGCTAATGTGTGTGGGTGCCGGGGGTGTGGGGAGGTTGATAGGCGACCGATCGAAGGATTAACTAACTGAGCGTCGCAGGATGTGCGATTGAGACCTGGGGTTGGTTGGGTGATGAGGGGTGAGCGCTGTGTTGGTCGATATATATCGTTCAGGTCAGTAGCAGGGTAGGTGGATATGCGATGGTGGGCGGTTTCAGCAGCTGGGGTATGGATGGTTGGTGGGGGCATGAGGAAGAGAGGATCTTGAGTCAGTCGGTGCTGGGATGGAACGGAACGGAGCGCGAGCTCGGCCTCGTTCGTTCGTCGGCGCAAGCTTGCTGAGGATGGGATACTGTTGCGCATGTGGCAGCCACTTGGTATGAAGATGTTTCTAGCTCTAGGGTCTAGATAGTTAGGTCGCACTGCGCTGCTGCGCTTCGTAGTTGTTGGGATATGGAGACGGAACGAGAACACAGACGGAAGCGATGGGAGAAAGGACTATGAAGCTACTATACGGCATGGTGTGTAGAGAGAATCTTGGAATAGGCGGGGGTGTTATACATAAGATAGGTCTATATAACAAGAAGGCCGTGGGGTAATTCGTGAAGGGTATCGAATATAGTACTGTACAAGAATAGACAAGATAGAAAGGAAAATTTACACGGTGAAAGAAAGCTCGCAAGCGTGACTGGAGCCCCCAGTGGTATCGGAGGGAGAAGTACAGTGGCAGCGATGCGACACCGGCGCATCGTATCACTGCGAAGCGAGCGCGCAAAGAGTGTCTTCGAGTAACGCTGCCATGTCAGTCAGTCTCGCAAGTTTCCTATCCGCTGCCGAAGCTCACATACCGCGCACCTGAACTCCTCTAGGCCCCGTTTCTTTTTGGGGCTAAATCATACCTCCGACCGATACACACTCTTCATCGACTTCCTCCCCACATACACCCTCCTCAACCACTCCATCCCGCTCCAATCCATCTCGCCCCTCTCCGCCTCCGTCTCCGGCCTCAGCATGACAGAGCCCGGATACGACGGCGGATCCACGCCCCGCTCGTCCTCATCAAGCGGACTCTTCTCCCTGGCCTCGCTTTCCACCTCCATCGCGCTCTTGCAGAACCAGCTCTTGCGGTCGAACAAGCTCTTCCGATCAGCGCCGCGGCTTTTCCGACTAGCCATGGTGTGGCATTTGGGAGATTGGCTCTTCCGACTCGCTGTAGTATGCCGCTTGGGAGACTGGCTCTTACGGCTTGCGGTGGTGTATCGCTTAGCGGAGGAGGAGGAACTCCTGCTTCTGCTGCACCGGTCGAAGTGGCTTTTTCTGTCTGCGCTGGGGCGCTTAGTATGCCGCGGGGAGGGTTGGCCCATTTCGTAGATAGCCTTTGGCTCGGACGAGAGTTCGAGGAATCTGGGCGCGGGCTGGACGTCCACAGGCGAGAGCTCGGGCAGCGCGGAGCTGTGGATGGGCACGGGGCATGAGATTCTTGACTTGAATTGGTGCGGGTCGACGATGGAGATTTTCTCTGAAAGCGAGGTCGGGCTTCGGAGGGGTACTGCGGGTGGGTTTCTCCAGCAGAAATATGTCCCGGTTTGGCCGCGGCGGACGCCGAGGTAGAAGACGATGGCGGCGAAGATTATGATGGATATGGTGATTGCGAAGCCAACGCCGACGTCGTGGGAGGAGGGACTGCGTTTCGATAGTGCTCGTGGTTCAATGGGAAGCGGAAACGCGGCGATGGTGGCGAGGGTTGAGAGGAGGAGGGGTAAGACCAATGGAAGCGTGGGTGTCATCTCGTCGCGGTCTTTAGAGTGATGTACGGCCGTTAATATCAGTGAGGCTTTAAGCAAAGAAAACCTTGTCTTCGCGAATCGTTCATCCAGATAGCGTCAGGACTGGACGATCTGAATAAAAACCCGAAAAGACAGCCTCAGGGCCGCCTCAAGCTATTTAGCAAGGCTAGACACCGACCGCATGTGCTGCGCCGCCCATGTCGTTCGCCGATCTATATCCCGAGTCAGAGGGTCTTGGTGTTGTGGTGTAGGGTCTCGCTTCCATGCTGACGTTGGAGCTCCCCGTTTATTCGCCAGGTGTACGTGAAACGCACCAATCGATACGATTTACGTGCATACTCTTCTGGAAAAGTTTCAGATATATGCCCGATAAGTAGTTGTTTGGTCTGCGCGGGTTTCTTGATCGGGGTTGATGGGCGCTTAATGGTGTGCTGGGGCATTGTAGTGTTGGTCGCTAGATCGCGGTCCAACCTCATCCTCCAGCATGCTGTTCTCTTTGTGCAGCTTGGCCACTTGCATGCAGTGCAAAGTTTTGAATGCAGATCACAGCAGAGACATCTGCAGCGATATGTTGGTTCTGGCGCCGACCTTCCGCAAGTGCTCGCATGTGCGCATTACTAAGGTACTGTAAGCGCTTAGGGCAGGACCTACAGACCTACCTCAGGTTCGCCCCACAGGATCTGTGACTACTCTCAATCGACTCTCGAATTATTTCCATGATCCTCCTAATCGTGCATCCTGATCTAGTATAGATCAGCGTCAAATAGCGAACAATAGGTTATTAACTAGGAAGGATTCCCGAGCTGCATAGTAAGTCCCCGACTTATACCCCGACGCCCCACTCGACCACTCGTACCTGCCTTTCGACAGCGCATTGGTCTCCGATGTGCATAACGACATGAAACAATTGGTTGTATAGAGAGGAGGTGCGCATAAGAAGGGCTGCAAGAGGTAGGCTCAGAACTGGGTTTAGAATTGAACCCTCTGAAATGACAGACCTACATACCTATGTACTCAAACTCGAACGAGAGGAAAAAATTAGGGAGACGCGCAAAGGAGGTCATCGGGTCAAAACTGAGACATGGCGAAGGATCGCCGGTGTATACGAATGACGATGCTGCGCCGTGTTTGCTTCAGCGCCGTAGAGACAGTAAATGCCGTACCGAAAAGGAAATGAAGATCAAATAAGTCCGAATCAGGAGAGCGCGCAACACGAACTCGTCAGGCTGCGATGGCAGGCGGCGGAGACATGCCAAACGCTTCCGGAAGCCTTCGAAGAGTTAGCGGCACGGGCATCTTGATCAACTCGTCCTCGGGTGGCGCATACAGTGGATCAAGGTTCTCCCTACATAGAAATATTAGCACGCTCTGCACCTCTCGAATGAAGATGTGCTAGTGTACCCACAGCTGCATGGGATCGACCGGAGGAGAACTCTCTTCGTCGGCCTTTTCGGCTTCCTTCTGCATATTGAAAGCGAAATAGTCGTTCTTTTCTTTGAACGGTCCCATTGTTGAATCAGGCACTGGCGTCTCGTGCGCGCTAGGGGTGGGTGGGATAGTAGTCAATAGCGTGTGCGGATGGTCGTGGTAGTTGGACATCCTTGTGGGACACGCGGTAGTCATACTGGTGCGGAATCCTCTTGAGTTTGTGTCTGGTACGGGCAGGGAAGAGGCCCGACTGGACTTAGGGCCAGGAGGCGGCATCGTATTACTGTGACTGACACTGAACGCCCTCTTGATGAGTCCGATTGCAGACGCCGTCGAGGAAGCCCTGCTGCGAAAGCTGGCCCCACCATCAGACCCCGCAGCAGAGGAGATACTAAGATTTCTTGATGTGCTGCTGGGAACACTTGGTGTACTCGAGCGCTCCATAAGGCTGAAGATCCCACGTAGAGCAGAAACAGCAGCGTCCACGGAATTTTGTATGTTGTTCCAGGAGTACTCGAGCCGAATGAAGTCATCCATATCCTCTTCAACCCTCTCCATCTGGTTCAGGCAGACACACACCGCGTCGGCCATGATGGTAGTGCCTGTTATCCAGGCATTCGCGACGGCGTCTTGACAATGGAGAGGCTGGGCCTGGATAAGTTGGATGGCCGAGTTTGCGGTTTTGTCGATGGCGTGGTCTGCCATGTCTCGTTGCTGGCAGATGTCGACGCGTAGTAAGGACCGCCTGCTGGAGGGCGAGTTGTCGGCCTTGTACATGGTTGATTTTGCTCCGTCGTAGACGGCCTTGAAGGCGTCTTGGTGCACATATGCGATTCCGGCGTTGAGATTGTCGAGCGTCGAGAGGACTGAATCGGCATTATCACCGAGGATTGCATGGAGAATTGCCACGTAATCCGTTCCATCAATGAGAGCGTGCGCTTGTAGGGTTTTGAAGAAGGTGAAGTCGTTGGTTCGTCGGGCTGCATGGAGATTGTGTCTGACGAGTGCGACACGTTGAGTCCAGTGCAGCCTTTGGATTGTGTCAATGCCCATTGTCCTTCAGATGTTTTGGCGTCCACGTGAGACAGCGACTGCGAGCGTTGCACAGTAGCGGTCACACGTCGTACTTCGGTAAGCTGCCACAACTGTTCAGGGTGATGATGAAGCGAGAGAAGGAAACGCAAGAGTGGATTGAAGCTCGCTTGGAAGCAGCGATGGCTTTATAGACAACCTCAATCATATGAGCACCAATGACGCAACGATCGAGGACGGACTTTGGGATGCCGGATTTCGAAGTGATTAGACTGCCGTATCACTGGGCTTAGCGACAGAAGATATGAATCCGTGGAGAAGGCGTATAGGGATCAGCCATTGGTACGGATAGGGTGCAGCTGATCGTGTTGCTGCGCATGGCCGAATCACTCTTTGTTCGTGGACGGAACGGGAGAGTTGTTTCATGCTGCTCACGTCAATGCTAAACAAATGCCCAAATAAGGGACCCAGCGCTCAATGTGCCGAGTATCTGGGCGTTCTGGCCTGTCTGTCGCCGTAGCATAGTATATTCTGGACATGCATAGGGCTGAGACATCGGGCGTCTAGTCTGTCGCTGCGTGGTCGAAATGACTAAATCTGCTCTGGTCAGCTTCACGACGCCCTGAACGACGTACGTAAATTTCCGCTCACGGAGTCCCAAGCTGTATTTCTTGCGAGTGTGGAAGCTCGCACTCGTCATCCTGTCTTTCCGCCCGGAGACCAAAGCCGTCCTCAGCCCACGCAGACGTCAGGGCCTTCGAAAAGTCCCGTTAATAGCTCCAAAGGCATCGACGTTACCCCATGCGGTTCTCAGTTCTGTTCAGATGGAAGAAGCCTTGTCCTGCGTCGGTATGGTATCAGAGGAGGCTCTGGTAGTCAGTCTCGTCGGGAACAGCTTTTGACGTCGACGCCGCGGGCTTGCGGCCATCATTACGCCCCTTGCATGGAGCAGGTGCGTGCAGGCTCAAAAGCGGAGGTCACTAAACGTGAACACGGTCGCGGCGACGTGGCTGCTTGCGGAGGGATCTCTTTGCGATTCATACCTGTAATGGTCAGGTGTAGATGGGCGATCAGCCACTCGAATGCAGGGGCCGGAGTCCGAAACCTAGGCCAGCCCATCTGCTCGTAACCAAAAGACGGCGACGGCGACATCCGATGGAGAAGCGAGGAGGAACGAAGCAGTGGGGAGACGAATTGAAGTCTGATCCGGCGCCAAGCCCTCTGACTAAGCCGACGCTAACGATGGGCCGATCCGCCCACCAGTTCGCAGCCTTCCTCCCCTCGGCCTAAAGACACAAAATGCGTCGAGCAAATGCAGAATTTTCGCCGCGACGCAGACGGTACCATGCGTTGATGCCGCGGTAGCATCGCCTTGCCCGTTGTGGCTGGTGTCTCCTGAATTTTCTCTCGTGCCTTGCGTGGCGACCCGCTCGTAGCCGACGCTCCCCCGGCCAAATTTTCTCGTCATTCCACGATCTCGGTATTCCACCAGATAGCAGCGAGGCAGCTCGGCACGTTATTGTGGGACCACAATGCAGAAAATTCTCTTAGACCACGCTCACCAGAGCGTGGGGAAGCGAAGTGCTGGAATTGCCGCTGGCTGGCGGCGCAAACGCGCTTGACAAGTCATCGGCAGCATCATTCAAATAGACCTGGCGAACCGTGGGTGCGGGTTATCATATTATTTCATGGCATTCTTGTGACTGCATATTCCTAATCCCTGATCCCAAGCTTCACTATCTTTGATCCGTCTGTTCGCGGTCGAGATGGACGTCACGCCTGCTCCTGGTCCCCTCCAGGAGACCATCCTGCCCAAGATGGACCAGAAGTCGGAGAAATCTGACATTCACTCGTCAAGCGATCTCGAAAAGCAGGTCCATGGCCCGGAGGCGCATCTGCAGAGGAAGCTGAAGAGCCGCCATCTACAATTCGTCGCCATTGGTACGTCTAATGCCAGATTCCTATGCTCGCTACGGCTCTCTAATATCAACCAGGTGGCACTGTCGGAACTGGTGTCTTTATCGCCTCTGGCGGATCAATTGCAACTGCCGGACCGGTCGGTGCACTTCTCGCATACATCTTCGTCGGAACCCTCGTTTACGCCGTCATGCTCTCGCTCGCCGAGATGTCTACATACCTGCCCATCGCCGGAGCCTTCACGCAATATGCCGCTCGGTTTGTCGACCCCAGTCTCGGGTTCTCCATGGGATGGATCTACTGGTTCAGCTGGTCCATCACCTACGCTCTCGAAATCACGGCTGCGGGCCTCATTATCCAGTGGTGGAATTCTGACCTGAGCGTCGGCATCTTCATCACCATTTTCTGGGTCCCGATTACGCTCGTGAACTTCTTGCCCGTTGATCTGTTTGGAGAATTCGAGTTCTGGTTCGCCTCGCTCAAAGTCATTGCGCTTATCGGATTCATGATCTTCTCCATCTGTATCAACGCTGGAGCCGGTCAGCAGGGATATCTTGGATTCAAATACTGGCACAACCCAGGGGCATTCGCGCCGTATCTCACCGATGGGCCGAAAGCAAAGTTCGTGGGATTCTGGGCAGTGCTGATACAGGCTGGCTTTGCCTTCCAAGGAAGCGAATTGGTGGCTATTGGTGCAGGCGAGTCGTCAAACCCGAAGATGACGATGCCAAAGGCCATCCGACGGACGTTCTGGAGTATCTTCCTTCTCTTCGTGTTCACGGTCTTCTTCATCGGCATCCTCGTTCCTTACGACAACGAAGACCTCTTGACCGGCGATACGAATGCCGGCTCGTCTCCTCTCGTCATCGCGGCGCAACTCGCAGGAGTTCAGGTGCTCCCTGATATTCTCAACGCTGTCCTTCTGACCGTCGTCCTCTCCGCTGCCAGTTCCAACGTCTATTCCGGAAGCCGTATCCTCGTCGGTCTGGCGGAGGAGCGCTGCGGACCTCAATTCCTCAAGCGCACTACGAGGCGAGGCGTTCCGTATATCTCGACGGCTATCACGGCTGCGATGGGTCTGCTCGCATACATGAACCTGTCTAGCCACGGTGGCGAGGTCTTCAACTGGTTCCTGAACATTATTAGTGTTGCGGGCTTCATTGCGTGGTCCTGCATCTGCATCTGCCACCTCCGGTTCATGAGTGCGCTCAAGGCGCAGAACTTCGATCGCGACACGCTTCCGTACAAGTCCTGGGGCGGTCGCACCCTCGCTTGGTACGGTCTGGTGTTCTGCGTCATCATCACCATCACACAGGGCTTTACCGCGTTCGTCCCATGGGTCACGGAGGACTTTTTCATCGCCTACATCAGCTTGATCCTGTTCGTCATTCTGTACGCCGGGCACAAAATTGTAACGCGGTCCAAGTTCATCAACCCGGCTGAAGCGGATCTGGTCTCTGGAAGATTCCAGGAGGAGCTGGCAGAAACATGGGAGGATAGCCCGAGGAGCCGGTGGAAGAAGGTCCTGAATGCAATTTTCTGAGCATGAGGCCGATTTGATGGGGATCTCCAAAAGTCGTTTCGAATCGCATCGCATTTGTTTCGAATAGCATCGCATAGCATGGGAGTTGGGGATCGCTGAACTTTTCTAATTTTAGTGCTATATACCACCCGATAATGTATACTTCCGTCTGCCCTATCGCATATATGCATGGAAAGGAGTTGGCCCGACTCCTGCGCAATTTGCAAAATTTGACCAGCCGCACTCTGATATCATCGCTTTCCAGAAACATCTGCGCGGCAGTACGCACCTTTCACGCCAGCCAAGGCTTCACGTGGAAAAAGTCACAGCACTTCTCCCTCGCTTCCAAACATAGCGCGCGCTTGGGATGAAAAGAAAAGGCTCGGAATAGATTAATGTGGCGCGACAATTGGTCGAGAGACGCTCAAGAAACGGGTTATTTTGCTGTCGATGATGTAAATGTTGGCCGCAGGGCTGTAAAGCACAGGCATGTGGTAGTGCTGTGTGACGTCGATCCAGCGCAAGCGAGCCGGTCGCGCTTGCTAGTTGCATGAAAGGGGCAGTGTCGCGGGGCGCTATGTGGCTCCGCACCCAGCAACGCTCTTGCCTCCTGCACGAACCCCAGCGCTCCACAACACCAACGGCATCCTTCCGCCACACATCGCACATCTCAACGCCCGCAAAGCTTCGCTCAGGCACGACTCTCGCCGCCGTCAGCAGAGCGAGTGACGCAGGGCAAGCCAGCAGCTCATCCTCAGCCCTGAGTTGGCGCTGGAAACATCCGTCTTCCTACTCTTAAGCTCGAGCCCCTGTCCTATACAACTGCTTCAAGCCGCCGTCTGTTCTAGCCGCTCTGGCCATCGTCACCCGTCATTCGTCTCATCTTTCCGTCCTAGCCACAAGCTTCTCCACAGCTCTGCGATCGGCGCCTGTCGCTCCCGCTGCGCCAACCGCACGTTTCAACGGTATGCGCCACGAAAGGTCAACAGCTGCTCGCCACCCAGCGATGCCTCTTCTGCTCACGGGCTAAAGATGCTCTACGAGAAGGAGCTATTGACAGCTGCACCAACGGGCCATCGTTACTCAAAGAATTCCTCCGCTGCAGGGACTCTCCCAGATGGCGAGTCCTGCCGCATCACGGTACCTACATCTGATTCGCACAAGGGCCGCTTCTCCTTTTGCAAACCACAAGCATGGGGTTCCATGTCCGTCCGCCTGGTTTCCACATCCCCGCCTGTTTCCTAGCAGCGCTCGCTTCGGAGATGAACACCTTATGCAACAAACAGGAGCTTGCCAAAGCTCAGCTCGACGTCACTTAGTTTGGCAGAACGGCCTCACCGACTTCAACCTGATCTCAAGCAAGCAGGCTTCTCGAAGGGAAATGCGGCTCAATAGAAGCGCAACCTATCAGACCTGCGAATGCTAAACGTCGCGCCCCATTTGGAGTCTCTTGCGCCTGCCAGCGCATTTGATAGTGGCACTAACCCCATCTCGCAAATCGCCCTCCCCAGCGCATCACTGCCGCACGCAGCCATTTTCCCGAGATGGATCTACAAGCGTCCTTGATCTCGATAGCCAGGCAACTTGTCCCGAGCTCCACAGAATTCCCGTCTCTACCGGCTGCTCCACCACAAGTCCAGCCACTGACAGCGTCGATCCTAGAGCATTGAAGCTGAAAGATGGGGATCGACGTCACTTTAGCTAAGCTGGGCTGACAACCGGTGGATATCGATCTTGGAATCGCCCCTGGAGAGTTACGTCGGCCACGTTGTGGGCGAGTGCGACGGTTGCGCTGCCTGAACATCGATGATGATCACGCCAGGAGAGGAAGTCTGCGATGACGACGCCTAAGAGACTCCGCATGTGGATGCGGATAGAGTGCCGGCGTACAGGGCTGCATTCCCCTTGAGCTAACCCATTGACCCTGAGAAGTATAAAGAGGGCAGCAGTATCTCGACAATGGCAGCATCACACGGCTTCAACTTCCTCAGCAACTACTCCAACCTTCAAACCAAAACACCTTCGCCTTCGTTCCAATCTCCAACCCACTCACTCCACCACAATCACCATGCAGTTCACCACCATCCTCGCCTTCGTCGCCGCCGCCGTCGCTGCTCCCGTCCTCGATGAGCGCCAAACCGCCCTCTGCTCAGGCGCCACCAGCACCCCGCAATGCTGCGCAACTGATGTCCTCAACCTCGTTGTCCTGGACTGCGCTACTCGTACGCTACCCTTTCCACCATCCCTACTCACGCAATGCTAACCCCCGCCGCAGCCCCGACGACTCCGACCTCCATCAACAACTTCATCGACATCTGCTCGGCCGAGGGCCAGCAGGCCAAGTGCTGCCTGCTGCCCATCCTCGGCCAGGACCTCATCTGCTCCGACGTCAATCCCCAGCCTGCCACTTAAGCGCTTCATCATGGGTCGAAGCTAGCCTGGAATAACGGCTTGCCTTGTACAGTACGAATTGTCTGGATAATCCTCTGGGTTGGGCTCGTGCTGCATGGGTGGAACTTTGTTCATACCGTTCCTTTTTTCTTGGATGGGATTGGGGTCCTATGGATCGTAGAATCTAGCCCTCAATGATATCTTCTTCTGTTGAAATGCTTGCTTCTTGCGGAACTGTGATGTTGGGGATGTGCGCCGTGTATGTGAAGTAAGACTTGGTGTGTCATGTACGCCTACATTCGAACTACTCATCCCCACACACAGCTATAGTTACCACAGGTGTCTGAGTCACGTGCTCCTCCCCGCCGTTCCCAAAACCAATCCCCCGGGCACTTGGGCACCTGTAATCACAAGCACCCTTCCATGCCGCCCACGCGATTAGATCCCCTTCCCACACCCCGGTCGTAGACGAATTGTACTAATGCCAGTCTCGGTATTCAGCGGAAGCGTCTGGACACACAACACTCGCTGGTGCGGCCTTAAACCCTCCCTCCCTGCCTGGATAGACTTTACGGAGGCAACTTAGCATAAGAGAGTAAGGGTGTGAAGGAGGGAGGGGAGGGAAGGGAAGGGAAGGGAAGGGAAGCGAAGCGGGTAGGTTAGGTGAGATTAGAAATGGGGATGGGATAGCTGCAGTTGAAAGCAAAGCAAAAGCAAAACATGTTAAGCAGGATCAAGTAGTGCGTGTGTGGGTACTTGGGTTCCCCATAGCGCAGTATAGTATGATATAGTATAATACATTGCAAACTACAGTACGGCGAGAACGCGCATGTATGCAATACACCGTATCTCGCGAGTTTCGAAGCTATCTACCGTGTAGGAGTGGGAATAGCATGGTAGGAGTGGGACGTGATGTGATGTGATGCAATGCTCCTTCCACCCCAGCCCTCTTGTGCCTGCCTCTTCAAATGATGCATCCATCTACTTGCGCGAAAGTCCTCTTCTCTCTTGCTGGAGTCCTTGCTTGCTGGTTGTTCCTGGATCCTGTCTGCGGTCTGCTGATGATGGGAGAGCGGCAACGGAACGGAACGGTGCGGTATGCCTCGCCGTCCTGTCCTCTTTCTCGATGGCCGCGAGACGGACTCTGATCCATCCTTCCCTTCATTTCCTTCGCTTTCGGCGCGTCGTCGGGCCGCTTCTCGTCTCGGTCGGGGGGCTTGTGAGGCGTCCATACGACTCGACTCCACGTATTCCCCTCTCTCCCATCATCATCATCTACCCAAACCCCATCTCGCCCGGTTCGCAGCATCCTTGGCGCCACCGTGCAGCACAACACGCACCCTAATCCTCCACCCATCCATCCCCCTTTCCCTAAACCAAACGCAAACCCCTTAGCCCCTATCACCCACTTCATCTCACACCCACTTCATCTCACACCCACTTCATCTCACACCCACCTCCTCTCCGCCACCTCCCTCCCCGCCCCCGGACTCGGCAAATACCCCCCCTCCTCTAGCGGACTCACACTCAACGAGCTCACACTGCCCCTCCATCCCCCTCCTCCCCCTTCCCTTGCCCCCACACCCGCCAGCGGCGACGCCTCCGCCTCCGGCGGCGAAATCTGCAAGACCGGCAGACTGCGCAGCCCCACCGCGCGATCCTCGCGCGCAATCTCCGCCGCGTAGTCGAACGTCGCGTAGGCCCTGCCGGATTCTAGCTCTTCTGCTGCAGCGCTGGGTTTGCTGGGTGGCGTGCGTGTGTGCGCTCTGCTCGGCAGCTCGGGCACGGCGGCGTCGAAGTCGCCGGGGAGCTCGTAGATGGCGCGGGTGTTGGCGTCGGCTTCGACGGGTGGTTGGGGTTGTGGGAAGTTGCTGGGTTTCCAGTGCGAGGCTGGCGGGTATTGCTTTTCTTGCGGCCATGAGGGGGTGGTTGCCGATGCTGGCGAGGAATGGGTCGTGGTGGAGGGAGTGGTGGAGGTGGAGGATGTGTTGGCTTTGGCTGCTATCTTCTTGCGGCGCTGGATGGCGAAGAAGGCGACGAGTGCGATGAGCAGGATGCAGACCGAGGCCGCGACGCCGATGGCGATGCCGCGTTTCATTCCTGGGAGGGCTGGTGTGTCTTTCTCTGCTCGTCTCGCGATGGGAGGAGTGGATGTTGATGTTGGCGCCATTTCGTTCTTTCTTTCTTCAACCGTCAACGTCAACGCTCTTGCTCTTGAAGAATCAAAGGTCCAGTCTCTCAAACGGACGAAATAAACGCAAGACACCCAACATTGGCACCCGCACCTTTTTGTTCCTCCCACAGCACCGCACCGCACCGTCGTCGTGAAACGGTAAGCCAGGCCCCCTGCATGCGGCGTAGCGTAGAGGAAGGCGGCGCAGCCTCACCAAGGCAACGAGCGAGGCACATTCTGTTTGACGTTTCGCGCGCTGCGTGGTTGTGGTCTATTAACCGGGGGCGTAGTGGTAAAAATGGGGGCGGATGGGCGCTTAAGGTAACGAGTCCTAGCCTTGACAGCCAATGGCGTGGGATTTGCCTCGCCTGATGGTGATCGTTGTGCCTTGCCGCAGCGTCTGTTCTTCATGCACCACATACGATACTGAGGCTCGAAAGATAGATGTTTGCAAGAGTGTTTGGCGGGAACGGACGAAAAGAGATGTCATTCCCAAGGAAAATCCTATCTATACGCAGGGAAAGCAACGCACACGCGAAAAAAAAAACCGCACCCAGCCCAACCCACACCCCTTCACCTGGCTATGTTGAAATGCAAAGGGGAGTCCCGTGAGGGCCTCAACCCGATGGAAATCTCAAGCCGCGATGAAGGGGATAGGGGGAAATACCTAGGTACAAAGCAAAGAAAAAAAAACAACGCCAGAGAAACCAATCCACCACCGATACCGAAGAAAGGAGGCTACGACGATCCGAAGATCGGAGCTGGGGAGACTGAAAAGAAAGCAAACGCCTGCACGCAAAGAAAAAAAAAGCAGAAAGCAAAGCTTCGACTGTCCGAAGACAGGAGCCGGAGAGACTTCATACATGAAGGAGGGCATACATGATCGAAAAAAAAAAGAAAAGGAAAGGAAACCCGAAAAAAAGAAGATCCGCCGAGCGAATCTATCCCCTCCTCTTCCCACCACCAAGCACCTTCCGCAAACCCGCCCTCCTCTGGTCCCAGCTTGCGCGCTGGAGACGAACGTCGCGCGGCTGCAGCGGAGCAGCAGGGCCCGGAGCCGGAGCAAGGACGACAGGCGGCAGCCAGGCGACAGGGACTGGTGCCGGCGCAGGAGCAGGAGCAGGAGCCGGAGCGGGAGGAGCAGGAGCCGGCATCTCCAACCACCAAGCAGGCGGCATCCGGAAATGCAGCGGCACTCCGGCGCACTGGTCGGCGATCGCCTTGAACTGGGCGAACCAGTCCGGGAGAGAGACGGTCGGCGGGGGCAGGACAGGCTCGACCTGGGCGGGAGCCGGAGCGGAAGGGACGTCGAGGGGTCGCGGCATGGGAGCCGGAGCTGGAGTCGGAGCTGGAGTCGGAGTCGGAGCCGGAGCCGCAGGCAGAACTGGACTGGGCGAACGCGGCGGCGGGACGACGGCGACAGCGACGGTGACGGCGGGCGACGGCGGGGCGACAGCAGGCAACGGCGAAGGCTCAGGCTCAGCCCGCCGAGCGGGCTTCTTGCCCTCGCTCTTCGCCGCAAGGAGCTCGATCCTGCTCTTCCGCTCCTCGTCGGAGAAGCTTGCCCAGCGGAACGAGCCGAAGCGCTCGACGCGCCTACCGTTGGCGAAGTGCTCCTCCTCATCCTCCACCAAGAACGTGGCGTCCCGACCGACGCGCGCGAACGAGGACCCGGCGGGCGACAAGCGGGGCGCGAACGAGTGCTGCCCCGGGTTGCGGGCGAACTGCGCGAACGTCCATCCACCCCCACCAGCTTCAGAGGAGCAGACGGGAGGCAGCGTCAACGGGACCGATGTTTCCACCGGCCACTGGACGCGCCACGCCGCGTCGCCCTCATTCACCGGCGGAGGCGGAGGAAAAGTCGACGAAGGACGGCGGAGAGCTTGTCGGCGCTCGCGGCGCGGGAGGAGTGGCGGCGAAGCGGGGAAGGAGCCCGGGACGGAAGGCGTGCCAGAGGCAGAGGCCGGAGAGTCGTGGTGCCCGAAGGCGAGAGAGAGGTAGGCAGCGGTTGCCCGCGCCGTGATGTGCTCCCAGGAGCACAGAAGCCCGAAGGCGACGAGGAGGAGGAGGAACTTGGCGAGTTCCTTGTCCATTGTGGACGGAGAGAGCTTGCTGCAGAGAATTGGGGGGGGCAGCGGGCAGCGGGCAGCAGGAAGACGAAGCTGTCGGCGAGCGTGCGGACAGCGACGAGAGGAGAGTGGAGGAGGTTTGGAGCGCAAGAGGTGGGCGAGGACGAGTATTTATGCAGCTCGCTCTGCGTGACGGTGAAGGCGACGGAGAACAATATTACGTACACGGAAGGGGCCCACTCCGAAACAGGCAACGACGGCGAGCCAGAGGCAGGTGAAGGTGAAGGCGAGGATGAACAACAGTACAGATACGGAAGGAGCGCGCTCCGAAACCGGCAGCGACGGCGAGCCAGAGATAAGTGAGCAACAATAGGAAGAACAGACAGTATTCCTAGATAGGAAGCGACGGTAACGGTAACGTGTTGAGATAAGAGAGCAACAATATGATGAATAGACGTGAGAAGCGACAGCAAGCTGGCAGTTGTCGGGCACAATACCACTGAATAGACGTCCGCTACTTCGCGGCTCACCTCACCTCACCTCACCTCGACCGGTGTATCTGCCTACTGGAGGACTCCAGGGTCACCTAGTGTATAACGCGCACACGAGTTGCGGAAAAGGTGCTGGAGGACTCCAGGCTGGGGTATTACCAATTCATCATTCATCATCGCCATAAACCAACCAACACCGCCCTATGCAAATGTATCCCATCTATATCTAGCCCTCTATGCCCTTCGCCGGAGAAGGCTTGAACACGCGATGTCTAGCCAAGAGCTGAGAGATCATGAAATGGGAGACGTCTTCGTCTGCCCAGTAGGAGAGGTGGCTCGCTATGCTAGCGAGGAGAGAGATGTCGAAGGCCTGTAGATGCGTCAACACACTCTCACCAATAGCGTGGAGGGGATAGATAGATGGCGGAAAGGGGAACGTACCCCTTCTTGAATGCTGTAATCCACTCTCCCGTTAGCATTCAGCGCCCGCACCTTCGCCTCCTCCTTCCTTAACTTCCTACTCCTTTCCTCAAGCTCTTGCCACTCAAGGTCCTTCTCGATGTCCTTGCTACCATCGTCGCTCTCCCTGCTCTTCCTCCGCTTCTGGAACCCGGCGTATAGAGTCTCGATCTCAGAGTCGATGAGCGTGGGTGGATGCTCGCCGTCATCCCCAGGTGCGATAGGCTCCTCACCTAATCTGCGCTTTCGCTCCTCGTTTATGAAGGCTATAGCTGGCTGGTCGAGACCGGGCAACATGCCGCCTGAACCAGGACCAATCGAGAGTGGCCGCGAAGACCTTTGGCCGTGCGTGAGGTCATTGCTCATTTTGGCGGCATCGTTTCCAGTAATGCCAAGACTGCGATTGAGTAGACCGCTGGCGATTCCTGAACTAACTGAACTCCAGAAATCGGTCACGCCTTGGCCCACTCTCGCCCCGATGCCGGTCAAGCCTTGGGCTGCGGGGGCACCAAAGATGCCCTTCTTCGTGTATGGCAGAGGCTGTGCTTTGAGACCGGACATGGCTGGTGAGATGAGAGGCTCGAGACGGTAGCTGATGGGATCGGTAGGGTGGAAGATGTTGAACAGCTGCTTGCACAGTGGGGAAGATACGGTGACGTCGCTTGCTGGGTTGCGTTCTGAGTCTGGCGAGAAAGGATCGTCGAGGGGACTCGCGGGCGTCTGCGCAGGTGTGAAGGAAGCCGAAGGTCTGGCAGCAATAGTGCGGCCTTTCAACATCTGGAACAGCCCAATGGGCGAGCCGAGGGCGTAGAAGTCTTCCACCTCGAAGTCAAGCTTCAGACCCTCTGCCGTATTGCGGCGATTCTTGCTTGACTGAGACTGCGACTTCGAGCGCGGGTCCTTTTGTTGGCACAGGATGTCGAACATGATAGCAGAACCGAGAGAGTGCCCGATCAAGCTCACTTTTCCAGTGAATGAAGGGTTGCGTTCTTTGAAAAGACTGTAGATGCGGTTGCACTCCTTGACCACAATACGGGAGATATGACTCTTATAGGCTGGACTTTGATAGAGCAGGATGTCCAAAGCGAGGTCGGTCAGCAAGTTGCGCACAGCTGGAACGCCTTCGACCGTGATGTCTTCCAGTTTGGGATACTCCTGATCTTCAAAGTCCAGGTCTCCCAGATCGTGCTCCTTGCGATTATGCTTCAAGCCCTGGGAGGGAAAGTCCAGGAGATGGCGCCAGCAGATGGGAAGAACTTGGATCCGGCTGTTCTTAACATCCTTGTCTACTTCGGCGTTGAGGGCCTGCAGGTCAGTTGAGTTTGAATAGACAGACTTCAGCGTCTTTCGCATTGAGTTGACGTCGTGGATGAAGTTGACGCTCTCCATGCGCATGCCGAGCCGCTGACCTATGCCATGAGTTACCAGAAGGAGATGTTCAATCTCCCGACCCTGTTCGCCCTGGCTTTGGTCTTTGTAGTCTTCGCGCATTTCCTTCTCATCCCGCTTCCGGATCTCCTCCTCTTGTTGCTCGGGATCTTCCTCATGGTTGGAAGTCATTAGGGAAGACATTTGGCGCTCAAGAGTTTTTCTACGGGTCTCGGACGGTGACTCTCGACCCTCGCCGTCCTCTGCGCTTGCTGTGTCGGACGCAGCCGTCTCCGACTCAGTACCTGTGCGCCGCTTGCCGTGGTCTTCTCCGTAGGCCAAGGGAGGGGTCGCAGGTTGCTCCGCCTCTTTCTTGCCAGCTTCTTCCTTTGCAGGCTTTGCTTCCTTCTTCTTGGCTGGGTCCACGAAACCACGGATGTACTTTGTGCCCGCGAAATGCGCACCGCCGGCAAATCGTTGGTAAAGGGTGCTTCCCATCTGTGACCACATGTTATCTGTCAGTATCCAGGCCGTCTTTTCATCTTGGTACGTGACCACCCAGTTCATATGGGCGCCGAAGAGACGGTAGGTTCGCGACGAGTCATCTGGAGGCGTCTTTTCAGTCCCCGGCTTGGCCTCGGTGGCGTTGGCGTCCGCACTCGCTTGTCCTCGCAGATCGTCGAATGAGGATTTGGGTGTGACCGGATTCGACGTAGAGTCTCGGTTCAACCTGCCCAGCTCTTTGCGATAGTCGTTGTCGACCTTCATGTTGAGCGAGACGGGGCGGGTTCGCGGCTGCGATGCCGAACGCTTCTCTGCCGGCTTTGCAAACCGCCATGGCTTGACCTTCAAATAGCCTTCCTCAAGTTGTGTTGCCAGATTTTCATCGCAGGGCTCTCCGTCGGGTGTGAACCATGTCCCTCGCTTCACATCGTAGACCGGTCCGAGCCAGTACGCAGGGGATAGCTCGCGCGTCTCGATCTCAACATTAAAAAGGTAGTCCTCATTCACTGGCACCTTAGTGACGGTCTCTGGTTCTTGTTCCAGGCCCGTCTGAGCAGGCGAGATCGGACTCAGTATGCCCTTTCGCAGCGCGGCAGCTTCTTCTTCTTCGGCGGTTTTCTGGAACGCGGTCTCGATGGCACGGGAGTCTTCGGGGGAGAAGGGTATCCACTTCTTGGGCTTCGGCAGAGGCTTGTCAGGCTGCACGGCGGTGGAAGCGAAGGGCTTGCGCTTGGGAACCTGAGCAGCATTGAGTCAGCGGCTTGCGGGATGCGTGGGGAGAAGGCGTAGAAGAAACAATGGCTGTGTTATCGTATTCGCATACATACGAAAGGAATCTACTTACATCTACGGCATGGAACCATCTCACAGCAAGCGAGGGACAGTCCTGAGGATACCTCTTGAGACTCAGCCTGTGCCTCCGATTCACCATATGATCTCCACCTCGTTGTGGGCCTACTCCGCTGGCTGCAGCCTTATCCTTCTTGTCCTCTTCCGCATTCTTCGGCGTCTGCGGCGGCTTCGGGGTGGCACTTCGCGATCCCCAGGGCGACAGGGCGTTGATGCCTGCGGAGAGGAATCCGGGCTTGTTTTCAGGTGTCGACATTCTGTCGTGCGGCAAGGCGTCGCCGCCTCCCGTCAACCTCGCGAGCCAGCTGTCGTAACGCGTGTGCTGTGTTTGGATTCGGGGCCTTGGAACGAGCTTTGGGAGTTGGAGCTGCTGGCGGAGGAGGGGCAGGGCGGTTCGGCGGGCCAATGCGATGACTGCTGGGTTGTATATGTGGTGTAAGGAGCGACTAAGTGAGGAGAGTGGAACAGAGGGGTATACAGACTCAGAGGAGCGCGACGGCAGGATGGTGGGCGAGTGACTTAAGACATGTATTACCTTGCATGTGGATCAAACGTCACAGGCGCGCGCCACATGCCAGCCACCAGCCACAAGAGCTCCCCGCATTCCTTCGCATTTCCCATAGCTTCCTTCGATCCCTCCCCAAAATAATACGTGAAGTGCAGCAGCAATGCTCGAATCTTCCAGACCGCGTTCTTCCTCGATTCCGCGCTCCTACCACAGAATCCGCGTCGACAATGGCCGCTTCGCTGAGGCCGACGCGGGCGAGCTGGGGCGCAAGCTCCGGGCTCTTGACGGCCTCCTATCCTCAGTTCCCCCATCACAACACCGCGACCTAAGCTTCGGCTCTATCCTAAGTTCGAGCGACAATGACCAGATCCTCTCTGACTCCGACGGCGATGCCTCCCGCGACCTTTTTGAGCTCCTCGATGGCTTTCCACGCCCAGATCTGATTCCCGCGACCTTCCTCGAAGCCTACACCGCGGCCCTGCTCGGCAGACCGTTCCTAAACGAATACAGATGCACTGATTTCAAGAAAGGGAGGGATCCCACCTGCTCAGAGGTCCTGCGTATCCTCCCGCGCATCGATGCAGTAGTGGATACGAACCTCTCCGCAGCCTTCAATGCCGCGAACGACACTGGCAGGTAGCCTTGTCCAGCGGTACCACACCGTCTCTAACGATGACCTAGTGCCGTCATTCCCCTTCTTAAGGCTCCCCGCAGAGCTTCGGCTGCAATGCTACGCGCATCTCCTTCCCCGTCCCACGCACCTCTCCCTCTTCGACCATCAGAACCGAGCCCGCAAGGCCCCGAGAACGACCTTCGCTATCCTGCGCACATGCCGCCAGCTACACGACGAAGTGTCCAAGTACTTCTACGACAAGCAGGTGCTTTTCCAGAAACTTGTCTGCCCGTTTCCGACTTCCATAAGGCATGCAATCCATCTAGCACTAGACTACGAGACAGTCGCCGGCATGGGCGCTCGTACTCGCCTATACTTCAAGAGGCTGGAGGTCCAGGTTGATTGCGTACCTAATCGGAGCGTTAACATTCCTCCCTATTCCGCGGTTCCTAGAGTAGAAGATTCTTGGGGGGAAATGCTGAAGCTCCTTCCAAGCCTAGAGACTGTCGTCGTTTCGTTCCCGCCGCATAGTCGTGAGACTGCAAGAATGTTGCACAAGAGGAGAGCGCCTGTGAACTGGCTCATTGACCAGATTCCAGACCGAATGCAGCTTCTGTGGGACTTTCGGCACTGGCAAGATGAGGAAGGGGAGCGCTTGGTCGCGGAGAGGATGCAGTTGGGCTGGCGAGGCGGCCTGCAGCACGGGGAAAGTGTGCTCCGAGTGACTTAGGTCCGTCGCTCGTCACTCTATCCAGTAGCGAATCTGCAATGACGTCTAAGCAATGGACCAAGTCCCTAGGAGACAGTTATCGAACCTTGGAATGTCATCACGAATTGCTCACACGGTGGGTTGAGCCCGAGAAGTCCCCAGCACCTTGTTCGCCAAGAGCCAGGCAGAACCTCACCAGCTAGCGCAAGTGCAAGCACGATTTGCTTGGCGAGAAGAGCTGCATAATATCGCCGTCTGGATTTTGATGGTATGCTACGTCTTGTGAGGTCGCGCCGATTTGGTCGGCGCGTTCACACCCCTTGTACAATCTATCAGTTGTTCCTCCCTGAGTTTCATAAACAGTCGCGCTATGCAAAAGAAAAAGAAAAAAAAGGCGAAAAGTAGAAACAGCTGAAAAGTGGGTTGAATGAAAGGAAGAAGAGAACAAGGACCTCGTCAACCACCACCGCCGCCTGGAGCCACATTTCTATTCAGGGAGAGCTCCCTACTTCCGCTTCGGCATCTCACTCCACGGCCTCGCAGCCCTGATCTGCTGCACCCTCTCCGGCCTTTCCAACCCCAGCGGCCCACTAATCTCCCCCTCCGCCTTCCCCGCCACACCCGCACTCACGCCGCCCACTCCCACTCCACTTCCCATATCCGCGCCCTTATCCGCAAACCCCATCTCCTCGTCCGCACTACCAAACCCAAAGTCCAGCTTCTCATCACCTACGCTGCCCTCGGGAATCGGCTTCTTCGGATCATACAGCGTGGGAATGGCATCGCGCAGCGTCTGGGGCCGCACGGCCTGGTACCCATGGCCCATACCGAGCGCGGAGGCCGTGGGCTCGAAGCTGCAGGCTTTGGAGTCGCGCGCGCGGTGGCAGGCGTGCAGGGTGGCGGCGAGGGAGGCGCAGAGCGCGAGGAAGAGCAGCGCGCCGCTGAGGGTGGCGTAGGCGGTCATGAGCGGGAAGAGCATGCTGAAGCCTCGCAGGTCTGGGGAGGATGATGCGTCGAGGGTGCGGGCGCGCAGCGCTTCGAGCTTTAGATCGAGGCTGAGGGTTGCGCCGAGGGAGGCGGCGCTCGCGAGCATGGAGAGGAATTCGAGGGGCAGGAGGAGGGCGGCGGATATTCGGAGGCGTTCTAGTGTTGTGGAGAGCAGGATGAGGGTTGTGGCGAGGGAGACGAAGGAGCCCTGGGGTTGGATTGTTAGCTGGACGGTACCTAGGTATTGGAGGGAGAGGGATGAGGTGAGGAGGGACGACGTACGGCGGCAATGGCTATCCAGACTCTGATCGGGCTTCCCAGCACGGCGGCGAAGAAGGATCGCCAGGCGTCTTCGCTGGCGGGCGGTAGGGTGACCATGTCCAGGATAATGGAGCCCCGGATCTCGATATCATGGATGATCACCTTGGCTGCTCATTTCGTTAGCTATCTTCGATCTCACTGCTCTTCCCCTCATCACCAACTATCATGAGGAAGGCAAACATGACTTACACCAAGCGCCCAACCCAACAACCCCCAACGCACCCAGCACAACCAACACCCTCAGTCCCGTCAACGCAATACTCCCAGCGCCCATCTTCCCTTCTCTTCAAACAAACAAACGAGCGTAAAGGATAAACCCAGAACCAGCTGGCCAGCAAGCAGCTCCCAGAGCGCTACCGAAGCGAAAGCAAGCGACAAGCAAGCAAAAGAATGGAATTAGCCTGACGAGGCGTGCGGAGGCAGAAAAGCGCAACTCAGGCTGAACGTGAACGGCCGTGGGCTTAAAGCCCCCTCCTGCCTGCCTGTCCGGCATCACGCATGCATGCGGCCTGGCTTCATGCTTGCGGTCGGCACCCAGCGACCCGGACGCAGGAGTGGTGTGCTCGAATCGCGGTGACGCGTGGGGCTGGAAAGTGCCGTTTGGGGAGTAGCTCATGCAGGAGTTACAAGTCCGATGTACTGTAAGAGCACGACGAACGTGTTGACTAGCCAACGAGCGGGGGCGTAGGAGAAGGGGGCCATGCCGAGCTTCCCGTGCGTCGTGCGAGGTGTGAGCGTGGATGTGCCGCATGGAAGATTGGCGTTCCGATGCGAACGCATGCGGGCGGTGAGCGATTGTGGAGAGGACTTACCTTTTCTAGGAATTGGTTGCTGGAGTAGGAGTTCATGCTGAGACGAGACGGGGTTGAGGCATGAAGGTTGGGTTTGGTGTTGGTAGGGTAGGGCTGAGGCTGAGACGCGTTACAGATGTGAGGGAACCCCTGCATAGATGGGCATGCCGGACTCGAAAGGGTCGAGACTGTTAATGACGTAGATTGTGACTGTTGGGTGGATAGCGCTCGCGCTGGCGTACTTGCGAAAAAAATAATTTTATGGATGGGCGTGGGATCAAGGTACGTTGTTGAATTAGAATTAGCGCCCGAACGCCGAGGATATCATCGCGATGCTCGAGGAGGTTGAGTGGGAAAAAGATGCTGCAATCGAGACTGAGACAAAGGAAACCGAAATAATAGTCAAAATGTAGGCGGCATGATGGTAAGAAACCAGGGGGTTCACACTTCCTGCATCGGGACCTCGACGTAGCCGTTGTACTTCCGATCCTTCCACCATCGCCGTATGGCGTTCATCAGCCACGAGAACGTGACGCCGAAGCATATCAGGGTGATGCAGAACACCGTGAAGCGAAGCGCTCGAGAGTTCTTGACTTCCTTCCAGCTGTTGTATCCGCCGTGCTCGACGCTGATGGTGACCGAAGTCTGCATAACCGTTAGCACGTATATTCATCGAGTCAAAGTATTCACAACGCACCTGAGCAATCTGAATCACTTTAGTAATACCAAGCGACCTGCCCTCGGCATCAACCGCAACGACGCGGATGTACGATCCGCGGTCCTCTGGGAGCTGGATTTCCGTCTCGAAGCTTGTCTTTGGGTTTTGCGCGGCGACCTGCCACTCAATGTCTTCGGAACCGCTGCGCTTCTCGCCTGTTTCTAGCACCCATCCGACCACCTCGGTTGCACCGTTCCAGCTCACAAATACTGAGTCGGAGACGACTGCGAGGGAAGGATCGGTGTCGGGCGTGCCGGTCCAGTTGAACTTCAACACCCTGTAGCTCTGGACATCGCCGGTGTGGAAGCGGCTGGTCGCTCCGAAATGTGTTTCGCACAATGCGACGCCGTTCGAGGCGAATTCGGTAAATGCTGCGTTATATCCATAGCCAACTAGCGCGTTACCGTTGGGCAGGACCTGCGTGCTGCCCTGGGATGAGCTCGATATTTGCAGGGTGTTGATGAATTGGGTGTCTAGCTGTGCTGTCATGCGAGTGGTGTTGCTAGTGTCAATGCGGATTTTGAGAGCGCTGCTATAGGGTGTATTCTCTTGTTGCCCGGGCGCCCGGGCGCCATTGGCGAAGATGCTGATCACCGTGTAGTTTTCATGCCATCGGGCATCGTGCTGGTACTTGAAGTCGGTTGCCCTTCCTTCGGAGAGGTCGAAGAACTGATTGGGTCGGCCACCAAGCACCCAGATCAGCTCGCCAGTGCTTCCATTGATGTAGCTCACGGTGCTCGTGTACCGCGCCGAGACGAGATAGTTACCCCATGGGTCCTTCTCGATGCTGTTGATATGAAACCAGTCCCAAGGGTTGCCTTTGCTTCCACCGTTTCCCCGCGGGTGGAAGGAATCGGTGACGGCAAAGTGTTCCGATGCGCGCCATTGGAAGACGAGCTCGCCGGTCTCGATGTCGATCTCCTGGAAGACGCTGTCCCAGATGTATCCATGGGATGAGCCTCCAAGCTGTGTGAGGTCCGCCTGTTGTACGTCGTAGATGGTGATCAGAGCAGTACCCGTTCCGGTGAACCGAAATTCGTGCAGGTCTGCCTCTAGCCCGTTTGCCGCCTTAAGTCGAGCGACTTCTTTGTAAGAGGTATCCATCTATGCTGGTGTCAGTTGAGAGAGCATATTCTTGGCAAAGGATAAGTGTACCATGATGTATTGTCCGTTTCCATGCCCTCCGATGGCATCGTTCCCACTCCAGAAGGTGAGATATCGTTTCCCCTTATGCTCCTGAACCATCAAGTCATACGTCTGCTCGTAGCCGGTCACCGTCCAGACCATATTTCCCCGAGAATCCAATATCATCGGCCCTCGTGCTTCATCCGGGACAGCGTTACCCCGCGGATTGAACATAGTGTATGAGCCGTCGTCGCAGCTAGAATGTGTGCTCAGGATATTTAGACGCGGAGCTACGGCGTTGGAGGAGTAGAATCTTTGCATAGGATACGCGCCATATTCGCCATTTTCGAACTTTTGATCGTTGAGAAACGGAGGAGTATCACCCAGGACGCGCCCGAAGTCCTGGAGAACGAGGCAGACAAGGAGCGACTTTGGAAGGCGAAGAAATCCGGAAAACATGATTGAAAGAACGAAGACAGGGGCATTGGTATGTACAATTGCCGGTTGCGATATGAACAGATGACGGAAGACTGAAAGAGGAGAAGCTGAAGGAGAGGCAAAATATACTGGCCGGGTTTGCGATGTACAAATATTCTGACAATCCCTACTTCACGTCCCCAACATAGTTTGCCGCGTAAGGTCCTGGGTACTCTGGCGAATCGCCGGAGCACTAGAGTAGATATGCATTGTGCGTCGTCACCGTCGGAAGCAAGTTGGAGGACTATCAATGGCATGGTACGACGACCCCTGTGCGCCTACGTCGGGCAACGGCGCAGGTCGGAGCTTTGTTGGCCTGAGTTCATGACCCCGTTCTCGCCATGTCCTCGGGATGCACACCCAAAGGAATCTGTCTTCTCTCGCGTTGATCAAACTCCCGACAGCCTTTCGGCCAGCATTGCGGCTGGAAATAGCACTCCGTCGGCCAATCGTCATGCGAGTCTGAAGCGCCGATCTTTGGGGCGCGACCCTGGTCGTGGAAACGTTTCGGTGCCACGAGTGCTTTATCTGATTAGTGCCGGATGTTTCTGCTCTTAGCTCGTTGTGGAGTGACGAATGCGAGGCTGGGTGGACCAGCGATTGCGCGGCACCTGGCCCTCTCCTGAGGAAACAGCGGGGCCATTCGCGTGCCGCGCCAGGTTGCGGCGGGAAACGGAGGAGCAGTGTTGATAGCGATATCCGCGAGCGCGGAGGGACGGTGTAGACGAGACGCAAGTCGAAAGGAGGGATGAAGCAGAGGGGACGGGAAAATGCAGAGGATGTCGCAGAGATGCGGGCGCGGGAAGGAGCAGCCAAGAACAAGCTTTCGTCGCGTCTTGGCTTAGTGCTTGGCGCTGCTACACGGTTCGTCTCAACACCAGTTCTCCTCCCACCGCCCTTCCACATGCCCTCTGACGAGCTGGCCGGTTGATACGCGCTCGAAACTGCACCGCCCGCGACTCCTGCCCTCCATTACGCTGCTCACATGCAACGGCCTTGCAGAAGCCGTCACGGCGCAGCGCCGAACGCCTCCAATGACGCCAGACCCTTTCGCTGCTGACGCCGTGCCCTTCACACATGCTTACCGCCCGTCAGCTCCAGCTGAAGTCCCTCGCGACGGCAGTGTGCCTTTTGCCTCTTTTGGGCCACGTGCAACCTGCTTCTGTCGACCTCTTCTCGGGACTACCCCGACAACAACCTTTCGGAGAGGTGCTACTCCTTGGTAGGGGATGGAGAATTAGGACTCCCAAAGGAAGCTGACTGATCTGCCCTCTCAATAAGCTCGACTGGTGAGGTATACCGGTCGCTACCGGTCGCCATTTGTGAAGAAGCCCTCCAAACGAGGTCGTACAGCCCTTGCATCCTCATAGAGCAAGGAGGCGGTCAGGTCTCAGCTGCCTAGAATGTGACCTGAACGCCGAAGAGAATGGCGGTCGATGGCCTGATCGTCTTGGCTGCCGCCGAGAGACGCCCATTTCATACAAAGGCCCTCGCTCTCCGGTGCGATAATGGAGTTCGGAGTCGCTCCATCTCATTGTAGCCAGTCTCACTTTCAGCCTCACCTTCAGCCTTGCTGATTACATACCCTTTGTTCCAGAATGGGCTCCATCTCTCCAACTTCCCTTCGGGGCGAGGTTCTCGAAAGAACCCACATCTTGGAGGAAATTCTCGACCACGTCGACGAGTACGCCAGAGAGTTCGACAAGATCGACTATGACGCCCTAAAGGACCAAGTCCTAAAGCCCGTCATTGCCGAGACATTCGATCCCGAGACCCAGATTCGTGGTTTCCTAAGGACCTTCCGCCACACTCCAGTATACAAGCTTGCCTTTTCGAAGATTGAAAGCGAAGAGCTTAAGCAGCAGATCGACGACTTCATTCATGGGAAACGAGCAGACGACGTGATTGGGGGCAAAGGGTTTCACCTCGCATCCCATAAGAGTCCTCCCGTCCGCCATCACTTTTCTCTGCTTGAGGAGTTGAAGAAATTGGTGATCAGTGGCCTCGAGTTGAAGGCCGCCGTCAAGGACATCTTCCATCCCAAACACAAGCATGTGAAGGACCTCCCTGTCGTTTACGAGGATGCGAGCAGCACAAAAGTCGTCGAGGTAAGGGTTCAATGCGTCCCATGGGTAATGAGATAGATAGCTTACCCCCTGAACAGTGCTTCAGCGAGGTTCCTTTTGAGAACTGGGGCCAGACGGTGAAAAACTTGCCCAAGTTTACTTTCCTGCCTACCACAGTCAGAGGCGTACAGAACGTGGTTCAGTTCGCTGCGGCCAAGAACTATCGCGTTCGATGTGCAGGATATAGGCACAGCTGGAGCTCTATCTTTTCACAGGACAACGAGGTCTTTATCTCCTTCGTCAACCTCCACACCGTCACCACACTCCCAGATCCGATGTCTCTTATTCCGGGAGAATACGATCCGACGACAGTGCCTGAGCTCAAGACAATTGAGTTGAAGGAAGAAACGGTGCCAGGGGAGAAGAGACTTTGCCGTGTGGGGGCTGCGGTCACAAACGAGGAATTCAGACGCTGGGCTGTCGCCGGAAAATCGTGGACGCTACCGGCTGATGTCATTCTCGTCGAGGTAAGCAGTTATGGGCTCCAATCGCCGCCATTGGCGGTCGAGAACACGCGCATTGGCAGACTATAATTGTAGTGGATTGTATTGGCTCACCACTTGCAGGTCACGATCGGTGGTGTCAACGGGCCCATCTGCCATGGCGCGGGCATTTCCCACAAGACCCTATCCGACTACGTGCGTCGTATCGAATACGTCGATTGCAACGGCAAGCTCCAAATCGTAGACGAGCCCCATCAAATCAAAGCGGCGGCAGGCGCAGTCGGCCTGCTCGGTGTAGTTACTCATATCACGTTCGAGCTGGATGCCATGTCATATGCGGTTATGGTAAGCCTTCCAGCGTGAAGACGATCAGCCTTCAGCTAACCTCATGTAGCAACCGCTCAAGGAAGATGTTGGACTAGGTGTGCCGCCTCTAGATAAGAACGACATCCCTGTGGCGCTACGGAGTGATTGGTTCAATGCACCTGACGCTGCTGAGCTCATCGCGAAGGCGGTTAAGGAATTCGAGAGACGTGCCGCCAATGACTACTATAGCGAGTAAGCCAATCATCATCTCTAACTCGAGCAATACTTACGACTCCAGGTGGTTTTGGTTCACGTATCAGAGGAAAGTGTGGACGAACACTTTCAATACCACCCATGACGCTGCCGGGGCGATCAACTACCCAGATGATGGCAACGTCTTCTTGCAATGGGTGCAGGGCTGGTTAGGAGGCGTGATTACCGCTGTGCCTTTCTTTAACGCCATACCCGGATACTGGCAGGCTCAGCTCATTGCGTCGCTAGGCATGGCTGCACTTCCGCCAACGCTGGGTGAGAGCAAGACGCCGACTTACAAAACACTGCTCCCGGACGCCTTGCATTTCCGCCGGGGAGTACAGAACATGAGGGTACGTGATTTGGAGCTGCAGATTCCACTACCGCCAAAGAAGGACGATCCCTCAAAGGCAGACTTCAGTATCGTCCAACGTGCCTGGTGGGACGTGATCAAGCTGGTATACAAAGATGCTGAGACCGGTGGGGACCCATCTTCCGCTATGCGTCTCGCGCTGGAGATGCGCATCATGGGAGGCAGCGACGTGCTCTTGGCGCCGCAGAAGGGCAACGATCTCGGCACAGTCTCCATCGAGGTTCTCACTCTTCCCGACGCCGTCACAGACGACGAGTGGCACGGGTTTGCGCAAAAGGTAGTCGATCTATGGATGAGCTACGGCGGCAATGTGCGACCACATTGGGCGAAAGAATGGGAGGCGTTCACTTTCAAAGGGCAGGAAGCGCGGAAGTACATGAAAGAGGTGGCGTACAAGGAGCAGATTCCAGAGTTCCGAGACGCCCTTGAAGCTATCGGGCGTCAGCATGGCTGGACGCTCGAGCAGCTGCAGAAAAGGTATTCGAATGAGTTGTGGGACAAGTTGGTCTACGAGTAAGGTGGGGGCAAAGTAAGTGACACTCATTCTTCCTTTCCTTTCATCACCTCGTCACACCGCCTAATATAATTTCTTATATTGTTGGGAAATTTATGGTCATCTGAAGACCTTCACCCCGCATTTGTTATGCAATGCGCCTTCCTGTTGGAGCATTTCCTTGCACATCCGACCCTCCGCTCTCTTGAAGTAGGTGTTCCCGGGCTTCCGAATCCACCTCGGCCGAGGACCAAAAGCATGTATATTGTTGTTGCGTGATCGACGAAGAAGCGGAACCTGCCATCCTGCATCTCGGCATTTTACAAGTGGCGGGAATAATCTTGATTCAGTTTAGGTCCCGAGCAAGGCACTTACCCATCCCCTCTAAGGCCTGCGGATAAAGCCTCCGCACCTGACGCCTGGCAACTCGCACTTCGCAAAGCTTCCCGATCTGTACAGTTAGTTGGCGTCATCATGGGCACCAATGCGCCTACTTGTGCTGATCGACTTCGGCACTAATGGGATGACTTGAGCACTAGGTTACACCAGCAGGGCGCCCTAGTAAACCATGCGGAGTTACACGCAGCTAAACCGAAAGTACAACGGCTATCCCACATCGCTCAGGAAGGTTCAAAAGCTCGCGCCCAGCGCTCATCTTTTGATGCTTGGATTGACAGCTTCGCCGAGACCAAAAGCGAGCGAGCAGACGCATACCTCGCAGCAATACGGGCTTGTCCCTGCATCGCACGCAAACCTATCCGATCTATATGAAACATCTCTTCCCCAGACTTGTACCCCGCCGCTAAATCACCGCTTGGTTCAACCTGTGCTTCTCCATCGAGGGACGTCGATTTGCAGACCATCGCTCAAGATGTTGACTGTCGCCCAGAGTCTCGCCTTGGGACCTTCACTCCTCGTAAGCACCCAGTGCCCATGCCTGCTACACAGCTAACTCTTCCAGCTTCTTTATGCCGTGCTCAAAATCTTCTATAACCTATTCCTCCATCCATTGCGCTCCTTTCCGGGGCCTCTCCTTGCTCGCGCAACCATCTTGACTTCTCAAAAGGTCGCCTACAGTGGGCGAATACATCTATGGGCACATGAACTCCATCAGAAATATGGACCAGTGGTGCGCATCGCTCCGAACGAGCTTTCCTTCATCGAGGCGCAGGTATGGAAGGATGTGTACGGCCATCGGGCCACGGCCTTTATGAAAGACAAGGAATTCTACGGCCCGGATTCGTTCGGCTCGCCCGTTGGAATCATCCGAGCGGATAACGTGGCTCATGCGCGGCAGCGCAAGTTGGTGTCGCATGCGTTCAGTGACAAGGCGTTGCGGGAGCAGGAGCAGTTGCTGAAGGGGTATGCGGCGTTGCTGGTCAGGAAGCTGAACGAGGCGATTAAGAAAGATGATAAGGTCGACATTATGAGCTGGTACAACTTCACCACGTTCGATATAATGGCCGACCTTACCTTCGGGGAGCCCCTCAAGCTGCTGGAAGAGTCGACGTACACGCCGTGGGTGCGCGCTCTATTTGACCACCTAAAGATGGTCATGCTCACGTCACTATTGCGGCAGTGGCCATTGCTAAACAAGACGATGCAACGACTGGTCCCGGAGGACGTCAAGGAGAAAAGAAAACTGCACATGGCGCACTCCTCAGACCGTATTGAGAAGCGTCTCGCGCGCAAGACCGACAGGCCCGACATCTGGACGTACGTCATGCGCTATATGGGCACCGAGAACGCCGGCAAGGGCCTCGCGCCAACAGAGATGCATAGCACTGGAGCGCTCTTCATGCTGGCCGGTACTGAGACTACGGCCACGGAGCTGAGCGGCATGACGTACTACCTGCTGAAGCGCCAGGAGAAGATGGAAAGGCTGAAGAAGGAGGTCAGGGGCGCCTTCTCCTCGTTCGAGGATATCACTATGGGTACACTGTCGCAGTTGGAGTACCTGGGCGCGTGCATCGAAGAGGGGTTAAGGGTGTACCCGCCGGTTGCTATGGGCTTGCCTAGGACGACGCCCAAAAATGGAGCCTACATTGCGGGACGATGGGTCGCTGGTGGGGTAAGTTAGGCCTCGGCGAGTCAGATTTCGGTGAGCTAGACTGACAGCACGTATGTATAGACCACGGTTTCCCTCGCCCACTACGCGGCATACCACTCGCCGTCCAACTTCAAAGATCCGGATTCCTACGTGCCCGAGCGCTGGCTCCCCGAAGGACAGGAGGAGTACGGATCGGATACCAAAGAGGTCGTCAATGCGTTCTCTTACGGCCCGCGCAACTGTTTGGGAAAGAAGTGAGTCGGATAGTCTCCACCTCAATCTGCTATGTGCTGACCCTTTGCCACTAGTCTCGCGAACCATGAAATGAGGCTCGTGCTTGCTAGTATCGTACTCCATTTCGACATGGAGTTGCTTGACGACGGGGAGAATTGGCTGGACCAAGATAACTTTATTCTTTGGAAGAAGCCCGCGTTGATGGTGAAGCTGACGCCTGTTGCGGAGAAGATGTGATGGTGAGTTTTTGCAGTGAGGCATGGATCTAGACTGCTATTGGTATAAGTGATCAGGGCAGACTGTTCGACTCGAGTAGTTGTTGGAAAAGCTCGGCTCCCCCTTTCTACTACAAAATAGCGTGCCTTCATCATGCTCGCGCAAATTTTCGTGCTTCACGCATGCATAACTCGCTTTCCTTCCTCACCTTCTTTTCCTACAAACCAGCATGTCCGAGCCCACAGCCCCCACGCAGCACTCCCCCGGAATGGACTCCTAATCCACACCCTCTCATCAGTCTACTCCTCTTCCTCCTTCCTCTGGAAATCCCTTCGCCTCATCTCTCTCGCATTCGCGCAATGGATCTCAAAGCTCCACGTCAAGCAATCCCTCCCCAAACACACATCTCCGCAATAGTCAAGCCCCGCACGCTATCTGCCATCCTCCTCTCCTCCGTTCCGTCTACAGTGGAAGAGGGGCACTGGCTGGGGTGAGGAGTCTCAGCACGGCGCTGGTGTGTTGGTGCTCGTTTGGGAGGGTAGTGAGAGCTACTTGAGGCTACGATGGGATCCCGATCGGAGAATTGACCCGATGGCTCAATTCACGGAAACAGTTATTATGCTTTCGGAGCCTTTTCGTCGACTCCGCGCGCCGGCTTTGATGACCATGAGTGTTCAAGTCTCCTCACTTAAATGAATAGACGGGCCTCGTTTCTTGTCGAGCAAACGCCCGTCTATGCCCTCCTTTCATCATAGGTCCCTGCGTCGGTATCTCCCCGTGGCTGCGGCGGAAGGAGCGCCAACAGCCGCCTGGAGATATCTCCCATATCAGCGAGGGCGTTTTTAATTTAGCTACTGTGGGAGGTAGCGTCTTCTTTATCAGGAAAGAAAGAAATGCGCGAACCGTGGCTCCCGCTGTCAACGATTCTAAGCATGTCTGGTACCGCAACGCGTAGCGGCTCAGCACTACGATAGCACTCTGGACTTATCAGGAAAGAAGAATGTTTTCAGCTCGGTCTACCTCTTCCCTTAGGAGTTATTCTTCTCATCCGTCTTCCACACATCCCAGCTTTCTGAAACCTAAACGCACAGCCCTGATTCCAAGCACGGCGGAATCATCGTTCTGAGGATCTCCCCCTTCCCAAGTACCCAGGTTCCGTCCGATTGCGGCCCATAGTCGCGATGTATTGCCAGAGCCATATCTCGAGCCCCCCACATGTCATGAGCCCCATGCCCCCATTGCGTGAGGACTGAATATGGCGCGCTGATAACTTGCATCCCCGCCCCTTTTCCGCGTATACCGCGACGGCCACCTCTTCCCAACCGACACCGCGAGGCTAGGGCTAAAGACGTTCGGCAGAGAATCCGGCTCTCCGTCCATCATGGGTTTCAGAAATCGATTCAAAGAATGCTTCGGAGTCCCTAGTAAAAAGCAGCCCGACACCTACATCGACGACGCCATTCCCCTTGAGACTGTATCTCGCTCATTGCGTCAGCTACCGCAGGCCCGGATTTCCAACTCACATGGAAGACCTCCAAAGCAGCCTTTTCCCAAGCCGTATCTATCTGCACGCAGGCAAGCATCGCATTCTTTCGCAAGAACCTCCACCCAAGAGTATCACCGCCGCCGACAACGTTTTTCCCCAGCGTCTCCGTCCATACCCCGCAACGCATCTCGACGGCGCTCGGAAACGCAGGGCCGGGAGCTAACTTTGTCGGCGCGTACGTCGGCACGGCGTCATCCTAGCAGACCATCATCGTCGTCGCTCGAGAATCACCACAGCGACGCAGGAACACCAACCTCCACAATGCCTCTAACTGAGCCAGCTCATCCCGCTATTAACTAGCGCCACGCATCTGCTCAGCAAAATACGCAACTACGATTGCTCCTCCGCCCTGAGCAGTTCGACTGGGACACGCCCTTGTGCGAAATGCTACCTCTAGACTAGAAACTCCAGCCCCACGCACATTTTAACCAAAATACGCAATTGCAATCGCGACCAGAGCAGTTTAACTGGCATACGCCGTTGGGCGAAATGCTACCCCTAGACTAGAGACTCCATCCCGCTTCTAACCAGCCCTACGTACATTTCAACCAAAATACGCAAGGGTAATCACGATTAATCCTCCCGCAGGAGCAGTTCGACTAGGACACGTTGTTGGGCGAGATGCTACCTCTATACTGGAAACTCTAGGGGACGCCGCCGCGCTGCGCTTTCGAACAAGCGCCCAGACAACTAGAGTATACACGCACTGCCCACGAGATGTTGTGGGATGCCCAGCAACAGAGGCGGGTGTGGGTGGTCGAGTGAGTCGGCTATGCCGCGCAGGCTAACGATGCGCAAGGTCAGTGCGCTTTTTGTCTTGCTGCTAGGTGTGGAATAGTGAAAGCTAAGCCTGTACAGACTACTACGGCATTGCGGAGTATCCCACGCGTCTTGAAAGAATTTCTCATCACGATCTGAGGATCCGCTGATCTAGTCGATGTTTAGTTCTGCGGTCGCTTTGTAGATTTGCGCTTCGTCTGCTTGAGCAGAGAAAGATCCTGCTAAGGCTCGTAGTATCACGTTAGCAGGTCATTTCTTATGATATCCCTACACTTAAGTTTATTTACCGCGGCCTGAACAGGAATTTTTGCCAAGGGGTATTCTTCAGGCCCTATTCTCATCGTCGAACTAGATTCGAATTTTTGGGCGTTTCTTGACGCATAGCGTGGTGTTCATGGACCAGTTGCCTGGGTAAATGACTTGCGTGGTTGAGAGGCCGGTTCTATCTGTTGAAAAGACAGACTGGATGTGTGTTAACGTGGGGGACATGCTGGATGTCATTTTTTCGCGCGTTTCAGGCAGGAAATGCGGTTGCTATGCTGAATAGAGGGTAGTTAGAGAGGGGGGCCACTTGACGAACCTGTTGCGATAGTTGATATCGTTTACGTGCAATTGAAATAGTCCCTCAACTTCGCCGTGCTGGAGGCGGGCGCCATGAGAAGCTTAGAACGCACTGTCCTGGGATAGTCGAAAAACTTTCAGATTTCCAAAGTAGATAATAACATCGCTTTTCATGCGTATAATTCTGAAGTGATTTGGCATAATATGCGGTTAGGTCGCGAGGGACAAGGCGCAGGCGAAGAAAGAGAGAAGGAAGACGTGGAGGGCCCGTATTAAAATTGCGACGGAAATCTTTATGTTGCTGATTATTATTCTTGTCATCTTAATTCTTCAACCGTTAGTGTTTGCTGTTGTTGCGGGCCCCTAACGTCAGAGAACAGAAACGTTAAGAGTTGCAGTAAATTATGACGCTGCGCAGGGATGCGTGCAGGATGTTGCCGTGTAAGTTGTTTTACATTAAATTGTTTCTAATTCGTTAAAAGTAGGCGATAGAGAGTTATAGTGTTGTCATGGTTCGCAGAGAATTATAACGAAATACCGTTTTAAGAATTTCTAGTAGTAAATAGAAGAGATATAGTATTATTAATATAATACTAGCTAGTCTAGAAGTATATTAGTATTCTAACTTTTAAAGTATATCTATATATACTACTATAAATTTAAAAGATACTAGATAACTCTATATATATTACTATTATTAGTACTACCTATATCTAAAATTTAAGAGTAAGACTTATAAATATTATATAGTATAAAGAAGAGCTAGAGCTATAAGAATTTAGATATATTATATACTAGCTAAAAGTAGACTATATAACCTACTATTAAGTAATAGATTAGAGAAGAGATAAATAATAACTACTAAAGTTCTAAAACTTTATAAGCTCTATTAATAAGACTTAAAGAATTATATACTAGTATATCTAGCTACTTTCTAAAACTCTATAATTAGCTAGTATACTATTAACTTTTATTATTAAGCTAAGCTATATACTAAATTACTTAAAGTTATAAAGAATTTACTAATATACTTTACTATCTATAAGAGCTAGCTTTATAGTCTCTACTACTATATATACGCTCTAGAATATCTAGCTAGATAAGTTAATTATAGATAATATAGTCTCTATAAGCTATAAGAATAAGAGTAATAAGTAGAGTAGGTTAGGTTAAATTTAGCTATCTAAAGATAAGAAGTAGAAGAATACTCTAAGAGACTCTATATATAGAGGTGCTAAGTACTAAAACGCTAGGCTAGGTTACGTAACAAGGTTACGTAATCTAAGGTTATATAACCTAAGGTAAATCTCTAAACTAGACTATTATATTACTCTCTCTTATAGAGAGAGCTTATTTCTAAGCTTTAAAATATACCTTCTAGATCTCTCTTCTTCTAAAACTCTTATATTATACTCTTAACTATCTCTTTTAGCTTATAGTAAGTATATTTATATTAGTTTTAAACTAGAAGCGCTTTTATAGCTACTTTCTTTCTTCTAGTTACTCTATTCTCTATAGAGCTCTTATTTACTAGAGAGAAAGAGGCTTAAAGAGATTTAAACTAGAAGACTTATTTCTACGTCTATAGAGCAGCTTTATTATAGACTCTTTTCTTAAATAATACTATAAGCTTAGTAGAGTCTTAAATTACTTAGTAGCGCCTTTACGTTACTCTTATATCTTCTACTCTTATAGATTTTAAATTCTCTACTATCTTCTCTAGAGTCTTCTCTTTTTTATACGCCTTAATTTAAGTATCTAATTATAATAGTAACTCTAGCTTATCTAGGTATACTATATAAAAGTTCTTTACCTTATAGAGAGTATTAATAAAGTCTATAGTATTATACTAGATAGAGTTAGAATTATAAGTAACCTATATAGTATAGTATTAAAGATAATTTTAATAAAGATAGCTATCTAGAATTTTATATATAAGCTATTCTAGATTACTATTAACTTTAATAGATAGCTACTTAGGCTCTACCTACTCTAGTAATAGCTCTAAGACTTTTCTTAGCTAATTAGTATAAAAGATATTATATATATATATATACGTAGATAGTATTAAGTAATAAGTAGATAAAAAGCTTAACCTATAATTAAGCTAGAAAGAAATAAATTAGTATTTAAATAAGTATAGTATATAATATATAAATACCTTTCTCTTACTAATTAATATTCTAATATAATATTAATTATATATAGCTATATTACTAGCTATATATTATATAATCTCTTAGTC